CCATTAGGCCACAGTGGAATAAAGGTAGAAAATAACAGCAAGAGAAACTTCAGAAATTCCACGTGAACGACACACAAGTCAAAACGTGTCAAACTGCACACTTGGATCCTGTCATCTACATTGTTTATCTTTTAGAAGAAAAAAAATCTATTTATCTACTAACCAATGAGATGAAGGGTGGACTGTGGAATTTGAGATGTGTGTTCTAGGAAGCCCAGCAAAATGAAAGGGAGAGGGAGAGAAGGAATGAGAGGAGATAGGTGAGAGAGAGGGGAGACAGAGAGACAGAGAAAACACAGGCCTCCCGAAGCTCTAGGGTTGCTAGGGGCAACCAACCAGATGAAAAGCGCTCTCCAGTTGTCTTTCCTTCTAGATTCATTGGCCAAGGAAGGAACCTGTTATATATTCGGGTCAATGTGAAGACCACATGCATCGTGCCAGCAGGCTGGAAACATCAAGTGCAGCAGGTTATCATTTGGAGCAAGGAGACGAGGCATCTGGGCTGTAAGCTGACACCCACTGGAGGACAAAACTTCACATTTCAGATTCGCTCAGGTGACTAGGCAAACACAGAAATGAGCTCTGACTTCCCATCCACAGGGATCTAAGAGTTGTTCCTTCCATCTACATCACGAATCTACTTCACCCTATACTCAAGGTTTGCAGTCTGCTTCATGTCAGAGTCAGCAAGGGAAGAACTGAGCCAGCAGTACCTTCGTGTGTATTCTGCACCATTCCCCAGCCTTTCTTACTATTCCTGGCATTGTGAGCTTGGTTAGCAGTGAGACGTGAAGCCGACAGGAACTGCCTTTACCTAACGGAGGGAGGTAGACAGCTGCCCCCAGGATAGGATAGTGGGCACTGTGTGGATGTCTGAGTGGAAGCTGCACTGCTGGGGAGAAAACACCACATCCAGGACATTACTGTACTAAATAGAAGCATCCTGCCAGAGAGGGAGTTCTCGGAAGTACTGTGTTTTCTGAAGAACGTGGCTCAGCCTTCTCTCCAGCAGCCGGCCATCGGCCTCAAAATTGTCACACCAGACAGCACTGCCTCTGAGGAACCCCAGCCCCTAGGATCTGCATTCCAATGCCATCTTCTCCCTCCCACTCGACGCAGCCACCTTCGCTCCCACGCTTCAGAATTCCACCTACTCCAAAGGACACTTGCCAAGGCCAAGGCTGCCTCTTCTCAACCCACCCCATCTTTTTTGGACAGAGCAACTCTCTGAGCGGAGGTTCTCAACCTTCCTAATGCTGAGACCCCTTTATACGATCCCTCATGTGTGGTGACCCCCCAACCAGAAAATTATTTTTGTTGCTACCTCATAACTGTAATTTTGCTGCTGTTGTGAATCATAATGTAAATATCTGTATTTTCCAGTGGTCTGAGACGACCCCTGTGAAAGGATGGTTTGACCTCCAAAGTGGTCGAGATCCACAGTTGACAGCCACTACTCTTCTGGGAAAACACTTCCTATTCTCCCTCTGCTGGCCTTGCAGTTCTGTGAGGCTCAAATGCCACCACCACTCTGAAGCTTGTCCTGGCCACCTAAACAGGTCTGTCCTTCAACTGTTGGGATGTTACACTTCTGAGGCCCTCTGCTCTCTCTGTGGTCATGCTACCCATGAGCCTTTGGTCTCCGCTGATTTCTCCTGAACTGCGTGTGGATCTTTGTGGCTGGTACAAGCTTCAGTGGGGCTCTTTGGGTAAGTCACCTGCAACACTATCAATGGCAATGATTTTTGGTAGTTAATGGTCCCTTAAAAGTTTGGAAGATGTAACTCTGGGAGACTCACCCAGAAGCTGACCTGAGGGAGGAAAAATTAGGCTCTTTGTTCCCACCCTTACCCTGGGTGCAATTCTCAAGTTTTAGGCTGAGTAACACTGAGTCCTAGAAATTAGGTCTCCAACATTCCCTGCCCTTAGGAGTCTGGCCCTTCCACCAAGAGACTAGTAGAGATCAGTAAAGATGACAGCCACATTCCTGGGGACATCTGGAGCCAGTGCCTGTTGCCTACAATGCTAAGGACTTGAGGTTCTCTGCTTGCTTGGTGTGATTTGAATGTATTTGGCCCCATAATCTCATAGACAATGACACTATTAGGAGGTGTGGCTTTGTTGGAGTGGGTGTAGCCTTGTCGGAGGAAGTGTGTCACTGTGGGGGAGGGCTTTGAGGTTTCCTATGCTCAGGATACCACCCAATGTCTCAGTCGACTTCCCGTTGCCTGCAAGATGGACTCTCGGCTACAACTCCCTCACCATGTCTGCCTGCATACTACCATGCTCCCCATCATGATAATAATGAACTAAACCTCTGAAACTGTAAGCAAGCCCCTAAATTAAATGTTTTCCTTATAAGAGTTGACATGGTCATGGTGTCTCTTCACAGCAATAGAAACCCTGAGACACTTGGCCAGCAGCAGAAGAAAGACCAATATCATGCATAAAGGAATCCAACTAAAGACAATGGGCTCCAGACAGTGAGGAGTTTGTATCAGTTGGGTAAGATAAGCAGCTGGCAGTTGGAATCTCTAATTATAGTTAGGTCAGTGGGCGGGGCTCTGTTCGGAAACAGTGAACCCCCAGCTCATTGTCATTATTCACAATTGAATACCAAGTCCCTTCCGAAGGGAAGAATACATCTTCACCCCTGCCCACGTTACATTCATAGCCACAAACACCAGTTTTAAAGTTTGACATAATTAACTAACATGTCATAAAATTACATTTTCTCCCATCTAAATCCTTCCAGAAATAATTATTTTCAGGGGAGGGGTGCCCTAAAGTTTTTGTCGAAAAAAAAAAACAGCTAAATATTAAAGCAAAATTGTCGTCGTCCAATTGCCACTGATGTACTTGGTTAGTGCACGATTCCATGAGAAAGCTGATGAAGGTCAGCATAAAACACTTGGAGGAACCGAGCCTCTGAAAACTCTTGAGACGCCAGTCAATCCAGGCGGAGACCTGGAGCTTTGGCGCCCTCTAGGAGTCCCGCTTGGAACAAGCGTTCGTTTCTCAAACTGCAAGGGCTCCTTCTTTGTGAAGAGAGCCACCCTAAAGACTTTTTATCTTTTCCAAGCCATTCCTTCTAGGCGTCCCCTGCCTCCTAGCGTGATGATAAAGCCGGGTAAAAGTGCTACACTGACCACAGACCAGACTGGTTTGGTATGTAACATTGTACCTAACAGAGGGGAAGCCTGCCACATCTAGAATCATTTTTGACACTGAACCTTGTTCTAATTTTAGAGTCAAGGTCTCTGTGGTTATTTAAAGAACAAGTGTAACACTGGGTTTTTTTTTTTTTCTTTCAATTTCCCAATGAAATCAGAAGCCCTATTCTTGGGCGCTGATACACGGGAGAAAAGGGGGGACAATCAGGGCAGTTTTTGGTAGATGATGATAAGTCTAGCCGCAACCTGAGCACCATGAGGAAGAAATGTGTGACAATTGGGGTGCTGGGCCTTGGCTGGCTGCCACTGAGCTCAGGCTTTCACGTTTCTGATCTTCGATTTTTTTTCTTTAATAATGCCTAGCATTATCATTTAATAATTAAAAAATGAAATTTAAAATAAATCATTTTAACTAAAATTAAAGCAAATATAAATAGATGGAAAGTGAGCCACAGATTCAGGCAGACACCAAGACACATGGTGGATGAATCAGTTTCACCAAAAACTGCATGGTGGATAACGGAGGGATATGTGGGGAAGGCGTCTTGGTTTGCTTTCTACATAAAATTGCATAGGTTCCCTCCCAAAACAACCTCTCCAGTCCCTACTGTAAACACTCATTTCAAGGGCATCCAGGGAAATCTTCTTCCAATTGCTCCCACAAGTTCCTGCCGCTCATCCGCAAACGATTAAAAAAGAAAAAGGGGAGAGAAAAAAATAATAATAATAAAAGACCGAAAAGTTTGTCAGTTCAATTCTGGACCACTAGCGTCCTCTGTTGGTCGCCTACGGAAAGCGCGTGTAAACTTTCAAGAGACCTAGACAAGAGAAAGTTGGATGGCTGAGAGAGCCAACTCAAGAGCACTATTGCGTCAGGATTTCAGCTCTTCGCGGTGTTCAGGATGCGCGGATTCGGCTGCACTGGAGCGTATCGCAGAGAATTTAGCACAGGGATGCAGCGATGGCTTCTAAAATGGTTGTGAAAATTAAACGTCTTAGGGACTCTGGCTATTAATCATGTTTCAATGGCACCCGCTTCGGTGTCTCCGTAGTTACTTCATCGCAGATGTATCTGCTTAACTAAAAAGAAACTCCAAGTAAGAACTTGTGAAACTTAACATCTTTAAAACCACCTTCCCGTAATGACGCACTCGCTGCCCATTCGGCTAACCGGGAAAGTGCGGCGAAGTAAGAGATTTGAGTCACAACCGCTTTGAAAATCAAATCTTTAGAACCCACGACCGTCACGTTCGATTGTTCAGTGCGAGACTCTGGAGGCTCAAGTGGCCAACGGTGCAGATTTAAATATGATCCGAGCGTTCTCGCTGGGAGATGCAACATGCTCTACAAGAGGCTTTCAATTACAGAAACTTTGCAAAGTACACAGGAGTTGAATGGGCCAACGCCAGCTTCTCAAACATAAATCAGCTCAGGAGGGCACCTAAACCGGGCATCCAGGGGGGGAGGGGCTGCAGCGTCCAAGGCGCCAAGTTGGCTGAGAGTCATTTCATTGGGGGGGGAATCAAGAGGCCCTGAAGTGACTAGGGCTCAAGGGGCAGCAAGGTGGCCGGGAGTGCCCACGGTTCCCGGGGACGAAGGGGTGGATCGAGTACAGGGCGTGCGCACACGGAGCAGGTGCCCAGTGAAGACGCGCGCAGCGCGCCCCCGTCCTTCGTCCCGCTTCCCGGGGAGGCGCGGGCCCCGGAGCCGAGCCTGCGCCAGCCCACCCCACCCCACCCCCACCCGCGCCGTTCCGGGGCGTGTCCTTCCACACCCCGGCTTCTATATATCTGCCTGCTCTCCCAAGCTGCCCAGATGCGAGCTAGCGCGGCTGCTGGACGCTGAAGACCTGCTGCTCGCTTCCCTACATCCCGCAGCCTCGTCCCGCGTGCTCCACTCCGCTCCCCTCCGCCGATCCGCAGGCCCTCCGCCCACCGGGCGCCATGCATCCCGCGCGCCCCGCGCTCTGGGCCGCTGCGCTCACCGCACTCACTCTGCTCCGCGGGCCGCCGGTGGCGCGGGCCGGCGCGGGCGCGGTGGGCGCGGGCCCCGTGGTGCGCTGCGAACCGTGCGACGCGCGTGCGCTGGCCCAGTGCGCGCCTCCGCCCACCGCGCCCGCGTGCACGGAGCTGGTGCGAGAACCCGGCTGCGGCTGCTGCTTGACTTGCGCGCTGCGCGAAGGGGACGCGTGCGGCGTCTACACCGAGCGCTGCGGCACCGGCCTCCGCTGCCAGCCGCGGCCCGCGGAGCAGTACCCGCTGAAGGCTCTGCTCAACGGCCGCGGGTTCTGCGCCAACGCCAGCGCCGCCGGCAGCCTGAGCGCCTACCTGCCCTCCCAACCCGCTCCAGGTAAGCTGCTCGCACCACGTGGGCCGAGCGCGCTCCCTGGGACCCGGCGTGGGTGGCGGGGAGCCTGTGTCCTCAGAGGCTTGGCGTGGCTCATCCAAGTGTTAGTGGCTAGACGGGCCCAGGGAGGCGAAGGGGACCCCGCAGCCATCGATCCACTTGCTTGGTTCTCAAAGTGCAGCTTTCTTGTAAGCTGCAAAACGCTTTCCGTGAAAATAGGTTGATTTTCACGCAGGACGAGTAGACTGCCAGTGGACGGATCCCGGTCATTGGAGAGTCGTGCTGAGCGTGGATGCCTGGGTTTGGGCTATGTAGCCCAGTTGTGGAACTAGGTTTCCATTCTCCACAATTGGGAAGGCGCGTGTCTGTCCCAGGGAAGTTTGAGCATGGGATTCCGGGATCGGATCAGGACCAGGAAGGTTTGCTGGCAGGCACCTGTCTTGAAAAATGCTAACATTTGCACAGGCTGATTGGCAAAGTAGTATTGTGTCCCCGTGTATCCAAAAACTAACGAGATGGAATTAGAGTACTGATGTCTTTGAGGTTGTGTAACCCAAAGTTCAAAAAGTAAGAACCGGGAGCTACAATTGGGTTTGAGCCCTGTTTGCCCCTGTAGTCACCATCTCACGCCCTGCGGCGCCTGAGGGCTGGGGATCACGGCCCGGGTGCAGGCAGTGCAGATGCAGGCGGTTTCCCCGCTGAAGCAGACTAGAAATGCTCCGCAGGAATGCTCCTCCTTCCTAATCCTATGCAAAAGGAGTGGGGTGCAGCGGAAACAGCCCCTAGGAGGAAAATCGTAAACCCTTGGCAGTTACCCATCCTGGGGCTGATCCTATCAAGCAGGGGGCCATTCTAAGGGCATCGCATTGTTCCCTTAGGAAGGAAAAAAAAAAAAAAAAAAGGAAAAGATTTAAATGGATTTGGCAGCTGTTGCTCGAAATGTCCAGCATTCCTAGTCAGTCTCCTGCTTAGTTATGTGAGTCAAGTTCTTGCCCTGCACAGATGAAGGCTAGAATTCTCCAGTTTCCCCACATCAGGCAGGCCGAAGGTGCAGAGCAAGACTCTGGGACCAGGATGCGCTGGGCCAACGGTCCTTTATGATTTCTGTGGCTGCAGCGCTACACTCCTGGGTACAGGCAGGTCTTGGTTTAGACCATCTCTGAGAAGCACCGGATTCCTGGCAAAGCAAGATTCCCGTTGTTTCGCTGACTCAGTCAAAAGCAAAATTAGGCTGTTTGCCATGTGTGTCTGACTTATAGTGCATTCTGTGATATCCAGAAGCGATCCTAAGAAATACCAGCATGCCATTTTGAGTTAGGCTTTAATGGCCATTATTAGTAACGACCATTGACGCTCTATAGTATAAACTGATGTGAGCTTTAGTTATAACAGAGTTCAGTGGCTTCTACTATTCATTGGGTGGAGGGAGGGGGAAATGATACTTCGATGACACAATTCACAATTACATTTTTAATTGAGCCATATTCTCCCCCTAATAAGTAGTGTAAGGATAACAAACAAGCAAAGGAAGTTTAAGAAATTACTTCAGCTTCTCGGAAGATAAATGCAAATATTTTTATTTACGTATTAGCATTCTCTCTATCCCTGTACTTCCAAAAGATAAAACCACTAAGATTAAAGCAGATTGAAACCAAGTCCATCAATTTAATTATGGACCTCCTTTGCCAGGTGCTAGTCTAGACCCTGGGAATTTGTGCTTAAGAAGGCACAGGAATCATTGAGGGGTTTGTAGCTGGACTGTTCAGTAGGTGCGAAATTGAGGGTCCTGGGCAAGAGGGCGGCGTCCCTGGAGGTCAATTGCTCTCAAAGACGTCAGATTCTGCAGCCCTCTGGTAGTTCCCAGGGAGTGAAGCATTTGCTTCTCTTGGCCTGGAACCAGAGACCCATGTCGTCCCCATGGGCAGGATGCCCCAGCCTGGCATTTCCTGAGAGACAAAAAAAAAAAAAAAAAAAAAAAAAAAAAAAAAAAAAAAAAGCCAGCTGGAGGCTTGCACCTTGCATCCAGACAGAATAAATTCAGAACCAGATGCATAGCCAACTGGACCTTCCTACTAGGGAGGCTATTAATGTCCCTTTCATGGGAGCAAAGCAGTTCTGTGGCCATGACCTGAACATTGAACTTGAAGCTTTGGAGTTCAGAGCTGGGCACTGGGGGCTGATCATCTGGCATTGGTTTCCCAGAAAGCCACAAATCTAGTCACATACATAAGATCTCAATTAATCTATTAACCTTCCAGCATCTCCTCAGTTGGAGCCCTCTCTTTTGCGCCTTGGATTGTGAAAGAGGCCCCTGCCAAAGGGAGCTTTCTTTTCCCCTCCCCTCCCCATCTCCAAGTTAAAATGAATGCATCTTGGCACCTAGCGTCTAAGCTATGGGAAGTATGTTGGTGCTATTCTGTGTGCTCACTGCTGAGGGGGATGGGAGAGATGACCCCAAGAAGGTGCCCCTCCCACCCAATACACAAAGTCTCTGTAGACCCTGAAATAGAAAGATGTATGGGCACCTCAGAACTAGGCGTCTCTGACACACCTACATAGTTCTGTGGGCCCCTGCAGTGAAGTACTTCACATGAGACCCTAGTGAATGCCAGAATCCCCAGGCCAGTGTGATGCTGCCACTGGGTGGGGAATTTTTTTTTTCACTCTATCCCACCCCCAACAGCTGTGCCCAGGACTAAGATTTGGAATCTCTTGGGAGTTTTCTGGTCCACTCCACAATAGCATTCCACAGTGCACAACTGCCCTCTGCCGGTGGAAGGGGGAACTGGCTGCATTCTCAGCTGTTGAAGGGCTTGATAAAGCATCCACAGCCTTCACTTGTAACTGTATACCAAAAACACTTGACAGAGTAACTTTCAAACAGATGGCTTCCTGAAGTAGAGCAGCCAGGGTCCAGCAGGCAGTATTCTAGAATGCTTTATCCGGTCACCTTTTTCTTAACTTCTTAATTGGTGAGTGGTGTTGAGGTATGACCTAAATAATCTGCAAAGATTATTATTCCGATATCAATAATGACCATTTCCTTATCCCCATGTCCTTTTCCAGGAAATGCCAGCGAGTCTGAGGAGGACCACGGTGCTGGGAGTGTGGAAAGCCAGGCTGTCCCCAGCACACACCGAGTGACCGATTCCAAGTTCCATCCCCTCCATGCAAAGATAGATGTCATCAAAAAAGGCCATGCCAGGGACAGCCAACGTTACAAAGTTGACTATGAGTCACAGAGCACAGACACCCAGAACTTCTCCTCTGAGTCTAAGCGGGAGACAGAATACGTGAGAACTTTTTCTCTTTTGGGGGGGGGGGGGCATCCCAATACAGTCTTCATGCAGCAAGCCCCAGGGGTCCTAGCTGATAAGTGGGCAGCTTCTCCCTTCCTATGTAAAGCCCCACCTCCTATGTCAGAGACTTTTGGGAAATTCAAGCTGAACTAAGTGTGTGGTGTATTTTATTCAGTGGACTTTCTGAAGTCTACTGGCCTATCCTTAGATCACATTCCAGAGTCTATGTCTTCCTCTTGAGAAAGCAGAAGAGACAAGGAGTGATGGCTAGCATCCACCTGAGATCTTCTCGCTGATCCAAGCAGAATGTCCTGGAGAGGCATGTCACAGGTTCCTCCTGGGATGGTCCTGTGGCCTTTGGGAGATTGTCAGAACAATAACTGTGTCCTCAGGGTCCCTGCCGCAGAGAAATGGAAGACACACTGAATCATCTGAAGTTCCTCAATGTGTTGAGTCCCAGAGGTGTCCACATCCCAAACTGTGACAAGAAGGGGTTCTATAAGAAGAAGCAGGTGAGTGGGGTCCCCAGGATGGTTTTTGCCCTCCTTTCTCTAGGGGCTCAGTGGGGAATTGGCCTCACTGTTAATCTCCAGGAAGCTCAACTGGCGTGGCGCTTTGCCAACTTTGTGTCCTCTCTTCTGATACATGTATACATCACCTAGTGACAATATTTTAGGTGGCTTTCTAATTGGGTAGTTCACAACATGAGTCTGGGAAACCGAAGTAAACAATGCTCCCCACAGCATGTCCACATTCCAATGTTTATACTGTAGTCTTCCTCGGGGAGCCTGAGCCTCTGCACCAGCCACTGACTAGCTCAGCACACTTCTACTAAGGAGAGAGAAGAGACAAGGCTGGACCCAAGGTCTGAGATCCAGCCTGACAGACACAAGGCAAAGAAAGCTCAGCATTCCGTCCACACGAGTGTGCGTGGGTGTACACTACCACCCTCACATAGGTGACCCTTTAGGAGTCAGGACCCTCATAATTTTACCTCAGCCCAGTTGAACAGCATGGGGTAACCACTTCAGACCCTGGTTACCAGCTTACACCCAGTGTCTGGGTTAGGCTTTCTGTATCAAATCATGGTTCATCCCTGAGGAAAGTCGTTGCAGGAGGAGTGCCGCTTGCTGGCTTGCTCCCGTGGGTTGCTCAGCCTGCCCTTTTTTAGCACCCAGGACTACCTGCCAAGGGGGCCTTGTCCACAGAGCTAGGCCCTCCCACATAGACCATCAATCAAGAATTCACACCGTAGGCTCATCCATTTGTCAATCTGGTGGGGACGTTTTCTCAGCTGAGGTTTCCTCTTCCCGAATGACTTTAGCTTGCATCAAGTTGATGTAATACTAGCCGGTACACGTGATATTCACGCCCTGGTCTTGTCTCTTCCTCTCAGTGCCGCCCATCCAAAGGCAGAAAGCGGGGCTTCTGCTGGTGTGTGGACAAGTATGGACAGCCCTTGCCTGGCTATGACACCAAGGGGAAAGATGACGTGCACTGCCTCAGTGTGCAGAGCCAGTAGATGCCGCTGAGCCATGTAAGCTGAGGGGCTGGGCCTCCTGAAAGAGGGAGAGGGTCAGGGGGTGGCTCGGGGTGACTGTGACCACTAGAAGTATTGCCAGGGGCAGCTGTGACTACCAGGGGAATTGCCAGGGGCAGCTGTGACCACCAGGAGTATTGCTAGGGGCAGCTGTGGCCACCAGGAGAATTGTTAGGGGCAGCTGTGGCCACCAGGAGAATTGTTAGGGGCAGCTGTGGCCACCAGGAGTATTGCTAGGGGCAGCTATGACCGCCAGGCGTCCACCCCTCATCCTCAGCTCATTGACCTAGGAGCTGCAGCCTGGCCCAAAGAGAGGAGGACAAAGGGAGAAGGAGGTCCCCTGCCCAACCACAGACTCAAGGCCAGCGTCAGTGTGACTTCAAAGATGCTCTGTTGTAAATGACTTTGCAAAGATGCTCTATTCTAAATGATTTTGTTTGTTTTTCGAGACAGTATCTCTCTGTGTAGCTCTGGCTGTCATGGAACTCAGTCTGCAGACCAGGCTGGCCTCAAGCTCACAGAGAACTACCTGCCTCTATCTCCCTAGTGCTAGGATTAAAGGCGTGCATCACCCGCAGGCCCACACTCTTTCACGTGCAAACGCTGTGAAGAATTTTTTTTAACTAATAGGCAGAAAAAAATTTCATTTGTAGTTAATTTTTTTTCTTATACTTTGGAAAATATAGTTCTAATTTAGGGTAGCACTTTTTAACAATGATACAATGAAAGTATCTTAGGGCATTCTTGGACTTGTTGAGGACTGAGGTCCCTCCCCCTTCTTGCACTGCCACACTGAGTGCTCGGGGGCTCAGTGAAAGGCGGAGCCCTTTGGATTTTAGGGGTGGTTATTTTAACATATGTCTTATTCTTCTTTTCTCCCCTCTTAGTTGACGTGGAGAACAAATACGCCTTATTTTGCACAAAAGACTGCCAACAACATGATCAGCAGCTGGCTACAGCCTTGATTTCTTTTTTTTTTTTTTTTTTTTTTTGTGGTGAACTGATTAAAAAAAAAAAACCAAAGTTTAGACAGATTTTTTGAAATGCCTCTGGTTGTTTAAATTGTAAACTTGATCGTCTTTCTACTCTCCGGTAGTCAACAAACAGCAGTTTGAATTTTTCCTGTTGCTTCCTATGAAAACACTCGTGCTCCAGGCCACGGATGCCCTCTTCCCCTAATCCACCCAGTACGGGCTGCAGTGCTGCTGGCCCTCAGCCCGCCTGACGTCAGAGGTTCTGTTGCCGATAGAGAAAAACCCTCTTTCCATTCCCTGTAATGAACGCAGGCAGTGTGGAGAGTGGGGAAAGCCCTAACCGAGTCACCAGGACATCTGGATACACACACCCGAGGCTTGTGGCCCTTTTGGTATCATCTGAACCACTGCAGGTGACCTGATCTTCCCGGGAACTGTGAGAGCGAATAGGTGGAGTCTCTCTTATTAAGAATGGCCAAGAATGTTCTAAGACCCTCTGGGAGCCCGTAGAAAGAAGGACGAGGACCTTCCTCTGTCAGGCAGCTTCCTGATGACTTGGCCCCAGGTGGAAGGCGCAGTGAGTGTCAGCCTCCAAGTTCAGAGATGTCACAAATAATGGTACAGTTAATTCTTCAGACGATTTTGAAAAAAACCAACAACAGTGTTTTCTTGTCCAGCTTCTCAAAATAAAGTTTATTGTGGGGCGTGGGGGGGAAGCTTTTTTTAAAGAAAGAAAACGGGGTTTGAAGGGTTGTTTTCATCTTCCCCTCCTTCCTATCTGAACAGGAAAGAGGAATGGCTTGTTGGAGAGCCTGGCAAGACCAAGACCCGTTTGTTGATCTTGGGGTCCTTCTCAGACTTTCTTTATAATTCACTTATATACACAGACAAAATACCTTCGTAATTGTTAACAGTGTATACGGCATAGCCCGAATATAATAGAATCTGTACTAGATAATCCTAGGTAAAATGTTAGTGACGCTAGGTGATGTAACCACAGGCACGCCCAGGGAAAGGAGCCCGCGTCTGGAGGCTGGGCTGCTCTCCGCAAGGCCAAGGAGGTCTGGCAACAGAGGGTGCGAGGAGACTGCACTGCATCCCACGGGGTGAACGTGTGCTGTACAGAGCTTGTCTTGAGAGTACAAGGGAATCTCAAGATGTTCTGCCTGCCTATCAGCTTTTCTTTATTTTTTTAATTAAGTTTTTTTGGGGGAAAAATGTATTTTTGAAAAGTTTGTCTTGCAATGTATTTATAAATAGTAAATAAAGTTTTTATCATTTAAAAAAAAACTCCCTACTTTTGTTTGCTTCTGGGTCCTGAGTCGCGGACGAGATCACTCTGAGAGGGTAGAACCCTCTAGACATAGCAGATGTCATGAACATGGCTAGACGTCAGAGCTGCGTCCATCTCTCACTAAAGAATCTCAGCGGCACTGTCGCTGCGGCCTTTGGCATCCATGCAGCACCGGGCCATATGTAGAGAAATATCTAGGTCCAGTAGGTTGGGTTGATGGTTGTTATGATCTAGACAGGGAAAGTAGATGGTCTCCATCAGAGTCTGGTCCGTGCTTCCCCAGTCTTGAGAGGAGCTTCCCCAAAGAGATGATGTACATAAGATGGGCACATCCTTTAAGTTACTAATCTTTCTTCTACTGGGTGCGTGGAGAAGGGAAGTGATTTGAATCCAGAAGAGGAGGACAACCCCAAAGGATGCTGGGAGGGCTTCTGGTACCTCAGTCCCTCTCTATGGCTTTGGCACAACTATGTCCCATGCCAAAATAATTTCAGGTACATCCTGGGACTATGACATCAAACCGCATACAGTACTTGCCTGTTTAGAGTCTTGTTTAAAGTCACCCAACAGACAGCCAGAGTGATTGCAGAATCGCAGAATTGGACAGCAGACGGCAAATTGATTCGATGGGTATGCGGAGATCTGGGGGTGTACAGTAGGATCACAGGGTGGGAGCCAAGGTCAGAAGGCAGCACCCTTGGAGTGCTGTACTGGCACCAATGAAGAAAGCACATGGAACTCACTGGGGATGGCAGAACAGCATACACGGGCCACCAAGTGCCCTGAAGCCAGATCCAGGGTGCACCGAGGACAGAAACTTGGGAGGCCTTTTGGTGCCACTGCCAAGGCATGGGTCACAGGGCAATGCTTCTTCATAAACCCAATGGACTAACCTCCCTGAAGCTACCAATTCGCACACCTTTCCTTGACCTCACCCCTTCACCTCTGGCCTTTGCCCTACTTGCCTGCCAGGGTCAGTTCCTCATATCCACTCGGCCAGGCCACTATGCATACGAAGTTAGCATCATCTCAGGGATGGCTGTGAGTGCCTCCAGGTGAGATGCACAGACTGACTCCCCAACACCTCCTCCCCCACCCCCACACTAGCTGTGCATTCTGGTCAGAGTCTGAATAAAACAAAATGGCGGGGAGGGGTGTCAAGCCATTCTTCCTATCTGGGACATTTTCTCTTCTCTGGCCCTTGAAGTGGAAATTACATCATCAAGTCCCCTGCGTTCAGGTCTTTAGCCTCAGGCTGGTCACACTCCCAGCTTCCCTGTGGTAGACGTGGGGACTTCCCAGCCTCCCTAGCTCATGGACCAATTCTTCACCACAAATCTCCTTTGAAAGGTAGGTGAGTGGATAGATGACGGGTGGAATGATTGACAGGTGGAATTCCAAGTCAGACAAACAGATCATTGAAGAGCAAGTGCGCGCTAGGTACTAGAGAGGGAGATGGTTGATAAGAGATAAATCGGTAGAGCTAAGGAGATGGCTTGGTGAAGGACACTTGCCTTGAAAGGATGAGGTCCTGAATTCATTTGCCATATGAGAGAGAGAAAAATGGCAGGTAGTTAAATACCAATTGAAGATAGGTCATAGACAGAGGTGTGTAACCTGGCTCCGGCTCTGTGCAGCTAATAATAATACCCTTGAGCGAGTCCTCTTTAAAAGTTCTCCCACGCCCTTCAGGGACTCATGCCCGCCTGCTGTGCCTCCTGCTCTCTGTTCACCTGCCTCTTCTCCTAGCCTGCCACTAGAAGCTCCTCTGACTCTCTGGCTTCTCCTTGGCTATCCTCCACTCTCTTAGGGGTTAGCTAACACCAATTCTAAGGGTTACCATGCCCAGCAACCTTACACACATTGGGAAACGGGAGATGCCTGGTTCCCTGCAGTAGAGGCGGTGGAGAGGTCTCAGCTTCCCTTTCAGACATCAAGCAGACAGGGCTGGAGGCTGCGGCCCAGGGGAATAACCTGGGAGAAGCTGTGGAAAGATGGGGAGGAGAGTGAGAGCCAGTAACAGTCAGCAGGGGGACAAGGCAGGACAAGACCCCTGGGTCAGTTTCAAGAACCAGGCAATGGAGGGAGTAGAGAAGACAACAGGGAAAGCCTAACCGGGGCTACCCTGTCTCAACAAGCACAGGAAGCCAGTGACTGCTTCTCTGTATCTGTATGTAGCTCAGTTGAGGAAACCCAGGTGTATCAATACGTTGAAGAGTGTTAAGGAGGGGAGAGGCGGAGGGCTCTGGGGAGAAAGAGAGATTCCTGCAGTCAGGAGCCTTTAAGCTACCCGCCCACTTGGGCAGAGCCTCTTACACTATTTCTGTTGCTGTTCCCCATTCCAGCAGAGGATTGTGACTTGTGAGTCTACCCCCAAATAAATAACCCTCTGTTATTCTCAGTTCTGAGCGAGGGTGGGATTTCTTTTAAGCGTCTTTCTGCAATGGGCTGAGGGGAGGTGATCTCTAGTGCGGCCCAGCGGCCTGCTGCTGCTTGGAAAAGGGGCCACAAGATCACAGCACCGACTATCACACTGTCTGTCCCCAAAGCATAGACTCAGAGGCCAGTGGGGGCGAAAGATAAAGAGATCACAGGAACAAAGATGACGCTGAGACACCACAGGGACAACAGTATTTCCAGGTAGAGTATTTATTCCAGATGTGCAGTTTAAAATGCACCCAGCACAGGTTTCCACACTTAGCTTTGATCACATCGTCAACATCTCAACTTGCCCCGACAAACGGGCATCAGACCCAGATCCGTGGCTGCAGAGAGCACATCGCTGGCTGACTCCCCTCCTTGAGACCACTGGAGAAGTCCCTACCTCAGACTGACTTGTGCATGCTCTAGGCAGCACACGCTGCCCTTTCAAAACAGAAGAATGGACTGTGGAAAAGCTGAGACACAGTATTTACATATACGGTGATGAGAAGCGCTTCATGGTATATAAATTAATATGGCACAAGTAACTGTGTAGAAAAACATAAAGTTACAGTGAATAAATATGAACCAACTTTATATATCAAGCAGTATGTGGAGTATAAAAAGTAGTTCCTGGTTATATACATATACACATATATAAAATGGTGTGCTCCGGACTATAAATATACTATATACTTAAATATCTGGTGTGAGAGAGCATGTGTGGAAGTCTTCAGTTATGGACATTGAAATACTGGTGGCAGTTGGGGTCCCCTCTGATCTCCAGAGACCCAGGGATCTTCTTCCCACTCCACGGATAGACACACCAGCAGAGACCCGCTTCTCCATCCAGCGATGTCTCACACTGTAAAGACAGGACCAAGGTCAAGAGCAGCAGGCGGTGGGGGCTCTGGGCACCCCGTCCCTGAGCGAGGCATTGGGGGCTCTGGGCACCCCGTCCCTGAGTGAGATGGTGGGGTCTCTGGGCACCCCGTCCCTGAGTGAGATGGTGGGGTCTCTGGGCACCCTGTCCCTGAGTGAGATGGTAGGGTCTCTGGGCACCCCGTCCCTGAGTGAGACGGTGGGGGCTCTGGGCACCCTGTCCCTGAGCGAGGCATTGGGGTCTCTGGGCACCCTGTCCCTGAGTGAGACGGTGGGGGCTCTGGGCACCCCGTCCCTGAGTGAGACGGTGGGGGCTCTGGGCACCCCGTCCCTGAGTGAGACGGTGGGGTCTCTGGGCACCCCGTCCCTGAATGAAGTTGAGCACTGCACAGCTACCTACTAGCTAAGACTCAGCAATGTCAGTGCCCTTCCGCTTGCCATGACAAAATGGAGTCACTGTGAGGCACATGTGCTAACGATCTCACGCATTTGTTCAATGGTGCAATGCTTTGACAATTATCTCTTCATGGCCCTGCTGACAAAGGCGTCCAGCAATGCGTCTCAGTGATTAACCACCTCTATCACTCAGCTGGGCCTAGATCTCAGGCTTTCTCAATGGAATCATAGAACTTGCACTTCTCTGAGTCCTAAAGGCTCCTCAAAATTAAGCCTTGGCTTGTTGGATCTCATTTATTACTGGACATAGCACACAGCCTACTGTACTTTACTACAGAGTTTGTGGGAAGAGAGAAAGTGGGAATTCTGTGTTTCTTTCTTCTGGTTGCAAGTGTTGATCTGAGTGACAGTGCACCTCCCTACCGACTTCACGCTGTTGATCTGAATAAAGGCAGTCCTCCCTACTGGCTGAAGTGGTCCTCGCCCATCACACCGATGCTTGGTCCTCCCTACTGGCTGAAGTGGTCCTCGCCCATCACACTGATGCTTAGTCCTCCCTACTGGCTGAAGTGCTCCTCGCTCATCACACTAATGCTTAGTCCTCCCTACTGGCTGAAGTGCTCCTCGCCCATCACACCAATGCTTAGTCCTCCCTACTGCTGAAGTGCTCCTCGCCCATCACACTACCTCTATCTAAGGTCTAGCTTCTCCCAACTGCGCAGCGATGGACCTCACGTAAGAAAGTCACCCACATTGTATATTTTGAGGCTCTAACGGGGATGTGGAAGAGCAGAGCTAGCATGTGAGACCACACAGTAGCTAAGCCACCTACCTGTTTTTTTTTTTTTTTTTTTTTTTTTTTTTTTTTTGCCACCTACCTGTTTGCTGTGATAAAATCCATTCTTGTTGCAGTTTGGCAGATAAAATTTGTAGACTTCATCTCCTGCTTTCTGTTGAGCTGCAGCCAATCTCTCCAGCACTTTATAGAGCTCTCGTTGGCAGGGCTCCTAAAAGAATAATTTTATATTAGCATGAATACAAGAAAAGAGATTTGTCATTTGAGACAATGACAGAGACAGAGCAGGAGCAGCTATGGTATTCTAGGGCTGTGCATGAAACATATGCCATCCCAGGCCTTGTTTCCCACTGTGAACGGGACAGGTTGGTCTCAGGCTCGAGCTGTGTGGATAAAAAAAAAATGGGAACACCAGCCACATCCTCACTGGGTGGTATTTTCTAAAGACCTGCTTAGTGACATCCTGGCAAACCTGGCCAATGGTATCTGATACTTCCCGATCCCTGCCATCTGCTGAGTAATTTGGGCACCTGAACTCTGGCAGGAATGACAGTGGGCTCGATCTCTGTCTATGGAATTTAGCATCAGAAAAACGTAGATTTTCGAAGAACTGTCCTTGTGGTTGAAATATGTCGTCTCCCTGTTCCTAACCCCGCAGAAAGAACAACACCGTCGTCACTGTGGAGCAAGGCACTCATCTGGATGGCTTAAGATCAGAATGAGATTTCTTATACCTACCATAATTTCCAGATAAAATTCTAAAGTGTCCCTAAAAATGGCCATTCTCTTACTTCCCTAAGTGCACTTTTTTAAGGCCTCTGTAGTAATTTAATCACTGACTTCAGTTCTCTGTCGCCCCCAAGTGGTCACATTAAAACCAGCCATTAAACTAGAGAAGTTCTTGCTGGATTGAGAATTGGAAAGGGAGGAAGAGAGCTGGGTGGTGGGGACAATTGCTGAATGTACTTAGTGACAAAGAAACCTAGACTAAAAATGACCGATTTTATGCTCTGTGTATTTTGCCATATTTTTAAGGAGGCAAAAATACAGCAGGGACAGGGGCAGCTGTGGCCCCTGTGCTCAGCTTCAGCATGCTCAGTGTCTTTTAGACATTGTCTAGACTAACACCTCCACTTAGAGATAAACCCAAGGGTCCATGTGCAGGGTCTCACCTTCCATTTCTTGAGGTCGGCGGTCTGTCGGGCCCGTATGCTGTTGTAGGTGCTGATGGCATTCCACAGGATGGGCCGGTCCTCACTGGAGGGGGCCATCAAGTGGAAGCTTTCCAACAGTTGCTCCTCGGTCATCTCTGGGCTCTCGGGAGCCTCATCCTCAGGAGCCACAGCAGTCTTTGCTTCTGAAAAGCAAGCACCACAGACCCGTGAGCCCCTGGAAGCCTTGCTCCTGTGCCCAGTCACTTCTTCTCCTTAGAACCAATCTAGAATGGCCTGGAGAATTCGGATTTTTCACCAGCGGTGTTTGGGAATGATTATGACCAGACAGCAATACTAATTCTTTTCTGAGAAAATAGTATATGTCAGGGTTAGGCAGGGGAGCCCCATGGCACAATTGGGTGGGGGAAGGGCAGGAATATAACCCTTGAAGAAGCCAAGGACTGGGGTCAATGCCTGAGTCCGTAAGTGGTGAGACTGGGCCCCTTGGCTCTCCGCTCCGCTCCACAAGAGTCTACTAAGACCCCAGGAACAGGTGTAGTTCAGGGAGAAGCAAGGTCTAGAATGTAGCCTTCCTTACCCAAACCACCACCCACCCTCCTCTCTCCTGGGGACCTTGCTTTTCCACACACCCTCACCTCTGTGCACCCCCTCACAGAGGACAGCATTAGACACTTTGCAGATAGAGGCCATAAAGGCTCAAGGAGAGGAACAATGAAGAAGCCCGGCCCCACCCAGGGGAAGTCCATTTTAGAGGACCATTGGGATCACTCTAATTTCAATTACTCCAAAGGGTCACATGCTTGCAATACAGCTTCCCACCAGAGTATGGAACCACGAGGCCCCTCCACACCCACACAGGACGTGCACGCAGCCCAGATGGGGAGATAGGGGCTGGAGCAGAGGAAGAGGCATTTCCCAAGCTTCCTACTACAAACAAACCAGTGCTTAAATTCAGGAAAGCGCCTGATTGTCAGATTCCTAGCAGGCAACATACACATCAAACGCTGTTTGTCTATAGCAATGAATGGAAGTGAAGGCTTGGGCCCGAATTTTCACATCATGTTCTGTAAACATCTGGGAAGCACATATTGCGTGGCAGGATATATGCTACAAAGAGCATTGCAAACCTCCTGGGGGCAGCGGGAGGGCTCCCATCCTAAACCTTCCTGGATCCTCCAGTCACTGGAACTGCCAAAGGCAGGACCCACTGGAAGAGGCGTTAGGTGCTTGGGCCAGCACCCCACCCACCTGGCAGCTCCATGGCTCCTCCACCGCAGCGTGTGACCAAGTACTACTAGTAGTCTGTGAATGTTCTTCCCAGCTAAGCGCCCTGCGCTTGGACCACCCTTTCTTCGGATATCCCCGCCCCCAAGACCAAGCAAGGATGAATCTCTGTGGGTGATCTGTTTGCCCATCACAGCTGAACGCTTTTCGCGGGCCTGGAGTGTCTTTGTCCCACCTAACATCGGTTCCGGCTAGGCCTCTGCTGGCCTAGGCAGTATGTGTGTCCCAGCCAAGAGATCTAAAGGCAGAATGGGGCTGTAGTACCTTCGTCTTTGCGCTCAGTGCTGGACAAGGCTCTTGTGGCTGGTACAGCGGGCTCTGGTACACAGGCTCCCTGGCCGCGGGTGAGGGCATGCAGGGGACGAGGCTCCCCGGGCAGCGCACGGCAGCTGAGTCCCTGGGCACAGCGTGCAGTGGCCACGCCGCAAGCGGCGCCCAGTGGCAAGGCACATGTCGGGCAGCAGCCACAGCCTGCAGGCCTGGAAATCTCAGGGCACGAAGCGGGCACGGGTGGACAGAGGCCCAGCTTCTCAGCAGTGCAGGGCGCACAACGCCACGGCTGGGGGGCTCCGGTGGTCACGCCAACCTGGAAGGCTAGAAGGATCAGGAACCGCCAAGAAGCAACAGCTAGGAACTCAGGCATCGCAGCCCAGTGCAGCAGGCAGTGGATGAGAGAGCCTCTAGGTAGACAGCGGTGGCGCCGGTGCTCACAACTCTCTGGGCAAGTGGTAGTAACAGCCGATGGTCACAGCTCTCTGAGCAGATGGCCGTGTGCGGTGTTCAGTGCTCGCTGAGTGTGTGGTGGCGGGCAGTGGAAGATGCTGGCTGGTTGTACCCAGAGCCTTATGAAGGGCTGGCTCGAAGGCACGGGTTAATGATTATCAGGGCAGCGTGCTAGGATCCCTGTGTTCAAAATAAGTTTGTTTGGCTGTGAGCCCTGCGCAAACTGTGGGTGGAAGGGGGGCAAAGGGATCAGGTTTCTTACTATGTTTGTCCTGTCGTGATGACCTAAGACAGGAGCTAAAGTCCAATTCTGACAGCAAACGGGTTGCCGGATGGGGGAGGGCACTTGTTTTTGTTCAAGGGGCATCAAAGACCTAGCCGACAGGCTCTTCAAGAGGACCCAATGAAAGCCTAAGAAACTGAGGAACCACAGGTTAGGCCAAGAAGGCTTCAGGCCTCAAAAGGAGGGACAGAAGTGGAGTTCTTTGTGACAAAGCCCACAGTTGTTTCTCCCACCTCCCAGGGAAGCCCCTAGCCAGCAAGGAAAGAAATCCATAGTTCACCTCAGGAGCTATCATGGCTGCAATTCCAACAGTACAACGGCCCTCCAAAGAGGAAAAAGGCCCAGGGCCTTAGCAACCTGTTCTGTGTGGCTGTGGAGTCAGACCCACGCTATCTCTAACAGTCTGACATTCCAGCTCAGATGAGATGCTTGTCAGTGATCAAGTATGGCAGCTTTCTCTTCGCCATGTTTCATCTTTTAAAATTACAAGGTAAATTCAGAAATCTTTAAGGAAATCGGAAATGGGACATACCCCAGGAGCTCCCCCAAACCTCCCAGAGTAAACTGACCAGCACCCTCATTGCCCCTAAGTATCTTCTGTGTCCCCCCAGGTCTAGATTTCACCTCCCAACCACCTTCCTGCCCCAGGTGCTAACTTAGAGCAACCAACCTCTAGCAACGGCCTAGACCGTCTCGTCTGCCCTTCATGGTACTGGTTTGGAGCAGCATGGAACCCTACAAACCACCCAAGTGTTCTACCAGCGTTCATATACCAGTCCAGCCCCTCAAGGTCTTTAAGAGTGGTACTTCAGACCTGGGGCTTTGGAGATCTCAACGTTAGCTCCTGGCTCAAGAGGAGGACATTGAAGACAAAGGTTGCAGGAGATTTCAGGTCAAGGTCATGGAGACTGCCATGGAACATCCTGTACAAAAACTCACATCCCTGTTACCCAGCAGTTCAGTACTGCTTGTCTTTGAGCCTTGGACAAATGGCTTTCTGGGCGGTTTGGCTAAAGTACTCTAAACACATGCACACTGACGTATCACCTGCTAACAGTGATTCTTACATGCAAAGGAACCAGCCTAGGTGCCCTGCTACTGCGCAGGAGTGGGGGAGGTGTTGGTGGTGACTGACAGTTCCTGAATTTGGGGTACAGCCAAAGCCCTGACAGATAAGGAATGCTATGTCCAAAACCAGAGAGATGGACACAGTGAGGAGCAGAACAGTCACCAGGAGAGAGGACTCATGGAGCGGGGGGGGGGGGGGGGGGGGGGGGGGGGGGGGGGGGGGGGGGGGGGGGGGGGGGGGGGGATTGAGGAATAGGGAGAATTACACTAGGTAAAGGGCTGGGGGAGATTTCTGGAAGGAGTAGAGAATTTAGGAACTCGATTCCACTATATAGCAATAGGCAGGCTGCAGGCTGGTCGTTCACATCCAACCACAGAAGCACTCGTCTTGATTCACCAGAGAGGGACTACCCATGGACATCACTGAAGGAGCTGGCTGGGAAGAGAAAGGGATGCTGAAGCCGAGACACCAGATGTCTGTGCAGGTCCGTGACTACAGATGACGAAATGGGAGTGAGAGCTCACTCTAAAGCTGTCCCACACACAGCCTAAATGTCCACAACCAGACAGCTAATTCTGCATTTCCTGGTAGAAAGCCTTTACGATAAGGTGTTTTTCAATTAAGGAAAACCTCCATCCTAAGACAGATTGGGAGGGTACGAGATCTGCTGCCGTCAGTACACGAGAGCAGCTGTGATTCTAAATGTAGTGAATGTCTTGAGAGGAATGCAGAACACGGAGCAGGATATCTACTGGGGCAGGGCGAGATTTAGGAGCCCGAGGACACTCTGGTTTTCCCTATCCCCTTTCTGGATCTGTGCCATGTGCTTACGCTATACAAAGAAATTATTACACTGGACTGCAGATATAGGAGAGGGATAGAAGGCGTTCCTGACATGCACAAAGCCCTGGGTTCAATTCCCCAGGCCTGAAAAAAATGTATATGGAATTACCCTGATACCTATCCCCGGCTGAACTTTGCAAAGTGACTGAAGTTTGCAAAGCTGGCTTTTGTTCAACTTGGACAGTCTCAAAGAAACACAGCTGGCTCAACATCTGCCACAGTCACTGGAGTAAAGTCAGGCGACAAACCTGCTCCTAGACACTCAGAATCTCATGAGTGTGTCTCTCGTTATTTTTGTTGATTTAATTGAAATAGCATTTCACTATACAGGCTGGACTGGACTCAAACACATAGCAATCCTCCTGCCTCAGCTTCCTGGATACTAGGATCACACTAGTGTGCTACCATGCCCAGCTATGCTTTTTTTTTTCTGATGAAAGTGCCTAAGTTTAGTACCTTGCTAAGGAGTTGAACAAATAATTCCCATTTTAAAACATTTTTATTTTAAATAAGCATTCCTTTTGTAAAGAGGTTATGCCTGATTCTGTGTAAGGCATTAGGGTTTGTGTCCACGTGATGCAGATGCCTTTGGAGCTTGGAAGAGGGTGTTGGATCCCCTGGAGTTCCAGGTGGTTGTAAGCCACCCAACATGGGTGCTAGGAGCTGAATTCAGGTACTCTACAAGAACAGTCCACTCTATCTCTCCAGTCCCTAGCATCTTACTGTAAACTATTTTAAAGGAATAGCTTAGATATAAGTCCTTAAATAATTTTATTTTTGAAAGTAGAATTTGTCCACCAAAGTTTCCTTTTGACTTCCTCAACTTGTAATCATTGTCCACACTTGAAATGTTGCCTTGATGACACACAGAGAAGGTGACACACTGACAAATATTTGGGACTTTGTGCCAGGCAGGAACCCGGGATGCTGGTCAGTTTACTCTGCTGCACGCTTGCCCAGTACACATCCAGATGTCCCTCCTCTGCTCCTGCACATAGTGGCTCTGCTCTCTGTCCAAGAATCGATTTCCCCAATGTTTCCATTGATCACCTCACAGGCACACAAACTCCACATTGATTCCCAACTCTGTCAACACACATGAAGCCAGCCCCCCATCCCACCCCAGGCCCCTGTCATTGGCCTGTGCTGTGTGGGGTGGGGTGACTGCCCTTCTCCTGAGTCACAGTCTGACTCAGCCTCCTGTCATGTCCAGCTCTAGTCCTGAACCTGGGAAGCCCACTCATTTTCCAGTGAGATGCTGCCTTGCTTATCCGCTGCCTCAGTTTCACCTTCATACTCGAGCTCTGCATCTTCACACTGGAATTCCCGTTGTCCCTTTAACCTTATATCTTTGTCCATGGTGCTTTGTCTCCCCCAGAAGCTGTCTTTTGGGACTCCCGTAGCTTCACAGGGGAGATGACCCTTCCTCCCAGCTTCTTAGATGTTTGCCCCCTTTCCTCACCCCACAGTGGAGCAGAGAGAACTGTCTTCTGGGTGAGGGGCACAGTGCCGGGCATAGAATGATAGGATGTCCCAAGCAGAGTCACAGTCTAGCATGCTCACAGCCCAGCAAGCTGTCAGTCTCTGGAGGGCTCCTAAGTTCATCCCGTGCTGCCCACGGCAGGAAGGAAGAGAGCATCCAGAATGTCTGGACACCTCGCAGATAAGGTGATGCACGGTGGGCCTTAGAGGGAAACTGAGATTCTCCAAGCAGCAAAGGTGGGGGTGACAAGACAGAAAGAGATGACAGAAGGTGAGGGAAGCCACCAAGCTCTGTGTGCCTGAGAATAGTCAGCAATTATCTCTGCCTATACGCACAGAATACTAAGTGTCCCGCATGCTGACCGTGGGAAAGCCTTAAGATGGACTAAAAACCTTAAATTTGGAGTAATCATCAGGGATGTGATGGGTGTCCTATAAGCCTCTGTGCCTTCCAAGAGCTAAGATTCTTGAATGACAAGCTGGGGGCAACCAGGGCTATCAGGAGAGGAGAATGATGTTTTTGTTTTGTTGTTTTGGGTTTTAAGTGTTGTTGCTGCTGTTTTCATTGTTTTCTTTCCTTTGGCCAGGATCTCACAGGGTTCAGGCTGTCCTTGAACTTAGTATATAGCCAACACTGATCTGAAACTCCTGATCTTCCTGCCACCAACTCCCAAGAACTGTGATCCGAGCATGTGCCACCCTGTCTGTCCAGTGTCTTGTGGGTGCTGACCCCGGACAGCTGGTGCCAAGAGGGGTGCCTAGGCGCTAGCAGATCTCAGCTAGGGTGACGCTCCTACTTTCTCCAAATCAAAGCCTGTGTATTTCCTGTACACACAGACACTCCTCCTGCTCTGTTTCAGTAAGCTCAGTGTGCTACAGAGGAAAGGTATTAAGCAAAGACGGCAGAGACATTTGCAGGGCAACCCCAGGCTGGACTCCAGAGGGAGCCAGCCGCACTCGGGCGTCTCCCTCAAGGACTCTTCACACCTCTGCCTTTTTTGTTTTGACAACTTCCGCGACGCTGACGCTGTTGAATATCACATGCGAAAACCTCAGCTCTGACAGTTTTATTAGCACCAGAAGAGGGGGTCATATGGGAGCAAAAGCTGCATTTTCACTTTGGGTTTCCTCACCCCCAGTGCACCACACAGCCAAGGCTGTAGGGAGGAGCTTAAAGGACCCTTGGCAGAGTGGCTGCTAACTGAGCTGCCAGGTGGGGGGCTCCCTGGGGGGAAGCTGTGGGGCCTGGGAATGATGAAAGCTGGAGAGGCTCTTCCATCACACGCTGTTCCCAGTCCTGCCTTCATGCAGGGCACCGCTCACCCACAGGCAGCTACAAAGTTATGCAATCTGGGATCTGGAAAAATGATCCAAGGGTCAAGGGCAAAGGGGAAATTTCAAAGGGGAAAAGTGCTGCAATCCAATTGTTTTGAACCTGAGGGAAAACACAAAAAGATGTTCTGCCCACAGCCCATGATCAACATTGGGATGATGTAAACCCATGCAAAGGCCTGGCCTGCTGCCCCCATCTCCCGAGCAGATGAAAGGTACCGCGAGCTGCCATCGGAAGCAAGGTTGGGGGTGGGGAATAGCTCACCCCTACACTCCCTAAGGATGTGAACAGCCCAGGCTCTAACACAGAGTCAGAGAAACAGGCTTCCTACCGGTGTTCAGGGACGTTGTCAAAAGACGTCAACTTCAATCTCATCAATGGCAGCCCTTCCCCAGTGTATTTGAGGACTGTGTTGAGGTTAGTCTGAGAGGACAGATATTACGTGCCAGGCACAAGGAGAGTATACACACATAATATTTCATGCTCTGGTCAGTATAACGCTCCCAGGAGCTGGGTAGCGAGGCCAGCCCCTGAAGCCTGATTTCCGGGGTTAGTGCCTGTCACTCTGTTAACAAGTGTCTAGGGTTCTGATGCACACTCCTGTGGAGCCGGCAGCTCACAAAGCCCCTGATCCCGTTCTCCCTTAAAGCCACCCCCTTAGGGGAGGGAGGAGTGGAGTTTTCAGGGATAAGGGACACATTTGGTAAGGAACAGCCCCCAACTCCCAAGAGTGGCTAAAGGTTGGGTGCTGGGAGGGGATGGAGACAAACAGAGTGCCCTCCCTGTGTGAGGACCCTAGCCTATGGTGTATTCACATCTGTACGTAAATGAGAGTGGAAACAAATTCTAGAACAGTCTAGAGGAGCGCGCTGATGAGAAGAACCTACTGTAGGCAGGAGAAGGTCTTGCAGCTCGTGGGAAAGGATACAAAGCCGATTTTTCCTGGTTTCAAATCTCTCATAAATTTTTCTCTCTTCAAGGGAGATATGTGAACTCAGCTCTCTGGGTGTTGAAATAATGAGAACCAAGGGTGTTTTCCCCCACTGCTCTGTGTTATCCGCTCCAGGCAGTGAGTGTGAAAGGCAGGCTTGCTTTCAGATCCATTAGCCGTTAGTGCAGTAGGAATTACGGGTGACTGGCCACTAAATACATGTCATATTGACCACTTTTAAAAAGTGGGTTTCTTTCAATTCTGCTGAAATCATATCAAATCATTCTATTATGTTATTTAATATGTCAATTGCATTTTTAAGGAAAGAAACCATGGAGCCAGAAGGTTGAGACACTATCGAAGTCCTTGAGTGGCCTGGTGTGTTAAGGGTCTCTGAGGTGGGCTAGGCTGTCTCTTAACATCCCTATGACCTTGAACAAATTATCTGACATTTCTTTTCTTCAATTTCTCCTTTGGCACATTGACCAGTACCTGCTACATAAGAATATATAGCAGGGGTAGAAAATGATTAACCCCTAAAAGGCCATGTTCTCCTTCCCGAAAACAGGGGTGGCTGTGGTAGGTAGCCGGGTCACTATTTTCTTTCTCAGACTGGACTCTGTTCTAAATGAGTCTTAGGGAATGCCATCCCATTTTCTCATCCCCTGTGAGACTGCAGGCCCCACCCTGGGAGACCTGTGCAGATGGGCCGCCTACCCCTTCTCCCTCCATCTTCTGTCTTCTGCTCTCTCCAGCACCCCAGGCTCTACCATGCCAAGACTTACTAATATCTTGCCTGTTTTGAAGACACTTCTTACTTTCATGAAAAGTCCCTCTGCATGCAGATTTTAGCTGGAGGGACCAAGACACGGCTATCTCTAAAAGCCAGTTCTGGGGCCACGTGTCATACTGTGACAAACCCTTGTCATGTGGTCTGACCAGTCCTTGCCTTGGACTGTTAAGGCCTGTGGTGGACACAGTGGTTTTGTCGGAAACTCACGTGCTGTCAGGAGCTCAAGGACACATCCGGAGACACGGCACTCGGTCACGTTAGGTAGCAGAGCCTGGGGGGCAGAAAAGCCGAACCCGGTTTACTAGACAGGGAACTTTATGGTTTAAAATTAGTGTGTGCTCGTTACATGATCTCTCGGGGAAATGTGAAGTAGAACTAAGTGTTGTAACTTTCATTCCTTTTTCCTCCTTTAGCCCCTCTTTCCCTTCCTCCCTCCCTCCATTCCTTCTTCCCTCCTTCCTTCTTTCCCTTCTTCCCTCCCCCCTTCCCTTCCTTCCTCCGTCTCTCCTTTCTTCTCTTTCTTTTTCTTTCTCTTCCTCCCTCCTCCCCTCCCTTCCTTTTTCCTCTCAGAAGGGTGGTTCTACTGTTTCTCCCACTGCTCCTAAAGAGGGCAGTCAGAAAGTTAAAAACCCCTTTATGGGAACAACCCAGAAGAGCACCTTTCGGCAATTTCAAAACATTGTTTACATAAAGACCAGATGTAACTGTGAAAACGGAGGCTAGTGACCATCCAGGGGATTTATCCATGCTGGGTTGTTCTTAGATACAATCTGTCTCCCAACCCAACACTCTCCAGAGCAAAGCATTTTGTCTGCCTCTTAATGAGGGAAGGGGTCAGAGAGTGGGGTGGGGTGTGCTGCTGAAACGGTAGGGAACTCAGCACCAAGTTAAGACCCTGGGGTATCTGAGGCTGGCATGTGCTTTCCGCCCTCACGATTCTGGGTGTGTGCTGGGCCATCACTGCTTCTCTGAGCTTTGTCACTAAGATGTACAGTGTTTCTGTGGATATCTCCTCCCTCAGGGAAACAAGGGGGCCCACGAGAGCTTTTCCAGCCTTGAAACCCCTACAGTTGCAGACAGCTGTGGGGCATCACATGGACTCAGCACCTGGCCCGTGGGCAGGGACAGAGCTGAGGCTGTGGTGCACACACCCACCAAGCAGGCTCACTTGGGGACCGCCCTCTACAAGAGAGACCAAGATCCCTCAAGACAGGTCTTCCTAGGACTTCAGAGAGCAAGACGGTAAGATGGGAGATGGTAGAGACTAGCGGGCTAATCTGCCACAGGTGTCAGCTCTGCGTGGTGCTGGAGAGCGCTATCTTGCTGGTGGGGCTCTGGAGGTGTAGCCCTCTGGGGGTACAAGTTGTCATTAATGTGCTGTACGTCTCAAAGTATGCCTGACTTGGAACCAGCAATCCTACTTGCTCGAATGTGCCACGGGCAGAGCTGCCTCTTAGTTCTGTGGGGTATTATTTTTAAGTGCCCAACTAGATGGCATTCACAGCCGGAAAAGACACAGACGGAGAAAATTAGGATACATCTAAAGAAGGAATCCTTTGTAGTCATTTGTGTGTGAAAGTGTGGGCAGGTACATATTTGTTCCTGTACATACGCACATATAGATAAACGTGTACACTATAGACAGGATCCCTATTTGTCAATTGAGAAAGGTTATAGAATAGACATATAATGTGCTACCATATAAAAAGTAGATATCTAATCACATATTCCCAAAGATTCAAGCCCAGTCTTTGATCTCAGCACCAGGGAGTTCCAGGCTAGCCAAGGATACATAGTGAGACACTGTTTAAAAAACAAACAAAAAACCTAAACAATAAAAAAAGATAGCTTAATCAAAAGAGTAATATCTAGGGTACTGGGAGGCAGGAGGTAAACTGAAAATAGTTGGTTAGGCCCAGTGACACCTGTTGTCTTAGCTCCTCAGGGACTAAAGGGTGAGTTGATCTTAGGAGTTCAAGGCGAGTCTGGGAAACATGAAAACCACCTTCTATTTCTGTCCCTCTCTGGCTCCACCATGCTGAGACTTACAAGCGTGCCTACCCATTTTGAAGACCCGCATCTTATTTTCACGCAAAGTCCCTCTCCAGGATGTTATAATCCCTTTGGGAGCCCAGTGCTGGTGCAGGCTGGAACTGACTCAGTTGCCTCCTGGCTCCACCCACTGTCACCTTCTGGGAGTCTTTAGAAACCTGGTTATGAGAGCCAGGCTGATCATCAATTTAACCAGGGATTTGGCTGGCCCAGTGCTCTGGGCTCTAGCAACTCCAGTCTGAGAGCCACTGAAGGGAGGAATCCTGTGCCACAGACCTGCTTAAGATTCTAGTGCTTTCCAGGACCAGTGGTGGGTAATGGCACTCGCCTTTAATCCTAGCACTTGGGAGGAAGAGGCAGGTGGACTCTGTGAGATTGAGGCCAACTTGGTCTAGGACAGGCTCCAAAGCTACAGAGAAACCCTGTTTTGAAAAACCAAAAAGAAAAAGAGAGAGAGAGAGAGAGAGAGAGAGAGAGAGAGAAAAGAAAAAGGAAGAAAAGAAAGAAAGTAAGGAAGACAGAAAGAAAGAAAGAAAGAAAGAAAGAAAGAAAGAAAGAAAGAAAGAAAGAAAGAAAGAAAGGAAGAAAGAAAGAACGAACGAACAGTGGCAGTGGCGCTCAGTGTGTCTGAATGCAGAAGTAACTTTGATTAGGTGACTGGACAGTCCTTCGTTGCGAGAATACAGCGGCATTCTAAACTGCACGCGTGGAGAAACCAGCCAGGTGAACACCCTCAGGTAGTGAGCACGCCCCGCCCCCAACCCTGCGCTGCCACGTGCTCATTAGGTGTTCACACTTGCACCTGTCCATGCCTGAGGGGGAACTCCTGCGGGGCGTATTTCCAAGCACTCTTGTTCTGAGGGCCAGGCGCTGTAACTGCCCAAGGACACCCTTTTCAGAGGGAAGGCTGGATGGAGTTGGACACAGCACAGGTAGGTATTGAGAGGGATGTATCTGGGAGTAGGAAGGAGTAGCGTGTGATGTGTGGGGGAGAATTCTGGCAGAAAGTAGTCCTGCAGATTGCTCTTAGGCTGCCTGCCAGTTAGGACCCAAGGAGTTCCTAGCCTGTGAGAAACTGTCCTAGACCCTGGATGTGCTGTGTGTTAGATGGGTCATGGCTCAGTGGCCTGGCCTGGAACCCGGGTACCACACACCTTAGGCAGCTCTGGACTTCTTGCTAGTTCCTCCTAGGTAGGGTCAGACCAGAGTTTTCCCAGCTTGATGCCGAAGACTCAGGAACATTCCTGACCTCTTTGTAGTAGAGAATCTGGGTTCCTAAATTATATAGTATTGCTCCGCCTAAGGAGTGTCAAAGTTATTTTCTAAAAAAAGAAAAGAAAAGAGAAAAGAAAGAAACAAAACTGCAAGATAGTGGTGGCACACACCTTTAATCCCAGCACTCAGGAGGCCAAGGCAGGTAGATCTCTGAGTTTGATGCCAGCCTGGTCTACAGAGTGAGTTCCAGGACAGTTAGGGCTACACAGAGAAACCCTGTCTTGGAAAAGAAAAGCAAAATAAAATTATAACATTTACTTTTGGAATATTTCAGTCCCCCTACCCCCAAGTAGCAATGGCTTCCTTAACAGTTTGGGGCTGTCACAACCTGCAGTGGACACTGTTCCTCTCCTTGCTTCATAAAGGTGGAGTAAAGCAAGAAGGACAACAGTCACAACTCTCAAAGTGACCTCAGTCAGTGCACGGTTGTGCTGCCTGCTTGAATTTGTCTAAAGCCCTAAGAAATACAGAAAACACCAACCAACAGAGCACGAGTTACTGCCCGGTGATTTCACGGGGTTGGCACGGGAAGGAGGCTCGCCCTGTGGTGGGTGAACACAGATGTGTTTAATTCCAGGTGATCAGTTCCAGGACCCTCCTCAGATTCCAGCATCCACTGACGTTCAGGTTCCTCACATCAAACACGACAGTGTCTGCGCAGAACCTAGGCACACCTTGCTTTCGCATACAGTGTGGAATTTACTGCTGGGCTGTGTTGTGTTTGGAATAACCATGAGCAAAACCCCGTATGCTCTCATGCATGCTGCTGTTACTTTGAAAATTGCCGAAATCAGACAGTTTTTTTTTTTCTTGAGCATTTTCCACCGGTACTCAGTTAAATCCACTGATGCGGGGCCTGCGGATATGAAGGCTTTTGCATCCGTCATTGGTCCCTAAGACAAGGGGTATGCATGCAGGAGCATTGTTGGTTTAATCTAGGCTTTATCTTGGAGGAGAAATGTCATCAAGATGGCTGGGTTGGGAATATTATAGCTAAACACAGCATGTCCCATCAGCTACGGCAGTGGATCTTGGTCTTCCTAATGCTGTGACCCTTCAACACAGTTCCCCATGTTGTGGTGACCCCCCAACCAGACGATTATTTTTCTGTTGCTACATTCTAACTGTAATTTTGCTATGGTTATGAATCGTACTCTAAACATCTGTGTTTCCTGACAGTCTTGGGCTCCTGTGAAAGGGTCATTTGATTCAAAATGGTGGAGAACCTCTGAACTAGAGCCACCTGCCCAGCTGGCTTCATCGTTTGTCAAAACATATTGTCTTTTTAATTCTTCCTATGTCCCGAGTCTGTTAAATGTTTCACTGGTAACATTTAGCTGTTTTCCCTGTGGGAAAGGCAGTTTCCTGGGACATTCTCTGTGCTTCAGTCCCGTCCTTGAGACCCGTCTCCAGCTGCGGCTCACTGCGCTCTCATTAACTATCCATGGACAGGTACAGGGGAGTGGAAATGTCCCATCATGCATGCCGTTTGATCTCCAGCCATGGGCGCAGACCCTCAGTGTTTCATGTTTCCTTCTCTGTGGCCTCCAGATAGGTGTCTCTGGGCGGTTGTCCTTGGATAAGAGTGTACTATGTCTTCACGAAGCATGCCGCAACTGTCTAGGACCCATATTGTGTTCTTTGTCTCTAGGTTCCGGAGTTAAGCTCCTATCTAGCAACAAACAGGCCCGGCTTGAAGAACCCTGTCATGCACAACACTCCTCAGGTGGCTATGGGCTGGAGTCCAAGGCCCCCAGGGAGGAACGTCCAACACCACTGGACCTTGACATCTGAAGACTCTGACGAGGATCTTGGGTCCCAGCTGGCAGGGTCCATTCCCACAGCCACCTTCAGAAAAAAGAGGCTTTCGACTGTCGAGGACCTGGAGAATTCCAGTGAGCAGGCGGAGCCCCAACCAGACCCTTTAGCTGCAGAGGAAGAACCACGCACGTCAGCCTCCTTGAACAAGGAGTGTCAGGAGACAGAGGCCCTGCAGGACATGAGCTGGCCAAAGAACCCGAGGATGCCTGGAATTTCAGACAGCCCCTGGCAGAGAAGACGAGACCTAAAGAAGCGGGCAGCTGCAGTAGGTCTCCTGCCTCCCGCCCCAGCCCTGTCCCTAGGGACTCTAGGTCCCTGTATGATTCCCAGCTGTGGTATGGAGGGGGCATTTACCCTCCATCACTCAGGTTCCTCTGGCCCCAAGCATGGAGCTGTGCACAGTGTACCCACCTCTGCACATGAGGTCACAAGGCCTTCCAGCTTTCTGACACCCGATTCTCAGATATCTCAAGACAGCTTTTTGTTCAGAAGGGAGGCTTTGCCTGAGGACACCATGACTTCCTGGCGCTGGTCTCTGCAAACCTAGTCCTCAGAGCAGGCTCTGGCTGTTCTTTGTCCCAGGTCTCTAACTCATGGGCATCTAGGTGCTATGAGTGTCTGTCTCCAGTACTGAGGGTTCAGTAGAGAAGCTGTTGACAGGAATTGTCTTTACTGCACTTTGATCTGTGCCTAGAACACAGCAGGATGCTGTTACTGCCTGGGAGGGTCCTGAGATTTCTGGGCCTGGCTGAGCTGCCTCAATCCCTTCCCTTGCCACAGTACTGGGACAGAGATGGCTCAGTCTCACACAGTAGGAGCACAAGCCACACCTAACCCTTGCTCTGAGGTGCTTCTGCCTCTCTAGATGCCAGGGCCAGTCTTTACCAGAGCCCTGGTGATTAAGTGACCACCAGGGAAGCATCCTGGCAAGAGTAGAGGCCAAAGCAGACGGAGCATTAAGGACATGTATCTTTAGGTCAGGTGTGGGGAAAGCTGTAACCACAACAGTGCAAGTCAGAGGCAGGAGGCCAGCCTAGGCTACATCAGGGAGACCATCTCAGCAAACACATGCTATCTGCCAGTTTCCATCCCCTGTCCACAGATCCCACTTCCAAACTCTCACCGCTGGAAGCCTGCAGTATGATGAGAGTGCTGTATAGGGAAGCTCTGGAGGAATTTTCTTCCAACTCATTTCTCCCCTGTATCCCTCCTGAGGATGCTAACCTCTAGGGTAGCAATATCAGTACAGCCAGCCACTTTCAAGGGCCCCTGCCTTCTCCCCACCGTCTGCAGATTTTAGACTATCACTCTGATAAACTTCAGGTGCTGACCTCCTCTGAGACTGAAAGCCTAGGTCTGGGACCTATACTTGGGGGAACACACAGAAGCCAGGGAGGGAAAGCTCTGTGGGTTTGGCTGCTGTCTTAGACCTGGACGAGGGTCCCAGGCCTGCTGGCACTTTTTTTCCTCAAGTGCATTGTTCATGTTGGTTACCAATAATGTTGTCTGTCAGCAGATTGTTGTCTGTCTTCTACACAGATGCAACGCTTGCAGCAATGGGAGGCCCAGATGCTTCTGGAAATTGAAGAGGCGGTCCATCATGAGCTTACCATCCAAGATGGGACCCTTAGCATGGAGTTTCCTGACCAAACCCAGGGGCCACTTAGCTTTGGCACAGTCAGTGTAGAAGCCCAGGACCCTGCCACCTTGGAATAATTGGATTATCTGCACCACACACCACAGCTGGCCCAGGTGGGTAAGGTGGGAACAGACCTTGTTACCCAAACTGTAAGGTGGGGAAGAATTGCCTAGGCCTGGGAGAGGTTGAAGGGCACATCAAGGGACAGAGCTGGCAGTTTGAAAGAGAATGAACTTCTTCATGTTCTTGAAAAGGTCACTGGGCTTGATTGAACCCTGTGACCTCTAGTGCCTGGCTGTGACCTCAGGGACAATTGCTCTGCTCCTCTGACCCTTGTTTTCCTTATCTGAAAACTGACAAAAAAAAACGTATCAGGTGCAATACAAAGCATATGGACCCAGCTGTGGCTAGCCTGGCTCCCTCTGCCCTGGGAAAGCCCTGTGCACTGGGGACTTCCTGATTCTCTGGGCTGAGTTCACTCAAGCTTCGGTGAGGCGGGACCAGAAGGAAATGGGCCATGGAGTTCTGAAATACTAGGCCAAGTGCAAGTGTGGTTGGGCTCAAGTTCCGACCTTGCCCTGGGAATTCAGCTAGGCCCAATGGTAGAGAAGACAGGCAGAGAGAGGGCAAGGTCACCTTCTGGGTGGGATTAGGGATGATACAGATGGAGAAAGGGGGTTGGTGTGTGTCCCCTGAGGATGGAAGAAACAGAAAGAGTACAGTTTAGGATTTGGGTTTTAATTTCCTCAGAAATGGATGGGATTGATTTCCCACTGGTCTTCAGGGGAGCATGGTTAGAAAGGTCCGATTTCTAGACACCTGGAGAGCTGCAGCTGCTGCTCAAGGCCATGCTGTGGGCGGGGCCAGGGGAATAAAGCTAGCCCTGTGGTAGCCTGGGTAGTTGCTTCCCTTGCCCAGTTTCTCCCCATGTCCAAACTGATGGATATATCTCCAGGTGATGTAAGGAGGAGACACTAGATGGCCACCCTTGGAGCTTCAGTTAACACCAGACTGCCTCCAAGTACTCTTGGGCTGGCCTCTTCATGTAGACATGCTGTGGCCACTTAAACGTAGAGATCGATTTTATTCTTGGATGTTTGGTGTTTCCTTGCTAAAAACAGACATGTTTCTAGTCCTAGTGTAGTCTACTCCGCTTTCTGCCTGTCCTGTCCACAGTGGCTGCAGATAAACAGTTAACACGATAGTGAAATGTTTTAAAAGGAGAAAGCAATGATACAAAAGTAGGGTCAAGGTGTATGTGGGGTCCACGGCCTTCTGCTTGCAGCCACAGGTAACAGGTTGCACTGTCTGCTTTCAGGAGGAGGCCAGTCACTGCAGCTATGGCAGGAACTTCGGATTCCGTGTGATGTTCTCTCTGAGTTGTAATTTATTTTATACTTAAACATCTGCATATTTTCGAGCCACTTCCTATTAAAATAATTCTCTATTTTCGTTTGTGTAATTATCTGGTTATAAAAATCAGTCGAGAGAGTGTCAGGGCTTTATTAATTTTTTCAAATAAGACAGAATGCTATTTTTAGACCTGATGAGAACTGTGTAACAGAGATAGAGATGAACGCATCAGAGAAAAGTCCTTCCAATCTTCGTTATTAAAAATAAACTCTTTGCATGAGAACTATTTCCAAAGTTTGTGCTTGAATGCAAATCAATTCCTATGTGTAGCCAAGAGAATTCTATTTCAACCTCACTTCTCAAAGACTGAAATTCAAACACAGAATGAGTTCAGGGAAGCAGTTTGAGGAAATGTGTTCTTAAAAGAAAGAATTGCAGGCCTTGGGGGAAGGACTTAGGTAATTTCTGGACATTTATGTTAGTTTTCTGGATTACGGTGTATTTGCCTGGTTAGAGCATACTTTACACTTTACTAACAAACACTCAGCTGAAGGCATTAGAATGTCATTCTTGGGGCTGGTAAGATGGCTCGGTGAGGTAAGGGGGCTTGCTTACCATGTCTGCCAGCCTGAGTTTGGTCCTTGGAATCCATACAGTAGGAGAGAACTGACTCTTACACATTGTCCTCTGACCTAAAATACCCGCTCATGTTCTCACATACAAACAAAACAAAATGTAAAAAAATTATGTAAAACATGCCAGTTGGGAGGACGCTTCACCAACCGGGGAGTATAAGTCGTCCACACTCATCTGCAGCAAGGTACTGATGGGCAATTCAGATAATGCAAGGTCCCTTTTGGACTCTGATACTTGCTGTGCAAACAGCAGAATTCCCTAGTTAGCAATCCCGTGATAACTGATGACTCGTGGTCCTTGGTGATGTGGTCAACATGGTTGCTTAGAGATAAGCATGGATTATTTGAGTATGCAAGACCATGTTTGGGAAACAGCAGTCCTAAAACTTACAAGAAAAAAATAGAAATAGTCTGCTTCCTGGCAGCTCCAATTTGCAACGTCCCCAGTCTCTGAGAGGATTTTCCCTCTAGCTAATCTTTTGCAGTTACACTTGTCTGCACACAGTGCCTCAACACTGGCACCCATTTCTCATGGAGTATGGTTGGGGAACAAATTTCCAATCCTATGACATGCCTGTCTTGAGTTTGAGTTACCTCATGTTCTGACTAGAAATCATGGGTCGACATAGGGCTTCCTGCTGCACTGCCATTTCCCACGGCTACAGGATGAGTGACCTGGAGCACAGAGACTCACAAGCACGCCCCTTTACCATGGCCCTGCTCTGGGGTCCCAGAGTGAGACTGAGGTCATTTCTTACCTACAATAGACAGAAGTCTACCCCCAAGTTTGTTCAAATTGGCTGATTCTGTTCCTTTGGGTTACCAATAACTGGCTGGGGTCTTTCTGTTGTACTCAGAATTGTGGGTAGACAAAGGAAAGTGCCTTTGTTATGGGCAGGCAACCAGCCAGCTCCAAAACAAGGACTATTGCTCCAGGCTCTAGAAGTCAGAGGCCATTTTTCATGCCCTGGGGTTATAGGTTTATTGCTATGGCTGTTGTCATTAGCACTGGCTGGCAGTGGCAGCCACAGGAGTGCCCCCTAGTCTGGCAGCTTTCAAGCAGGACTTGGAGGCTGGGACCCTCAGGCAGACAGGAGCAAGCATTGTAACTTCCTGAGCTCTGTGGGTGGTGGAGTGAAGACAGTCTTGCTCTCTGTGGATGATAATCCCGTTTTCAAGAGGCTGGGATATCAGGGCAGAGTCTAACAACTTAGAATTAGGTCCTCAAAGTCTATCCAAGGGAATCTAAAATTTAAAAGATGTCCTATTTTCAAAACCACCTACATGAACATTGAGAGTGATGTAACTGGTCCACAGTACTGAAGGCCATCTTAGCCCCTGCTAAGGGAGAGCAGAGCTTTCCAATCTGCTCCCCTGTAGTCGTGGGTCTGAGGTCTTGTTCCCTTGCTGGATGTCAGAAGAGAGATGCTCTGCTCCACGATACTGACCGTCTTCCTCTTCCTAGTCATGCAGCTAGCTAACCTTCTGAGTCAGTGGTTCTCAACCTTCCTAACGCTGCAACTCCTTCATGCAGTTCCTCGTGTTGTGGTGACCCGCCCCCCAACAATGAAATGATTTTCGTTGCTGTTTCATAACTGTGATTCTGCTGTTATGAATTGTAATGTAAATATTTTTGGAGTTAGGGCCTTGTCAAAGTGGTCATGGCCCTCAGATTGAGAACCACTGCTTTAAGCCATTAATGACTGTCATCCTTAAGATCCCTTCAGCTTCTGCTGCCAACAAGACAGTTTTCTGCTCTCAGGAAACATGGAAGGCCCGTGTATCGGATCATAAACCCTTGGCACAATTAGGAGTGATACCATTACAAGTGATGACAATGGGATCTTGGTGGAGAGACATCTTAGGATTTTGTCTACCACAACGTATTCCCAGCTGTGCACCAACATCAACAGCACAGTGAAAGGCTAGAAGGGGTCGGGGAACCACTAGGATTGGTAGAATAGCTAGTCATTGCTAAAACCCTGGAGTGGTTTTACCATACAAAAAAGAATCAACACCCTGTGGTCCCTGTGACATTTTACAGAGTGAAGACTAACTCTCTGTGAAGAATGTAGAAGTGTGATCTCATTGCATATTTACTAATGATGCATTGGTTATCTTTCCAAAAACATCCTGGTAAGGGTGGATATGGCATGATATTGCTTTCAATTTGTGTTCCTTTAGTTAGTAATTCATCCAATGACCATGTTTCTGCTAGGGTGTATTTCTTAATTTCAGACTTTCCACAGTTCCATATATGCCTTTTTAAAATCTATTGGAATAGTCATCCATAACTTAAAAAAAAAAACCCTTTTACTAAAACATGATTTTTTTTTTACCTTAAAGAGGCAATCTTTAACAGAGAAAAACTGTACATCCTATAGGTTGATAGTTAATTCTGGGTCATTTTGATTAAGCCACCCTCCGGCTGTCTGTCCAGACTCGATGGAGTTGTTGACATGAAGGTCCTTTAACATGGGACTGTCATTTGTAAAAGACTTAGAGTAAAGCAGGTGACCTGCCACAGCGAGGATGGCCTCTTGCTTTCAGATGCAAGCTGGGAACTAAGCTCCTCCTCCTGACAGGCTTCAGACATGCCAGCCCCCGCCCCCCAAGTCATGTGAGCCAGTTCCTTAAGCTGTTGTTTTTGCTCTCCTCCTTGACACCAGAGTACACACCCACAGCCTCCTGCCCTCCCTCTTGTTCCTTGACCACTCCAGAGAACTTTAAAACAGCGTACAAAGGAAACACAACTTGAAAGAAACACCTCCGTGACAACATGACTGTGGACATGTAACCCACGATGGGTTCACGTCTCACTTTTGAAAGAAACCTAGCACCAGTTTAGTGCTGTGCTCAGGTTATTGGTTTTTGTTTGTTTGCTTGCTTGATTTTTTATTTTATTTTTTATCTTCTAAGAAGGGACAATGAGAGCAGCAGATATATAGTAGTAGTCCAGGGGCAGAATGCTTGCCTAACATGTACAGAGATAATGGAGACATCACAGAGAGCAAAATGGAAAAAAAAATACTGAGTCCTTAGCTAGAGGAAGTTCTGAAATATTCAAGATGTAATGTTACTGACAGACTAAGCCTGGAGAATCCATATTAACATTTAAATGTTAGCAGAGAAATATCTGAGGTTCACAGAAGTCTATGACTAACATCCAGGCAAGAAAAGTGAAGGGATGGTGGTGTAAGAACTAACATGACTTTATATGACATTGAAAGGAGCCAGGAATGGCTCCAAAACATTTGTCTTTCAGTGAGACGGGCCAGAGTTTAGTCAAGCAATTTTTCTCTTTTATTTTTGTTAAATAAGACTCCAGAGAGTATAGTGCAAACACTGAGTAGAAAAGTTGCGATTAAGAAATGTACATTCACATTCACATTTCAGTTCATCCACGTTTTAAATAAAAATAGGACAAATTATTCAATTGCTTGTCTCCGTTTAACAATCTTGAAAAAGACTGGAAGGTGCTCTACAGAGTTGACATAAAAATAGACCCGTATTGATTATACAAATCTATTGTGAGAGGTTACCCAGTGATATTGAGTTATTGTGACTATAATCATTGCGTTCTCTCGGCTACGGACGGATCTGGTGAGTCTGTGTGGGAGAAAATGCCCCCTTTGTCCATGCACCCTCCATCCCACTAAGGGACTCAAAGCTTTCTTGATAAACACAGGACACAGGTGCTTACATGCCTTTTTTTTTTTTTAAGTAAGGACATACAGAAGTGGATTTTGGGGCTTATACTTGAAATCAAGATGTGATTACTGCTAAGATATGATCATAATGACATTCCCATTTGTGCAAACTGGTGAGCAATCAGCTTACGTGAGAGAATGGTGGGAAAGAGCACGGGCTGATGAGAGAGGGTGGACAGTAAATGCCCAAGTCACATGGGTTGTGGAATTGACTGGCAGAGGGGAACACTGTGTGCTCCCAAGAAGCAGTAGAGGTGACCTGAAGACAAGCCCAAGCCATCCCTTCTTTCGGGCATGCGACATAATGTCAAATTGAAACTAAGGTGCATACAATTAGGAATTTCATGGCATGCAATTCCAAAGTGCAAGTGGCTTGCATATACTCGATTTTAACAGGGGTGAAGGCAACAGAACAAGCCCCTCCTCCCCAGGCATGTGTGCTCCTGGTGGCCAGTTGTGCCCCCAGAGATGCCGGGGGCTTCCTTGGGGTCCCCACAGGATGGGAACAGTCTCCTGAGACTTGTGCTTCATGGGCCTGGGGCCTGGGGCCGAGTGGAGGCTGCTGGTGGGAGGTAAGAGACAAGTTCTGGCTGCTGTCAGGCCCACTTCCCACTGCAGTGCCACGAGGGACGGCGGCATCACCCACAGGCAGATGGAGTGGCCTGCAACTGTCCTTGCCTAAGAGATTTCTGGAACCGGTCTCAGAGAGCATCTCCACTGAAACTCAGCTCATTCTCAGAAAGCGGCTGGATGTGTTTGGAAACTGATGTATCTGACGTGGACGTCGCCTGGCATCAGCGGGTCACACTTAGAAGGCATGTGGGGCTCCTGTACTTGGGAGACTGACATACTTCCTGCCATCCGTCCTCTTTACAAGCCTGGGGAACCTTCTCTAAGCGTCCCTTTAATCCCTCGGCAGGCACCCTCAGTGCCGTGCCTGTAGGAAGCTTGTGACAGAAATGGCTGTAGAGCATTGAAGGTAAGAGCTGTAACTGGAGCCGGGCTGGCTGTGTGGAGGAAGAATACAGGAGAGGGGCTCGGACTCTGCAGGAAAGAGTGTTTCGAGAAGATTCCCACTAAACACAATGACAGTTTGTGTTTCAGAAAGTTGTAGAATTTCAAGGGCTACAAAACAAGGCTCGCTCAAGCGCGGCATCTAACTTCTTACTGGGTGTCTGTAACCTTGGAGGAATGCAACCGATGTGAAAGGAACCGGATGGCTCTAATTTAGCAACAAGAAGCCAAGGACTACAGAACCAAACAGCACTTGGCCACATGCTCCAAATACAGGGTGTAAGCAAGCCTTACCCACAAGGGACCAGCCTCCACGAGGTTCCCTACACCACAGTAAGCACTGTTGTACGGTCAGTCACATCGACAGCAACCCAGTTCTTACAGATTTCAGTTTGCTTAGCAGAGACCCTAACTGTAAGAGGAAACACACAGGCTGGCCAAAACAGATGAGGAATTGAGGCGTGGCCCCTCTCTCTGTGCATTGGGGATGATCCTACCAGTTCTTCCACAGGCTGTTCATGAATGAAAAGCCCACAGAAGGTGTCCAGGAATTGCCCAACTAGACGGGAATACTAGTAATGAGTGTTCGATCAATTTACCGTCATATGAAAGCCCCCCCCCAAAGATGGTAACTAATAGAAAGACGATGCAAGGATGATCGCCCTCCCTGTGGTTGACGGTGGACTTAGCAGGTCTAGTATCATGCTGAAGAAAGCGCAGTACATTCGTTAGATTTTAAACGACCCAACACTTGTCAGGACAGGATGTGGCACAACTCTGGTCAATTTTCTGAGTTTTAAAACATTTTTTTTCCCCAGTCACTTCTGAACCACAGCCCAAGATAGCCTCCTGAGTCGTGTTCTTCCCACTGTACAAGCCAGACAGGCAGCAGCTGGCACAACAGGTGGAAGACGTGGCCCCCACGTCAGCTCCTACAGCTTGAGGAAAGGGCTCATGTACCACTTTGCTCCTCCCTCAGAGTTCTGATGGACACTCCCCCTGGCATCTCTCTGCACAGTATCCTGCATGGGCCCTAACCCTCAAACCAGCAAGACAAAAGAAATGGGAGCAACAGATTGCCTCAATGCACCTGGGCCTGAAGCTGCTATTACAGCAGTCTCTTTGCAGAAGAGAGTGAGCGTTCCTTACTGCACTAGTTAGGGACACATGCTCATCCTACCCCCCCCCCCCCAAGGAGGGGGGTTGGCATGTGCTGCCGTGGTTTCTGGGATGCTAACTGTCAGAAAGGATGGTCAGCAGACTATTCAAATTTAGTTTTGGTCTTTCTGTTTATCACTTGATCCTAGGAGAAGTAATTTTATGCTGTATAAGACATGCACACAGGAGCACACATTGGTTTGAACTAAGTGTGGCCCCCAAGTGGTTTGTTGTTGTTGTTGTTGTTGTTGTTGTTTTTCAAGATACTGGACATATCTAGTATATGTGGAACAGAATGGCTTAAAACAGTTAATAAAACTTTAAAAAAAACCTCACACATCTAAGTTATTACATAATGACCTGTTGATTAGATAATCCGTTTAGTGATAGAATGTGGCCCTTGAAGTTGGATCTGAAGTGTTTATGAAATGGACCACAGGGGGACAAATCTCATACCTTATTACTGGAACTGCCTTTACGAAGAGTGAACACACAGGGCAAGGCCGGAGACCCCAGACATATCCCAAAGTGCTCTCTGAATTCTTGGAGGTGAGGCAGAACATGGAGGGTGTGGACACCTGCCTTGCCTGACCCAGTGTGTCTGTGAGGATGTGTTCACTGTGTATTTGACTCTGCAGGAGGAATCAGCTGCTAGAGCCTCTGACATCCTCCTACCTCAGTCCATAGAGCATCCCAGATGGGCTCCAGGCAGGAGGAGAACCCTGTGCAGCTGATGTCAGCCAGCAGCAGGACTAGGCCACCACAGATCATCCAGATGTGGAAATCAAACTCTCCAGAATTCTCCTTCCAGTGAGCTGCAGAAGCCTTCCTGAACATGCCCTTCAGTTCTGTTCTCTCTCTACCCTCCAGGCGGAGATCCTCTGACCAGGCCTCACACCCTCTGCCTTCCCAGGCACCTAGGAAGGTTCCTGGATTCTAGGCCTTGTGACTCTGGATCCACACTGGTCTCATGTGGTACCAGCTGACCAAACAGGCACCAGGAGTTGCTTAGTGCCAAAGCACATCCATATTCATCCTGCCAGCTGTGAACGTCCCAAAGCAAGCACACGCACACTGACACCCCCCCCCCACATTTTTAGTCATCAACCTATGTCCAAGCCTGCAGTTGTAAATGAAAACGAGGAACTATTGGTTCAAATCCAAAAATGGAAACATTCAAAGCCAATGACAGTCGGAGAAGCAAGATGCTTCAGGGCCCACATAACAATCAAGCTGCCAGATTTGTTCCTTATTAGCCAAACACCTGGGAGGAGGAGGGTTTTTTTTTTCTATGTTTATATGTGCCTGTGTGTGCACACGCACATAAATGTGTGCATGGGAGAGCACACTAAAAGTGGAGCCACTGAAAAGCATGAGCAAGTCCGTTTCTGGGGGTCACCTATGTATAGCCATTTCAGAGAGTAATACATCAGCATCGCTTCTGCAGCCTCTCGTGGTGCTGATGCGAGAGCAGGACATGTAGAAACGTTCTTTCCCTGCTACTGCTTGCTTGCTGTGAAAGACACACACTTGCTCTGTAACCCCCACCCCCAACGCCCACTGACTGAAGCTCTGTACGGGCTGGGAATAAGATGCCTGTGACGTGGGGAGCCCTAGAACTTACCTTGTTGAAAATGGTGATGGCTGGGCGACTGAAATGAAGCCTTCCCTAATTCCGCAATCCAAACTGCTCGCCTCGTACCCAGTCCACTGAAGCTAGCCGTTCACACAGCCTCTGCGGGTTGCTGTCAGTGCTTGTTATGGTACAAGTGTCCTTCAGACTGCACATGAATAAAATGTGAAGTCTCTGGAGGCTAATCACATCTGCCAGCTGAGCCCACAGCCTGAATCCTCGATGCTAGTCAGGGCTCCCCTCCTAGCCCTTTCCTCTTATACGCTCAGGGATGGCCCGCTCCAACACAGAGCTCTTCTCCCACCAGGATGGCACTGATAAGGGTGAGAAGTGCAGCCTTGAATATGGCACCGTTTTCTTTAAATGGCATTCCGCAAGTGCCTGGAAATGTCACCTTTTGATGCTCACACCGCTGAAACAAACCATTTCTATTTGATGCTCACACAGCTGAAAGAAACCATTTCTATTTGATGCTCACACAGCTGAAAGAAACCATTACGCTCAGTCACACAAAGCATCATGATTCGAGGGGTACAGATCCAGGATAATGTGGCTGCCCTAAGCTTTACCCCTTAGTGAGTAGTAGTGTGGGGCCCAGGACTGTCGGTTGGCTCAGTCTGCTCAGATATCTGGGGTACCAATCCTGGCTCTAGGAATCAAGAAGCTAGAGCTGAGCCTTCTGGGAGGGGTGGGGATCTGGAATGCCAGTCCTTTATAGCAAACTCACATGCACAGGTAGATTCCGAAGTATCAATCTGCTTGGGCCAAACTTGTCTCTGCAGTATAGAGTTATGGTTATTGCTTCTATGACAGAAGGGGGTCCGGAAGCCCTGGTGGCTTTGGAGTCTGAGAAACAACTGGGTTGCTGGATGTATGGGGACACACACCTGAAGGTATAGACCGTCCCAGGTTGGCACAGCCCGTGGAAGCATTTGGAAGCATTCTGGGGCTGTGTTCTATTCTACGATGTCAGGCACGGGAGGCATGCTGGGGCTGAGAAGGGAACACAAAGGGGTCATTTCCCAAGGGCCAAAGCATCACAAGCAGGGGCTGACACGGGTGCCAGGCTTTTCCTCATTTTTGGTACAAGTGAACAGGAAGCACCTGTAACTGGTGCACTATTTACAGAGCATCTTAAAATAAATAATTTGGAGAGAATCCTACCCAAATGGCTCTAACATTTGTACATGAATATTGTACAAGATTAAAAATAAATAAGGCAATATAATACATTTTTATCACAAATAAAAAGAAAGTCATTTATCACCAAACCCCGAGGAACGTTATGGCTGCAGGTGTGGATCCTGACCTCACAAGAAGTAGGTGGGGTTGGAACTGCTGATGATGGAGATGTCGCCCCTGAAGAAGAGACCCAGCCAAGGCTCCTGTGTGGTCTACTTCAGAACGGTTCTGTGCCCAGAGAAGGCAATGTCACCCTCTACGGTTGCTTTCTCTTGCTCTAATCACGCTGTGGGTAGCTTTGCCCAAGCACCCATGTAACCTCCGTTTTGCACACTCCGTGTGAGTGCGGTGCTACTGCCCTCAGCTGGCTCTGCTCAGAGTCTTAGAGGTCAGATCCGGGTGTCACCGGGCTCCTCCCTGATGGCTCTGATGCTCTGCCTGCTGCTTACTCAGGGCCAGTTTCAGTTCCCTGTGGTTGTGGGAGTGACATCCTGGCTTCTTGCTTGGCTGGAGCTGTGCTGTCCTCATGGGTCTCCTCAGTGTGTGCTCCATGCCTCTCTCAGCCTGTCCATCCTTCTGTCGACTTCTGAGAGCCCATGTGTCCACACCAACCCCATTGGTGTAGTCTAGGATCCTTCTCATCCTTCAGCAGCTACCCTAAGACCCCTTGTGAAGTTTCTTGACTGACAGAACAAACACACTGGTCCTGGGGCTATCACGTGAGCATCTTTGAGAACCACCCTCTGTCCATTACCTGGACAGCCCAGAAAGACAGCAGTTCTGGAGGCCTAGAAGCCACTCTGAGGAAACCCAGGCCATGCTCGAGGGTTTCTGCCTAGAAGACCGGGGACAGCATCACAGCCCGCAGAACCAGGGCCACAATGTACTCACTTGCTGAGTGCTCCTGTCTAATCTGACTGCTTCAAATCTGGTTAAGACAGACAGACAGGTAAGAAAGTTCTAGTGAAAATGAAGCCCATCAGGAAGAAACTATTTGTACCAAGGTTAGGCAAACAAGAGAGCAGACAGGAGGCGGGAGCTACGGAGAGTTGCCTGCCCTAGCCAGGTTCTGGCTCAGATGAAATCTGTCCTCAGTGCCCCACCCTCCAACAGTCTGAAACTTCCCTATAAATGCAATCTCTGATGGAATTCTGCACCATGGGAGAAATGCAAAGACTCTCCCCTGCCCTCTGCTCTACTGGAGTCAGCATCCCCCAGCAATGCTATACCCAAATCCCAAGTCCCCGGAACCAGACATGACCACCGGAAGAGGGTGAAGTGAGCTGCTCTCCAGCCCTGAAGGCTGCAGTGGGGTGCTGAGGTGGGTCTGGCCCCGCTCTGGGGTCTAGCCAGAGTAGGGTGTCAGAAAGGCAGCGAAGGATGGCCACACTGCCTGGCATCATTAGAAGGGCAACAGAGCTCCTCTGCAGACAGTGCCAGAGGCTCCCTTTAGCATCAACCACAGGCTCCAGCGCAGAGAGAATGTGCCGTCTTTACAGGTGTCCCACGCCCACCCGAGGGCGCCTATAGGGCAGTCTACAGTCTCAGATGCTTGGAGACTCTGCAGGAGCCTCCAGCTCTCCCTCGCTTGACACTTTCTTCCTACCAACACGCGACCTGAGTCTTTCAGGGATAGCTGGCTGACCTACCCAGGCCCCGGCAGGGCCACACACTTGAGCCAGCGCAGAGTTGAGGACCAGGAACCCCACATATGCGCCCTGCCGCTGCAGGCTGGGCTTTGCTCTGCCTCAGTCTAAGAAGACAGGACCCTAGGAAGGGAGAAAGCCCTTGGGGAGCATGAGAAGATGGGCCTCCACAGCCATGGCAGGCAGGGCCTATGCCCACCTGCTCTGTTTGCAGGCTGCCTCCCTTCCTGTGAGTGAGGCTGCGTATCTCCAGATCTCATCCAGCTATTTCTGGCCCGTCACTTCCCAGCAGCTCTTCCAGGCTCCTGTCCCCCACACTTGCGGTTTTCACCTCAGCTGCAGACATAGGGAAGCATAGATGGGAGACCCCCCCACCCCACCCCGTGTCAACAGGGACACTCTTTCCCTTCATTCTGGAGCAGGGACACCACACCCAAAACTCAGGAACACACACTCTGCCAACTCTGAAGCCCCCAAGAAGAGGAATGGTTATACCAGAGAAACGATGTCTTCCAGCAAAGAAAGTGCTTGTGGGTAGCGTGGTCAACCACTCTTAGCATAAACGAAGGCTTGATTCTTGTTACACTCACAGTGTCCAAGACACCACAGAGAAGGCAAGTCAGCATACGCCCCTCTTCTCTGAATGCGTAGCGATGGCACAGGAAGAGGAGGGCCCACTGTCGCGGGAGTCAGAATCCAGCAGGCAGGTGGGGTTGGAAGAGAATGCACAGGCCAGGAGGCTAGAAGTGGGGCTGTAGGGACCCGGAAGATTCCAGAAGACCTGCCTCTGGCTGTTAGCAAAAGCCTACTCTTGAGGAAAGCCAGCAACATTACTCTTCATGCAGTAAGAGGTGGCTTTTCAATTCTTCCTGTTCTGTCCTGTCCAAGACCTGACCAGCTCTAAGCTGTGCCCGTGGTATGAAGAGCTCAACTGTCGTGGCCCTGCCCAGCGGGGCCAACTTCCCAGTCTGGCACTCAAAACTGCTACCCAGGGTTGGAACTACCCATAAGCCAGGGCCTACGAGGGCTGGAGCCACCCATAAGCCAGGGCCTACGAGGGCTGGAGCCACCCATAAGCCAGGGCTCACCAGGGCTGGAGCCACCCATAAACCAGGTTGACTTGAGGCTCGGTCATGGTGGGCTCCTCTGCCAGCTGGACCTTCATAGTTTTTGCTATGACCGTGGAAGATATTCCCAGGGTCCCAACAGTCGGGCATCACCAGGTCACTAGGAAGAGACAGGGCTCCGTATGCCCCAAGTGGGTGACTTGGGCACATCTCCCATTGGCCTCAGGCCACACCTAGACGATGCTTCTTCTCCAGCCAAGTCGCTTGGCAACTGCTCCTCTGGCTGGTCTTGGTTGGAGCCACGGTGGCTTGTGTCACCCTGGAGCACTCTTGTGTTGCATGCATCTCCAGTGGCCCATGGGCTCCACTAGGCTTCCTTCCCTGCTGCTGTGGATGGCAGGTGCTGACTAGTGGGGGCTGGAGGAAGCCCCGGTCTGATCGGGGGTCCAGCTGCAGGACACAGTGGGGGCCGTCTGGGCTGGCCTCCACCTCTCCCATAAGGACACAATCTCCGCTCCAGGCGAAAGGTCCTGCCATGGGAACTGTTTCCTTCAGTCCTGCCTTCTAGGAAGTACGTGAGCATCTCTCCTTTGCCCTTGACGCTGACCTTGCCTCTGCACACAAACTGGTATGAGCACCTCTTCAGCAACCGGTGGACCTCCTCGGTCACCTGCCAATGGAAAGAAGCCAACAATATTCTTGATCATGCCCTATGAGGGGGTCTTCTGGAGGCCAGGAGCTCCCCCAGGGTGACGTCTACCCCTGCATCTCACTCTCCATCCTGGCTGCCCAACTCTGGCAGGACTTGGCCAACGCTCCTCTGTATGTAGGCAGGTGCAGGCAATGGGGGCTAGGGATCCAGCAGGGCTTGGGTGAACCATTGCAGCTGCTTTGTGTAGCAGTCAGGGCTATGTGGGACTAGCCTCAATGTTATGGATAGAGGAGCCGGGGCAGGTTCTCTGGCTGGGGCCTCCAGATACCTCGGCAAAGTAGTCTGGTGCTTTTACCCCACTACTCAGTTGTTGGGGTTGGGGTGCAGCTACTAAATGGCACACAGAGGGCAAAGAAAGCTAGGAGAAAAATGGCCGTCCCTTAATTCCTCTTTTCTCAGGCTTCAGACCAGTGTCCTGGCTCCAAGAATCCCTGCCTCCCAAAACCAGCAAAAAGATAAAGGATGAGATCTATCCGATCCATGGCATCACGCTAAGCCAGCAGAGGAGGCCTCTCTACCTCCTTGTCTCCTCCTCCTATTTAATGTTCAAACAATGGAATTGTCTCAACCTACCTTCCACACTCTGGCAGAGCTGGGGAGGGTGGCCCTCACATCAAACTGAGCACTAGTGTAAGAGATATCAAACAGGAGCCTTTTCTATCAGATACTAGAAATCGTGTGTTCAGGGCAAAGAATTCAAATCTTTTTGTCTCTTCCACCCCATCAGAGTTTTACGCAAATGCTTCAGTCCTCAAACCCTGCAAACCGTCTGTCTATACAAACACTGCTGTCTCCCAAGAATTTGATGGCCTATAGTAGTAAGCCCTTTCCCTTCCTCCCTTATTCCCCCCCCTTTTTTTTTTCTTTTCAGACTAACTGATCAAATCAAACTGTGAGGTTAGACCCTAGCCAAAGACACCATCACTACCCAAGTTAGAATAAAATCCAAATGCACTTCCTGTCTCTGGTGTTTGCCCTTTTGATCACGAGTTAGGTTTGCCCTGCCCGGACACTTCAGTTGGAGTGGTGGTCTCTTTCTTTGCACCCCTGACCTTACGTCTGACTCTAGGATGCCTAGAATAGGGAAGGAAGGCAGAGGCGTTGGATGGAGCAGGGAGACCTATAGGGAAGGCCATTTGAGAAGTCACGCCTGGGGCAGAGAAGCCGGGTCACTGTCAAGCTCAGAGCAGATTCTAGAAACAGATGCAATGTTGGCCTCAAGCAACAGCCCAGCGGCATAGGAGACGGTCTCTGTGATGGTGGATATTGGTTGTCAGCTGTGATGTTGTCAACCAGAATCAACTAAGAGACAAGTTAGTGGGAACCCCTATAAGGGATTTCGTTTCCTTCACTAGGTTACGTGAAGGCGGAAGACCCACCCTCAATGTGGGTGACTTCATCCAGTGACAGACAGATAAAAGGCGGCCTGAGGGGGAGTGCTCTGCTTTTGCTGCTTGCTTTGGTGTTGCTCTCCACGTCACCAAATGGGTCATCTACCCTAACTGTATCTTGCTGTGAGACCATCTGCCCTTTCGCGGCTGCCACCATTTGCTGGCATTAGAACGCTGCTTCTTTGACCTTAGAACGCTGCTTCTTTGACCTCCCAATGTGGAATGAAGACTAGTTAGTTCTCCAGGAAACTTCCAGGCCGTCAGTAGCAGACTGGGGCTACTGAGAAATCCAGCGTCACAGACAGAGCAGCTACCAGGCTCTCCGCTTCTCCAATGTGAAGGCAGACATTATTAGACTCCCTAGATCCATCCATACAGTATATTTAACAAAAATCTAATGAAATCCCCTGTAGTATATATTCATCCTACCAGTTCTGTTCCTCAGGACAATCTTGACTAACAAGCTGCTTTTATCCGGATATTTTACCCCAGCAACAGAAAGAAGCTAAGACAGAAGCGCGTATTAAGGCTGTGGCTGCAATACACCTGACCGTGCGGGTCTTAAGCTGTTGGGATGTTACCCACAGCTGGAATGTGGAAGAGTCTGAAACTCAGGGCTAGAAAAAGCCACTGGATGTTGGCAGCGGAGCTTAATGGGCCATTTCATTGGAACCTGAAAAACAGGGAATGCTGAGAGAAACATGAACCATGGAGGCCCAGCTCCTGACATTTCAGGGGGTACCAAGGACTCCATCAGGCACTGGGCTAACAACCATGTGTGTGGTATTTCAGCCAACAATCTGCCTTCATTCTGCTGTGCCCTGAGAAGTTGAGCAGAGCAGAATTTAAAGCTAATGGACCGATCTGATGGGCAGGGAAATGTAAGGAGATAAAGGCAATCAGCCTGGTGTTGAGAAGGCAGCTGTTACCATTAAAGAGCTCAGCAGGACTGAAGAGAAGCACACTGCAGTGAGAGGGGTGGCCTGAGGGTAACACCACACCGCTAGCTTGGAAAAAATCCCAATTTATTTAAAGGGAAAGAAAGCCTGAGCTAATGGCATTCTCTGCTCCTTGAACACAACTGCCTAAAAAGTGCTTCTCTAGGGTCAGGAGAAAACAGGTATAGCTATGGTCCAAGGAGTCTAGGCTCCATCCTGAGAGAGTGGCAGAGAGAGCTTGGCCGTGGCATCTGTGTGGTTGGTGCTGGTTTTGGAGGCACAAAGGATGCAAGACTGAGGGGGTCAGGAGTACAGCCAAAGCCAGGCAATAGGAGGCAGGGCCAGAGTACCAGAATAGAGGTCCCAAGAGGCTGCTGTGTGCTTTGGGAGGCTGTGGAGACCCAGGATATCAGAGAAGCCAGGCTGGGACATTCAAGCAAGGAGGGCTGTGGGCAAGGAGGACTGTGGGCACGGAGGACTGTGGGCACGGAGGACTGGGACCCAGATGATTACATTATGAGTCATAAATAAATGCTCAATAAAGATTTAGAGTTCATCCTGCTGGAGTTCGGTTCTGCTTTGGTACAACTGTTTCTAGCTATGCCCTGGCGGCTCTTCCATTTTAGAAGAGGCATGTTTAGAAGTGTCAGTATATGCTGGAAGAATGTAACTTTTTGAATTTGATATTTGGGCTTTTACAGTGTTGTCATTGTTGTTACTAATGACTATGGAGGATCTTTATTTTGGCTGGAATAGACTTTAAGATCGTCTTGAGCCTATGGGACCAAGGAGTGGAAGTTTATGACTTAAAAGGGGTTTGTTTGTATGTGAGCCTCGAGTTACCAAGGGATACTGGTAGTGGGGTGTTTAGTTAGCGTTGTCAACTGGACAGAGTCTAGAACCCCTTGGGAGGAGGGTCTCTGGGAATTGCCTGGAAGGGGGCTGTTTTGGTACGGGAAGACCCGTCTCAGTTGTGGGTGGAGCCTGGGCCAAGCTATCCGAGCACTGGCATGTGTGCATCATCGCTCTTGTGACTGCAGCACAAGATGCCAGCAAGTTCCCGCTGGCCTGACTTCTGTCACGACAGACCGTGCTAGAACAACTCTGAGCTAAGATAAACCCTTTCGCCACTGAGTTGCTCTCACCAGGACATTTTACACAGTAACAAAAGGAAGAAAGCCTCCCTTGGAAATGGCTGGTCCGGGGAAGTCGATGCAGGGTGTAAGCATACTCTCCCGGGTGACCACAGACCACATGTCCTAGACAGGACAGCAGGAGTAGCTGCACCACTATAAGGATGCACAAAGTTTTGCACGTCAATGGTGAAGACAGTGCGTTTTGTGTGTATTTTACCACAATAAAAGAAATCTGAAAAAAAAAAATTAAAGAAATGTCATCAATGCAAAAATGCAGAGCCACTAAGGAGCACTGGAACTTGGTGCTGGAACTAGAAACTGGGGCACATGCTTGTACCCCACAGTGCTTTGGGATGATGGAGACTTTCTGGCAAGTTGAAGGATCAGCGCCCAGTAGGGCACTACACCCTAACAACCACGGAGTCAGAAAACCCTGCTGTGACAGCAGCCTAGCCACAGTAGGGGACCTGCACCATCTCTCGGCTGTCCTGTGTTCATGCCCTGTTCCTACAGGTCCTGAACCCAGGGGAAATGCACCAGAATAATAACCCCAGAAGGCTGCAGTTCTCTAGTGGATGGCAGGAGGCCAGGGCACCCTTTATAGGTCCCATGCAACCCACAGGACTACGTCTAAATGACAGCTCTCATGTTATTTTAGGGGGAAATACCAAAGCTGGACCGTCCCCCACACTGATGAGGACCAGATGCCCGCCTTTCAGTGGCTCCGAGAAGATAGAGCCTCTGAGTCTCGTCCTATCTGGGAGAAGCTCCTCAGGAGCAGTGGGCATGTTCACCATCCTGCTCTCCAAACACGAGAGACATCTCTTCCCCACTATGCTCCTACAACAGCTGAATAGTGACCCTGGTATTTTTGCTTATTTGGTTTTTGCTTTTGAGACAGCATCTCACTATAAAGCTCTGGCCTCAAACTCACAGAGACCCACCTTTCTTTGCCTCCTGAGTGCTGGAATTAAAGGTATGTGCCACCAAGTCCAGGTGTGACCACGGGTTTGAACAAGGAAGAGCAACTGGGAAGCCAGGCTGTCAGGTCACTTAGTGACCCCTGATTCACTGTGATTTGCTCACTCAGGAGTGGCCCAAAGGAAGCGTGGAAAAATCAAACTGCAAAAGCAATCTGCCAACCTTAACAGTGTTGTCCAGGCTCCCAGAAGACACCAAGACACCCAGCTCGATCTGCCCTGCCACTTACTGGTCACCGACCCAAGGCTCACCTTGGATCCCTAATACCTCAATTCCCTCACTTGCTGAACGGATCGCTGTATCTTTGGGATTTCTGGGCGACTTACCTGGATTCTACCCTGGACCCCAGTGCTGTCCATCCGACTGGCCACATTGACTGTGTTTCCCCAGATGTCGTACTGGGGCCTGCGAGCGCCGATCACTCCAGCCACCACAGGGCCAACGTTGATGCCTGGAAAACAGTCACAGAATGGCCTGTGGGCAGCTGGAAAAGTGTGACCGGGCAGCCTGTGTGCTGACGCTGTTCCTGGAGAGAAGGCACGCGCCCTTCAGTCTCAGTGAGAGGACCACATAGAGCCAGGTCCCTCTCTAAAGGAGCCTCCAGCCTAACACAGAGGGCAGCAATCCGAATCAACCAATCAAACCAGCCCAGGTCTCCCCAGCGGGCAGCCCACTCGGCATTAGTGACCATACCTGCAGCAGCACTGGCTTGGATGCAGGAGAAACCCGAAGAGGTAAGATCAATGCTTAAAAGACTTTACTAATAAATTTACTTAAAAGGTGAGTACTGTGTGAACTGGCTCCTTAGAAAGGAAGTGTTGGTGCCTCAGTTGAAGCTTAGGGTTGCCGAGAAAGTTTCTGTTCACCATTGGTCACCAAGACTGACCTCTAATTAGGCTCCATCCCCATAACAAAAGGGGACCAGCCCCACCTACAACCACCCCACATCAAACAGCATTTAGGGCAGCTCAAGGGTGCAGAGTCACAGCCCTGGTTAAGCCCTGGTCTGCCTTTAAATCCCCTGTGCTCTCATCGGAAAAAGCCTAGTTCTGCCCCAAGTGGGCAAGATGAGCCAGGGCAATTATTTGAAAAGAACAAAGAAAGAATTCTGGCAGTACCTTTGCTGTGTAACTCTCCCATCTGCCCGAGTGGCCAGACTTACAATCTCCTGTCTCAGTGTACCTGGGGGCCGGGATCTGGAAGAGACTGGGGGCTGGGAGCACACGCACAGTGACGAGCCCAAGGTTTCCATAGCGTAGGGAAAAAGTCCTCGCTTTGTCACCGACTGCTCTGTGGACACTAGCCAGAGCTGGACACGTTATCAGTAAAGACCTTAGTTTTCCTGAGTGTGTGGAGTGGGTTCTCACTAGGACAAATTTCTGCATCACTGTCACCTTGTCCCTTGTGCAAAGTCCTGCTCTGCAGCTACCAGGAACTCTGGCTCAATAGCCTTGATGATCACAGTGTTCCTTGCCTCCAGGCACATCTCCTCTGCCCCCCCCCCAAAGTAGCTGTAGATTCCTAGGATACTGCTCAGAATGGGGGTCCTAGCACCAAGTACAAATTCAGATGTCCAGGAAGGAGGCCATGAACCCCGTTTCACCCCGTTTCCTTCCACAAGTCGGAGTCCAGCTGGCCTCAGGGACCTGGACAGCTCTGCAGCATCCCCTCTGGTCCAGGTACACTCAAGTCTGGGTTACCATTTGTGAGAACTTTTACAAAGTGTTCACCTTCTCTGCATGGGTTTCTTTCCCTGTAAATGCCCTGTGCCATCCTGTCCTGGCCCGCCCTTACTGGGACCTCTGGCACACTCTCATGACAGCCTACAGGTCACTGCCCCTGCTAATGGGGTCTGCGTAGATGCCACTTCCTGCCTGTCTATCTGGGCATGTGAAGCAATCAATGTTCCTGAACTTCTTCTGAAGTCACAGACATGGGTGACCCAGGGGAAGACACCTGAGGGCCACTTCACAAATGGCTGATAAGATTCTAGGAGCTACCTTTGTGAATCTCAGCTACCCATAGCCAGGTAGGGGGAACCTGGGCAGGAACTAGCCAGCTGGGAAGTAAAGCCATAAGGGACTAGCATCCAATCTCGTTGTGGAAACAACCCAGGCACCAGGGGCAGGGGCAGAGGGATCTCCAACAGATCCAGTCTGTGCCTGGCACTGGCATTGATCAGAGCCTGGAGCCCAGGAGGAGACTGGCCACTAGGGAAAAGGCCAGGGCTGCTCTGCCCCTGTCCTCAGGGGACACCATGTTGAAACAGCTTGCTCCTAAGGGCACCGACACAACACCTGCTGTGAAACCATTCACCTCCCATCAACCCTTGCACCCAAGCAAAAACCAGATGGCTTAAAAAGCCATGTTTAAGGCTACTGGACGTTTGCATAGCGGAGTGGCCATAAACCTCCAGTTAACTGTATCCCAAACAAGACAGGAATAAGGGGGGTATGGGATACAAAGAGATAGAAAGGGAAGAACAGAAATTATCCACCTCTAACTCAACTGGACTCTAGATGAGTAAGAATTGATCTGACAGTCTACATTTAGGTAAAAGCTGAAGTTCTATTTTCTTTTTCTTTTTTAAAAATCTATTTTAAGATTTATGTATTTTATGTATATGAGTGTTCTGTCTGTATGTATGACTTTATGCCAGAAGAGGGCATCAGATCCCAGTATAGAGCTGTGAGCCACCATGTGGTTGCTGGGAATTGAACCTAGGACCTCTGGAAAAGCAGTCAGTGTTCTTACCTACTGAGCCATCTCTCCGGCCCCCAAAGCGGAATTTCTAATAGGGTTTTGTAAACATGAGAAAAGGTCCCGGGTATCAAACAAGGGCCTCTCAAGTCACAAACAAGGAACAGCTGCCCGGCCCTGCTGCTGGCCTTCCTCCAAAACCTCTTAGCCAGCCTTAGCCAGCGACCAGGGCAGTGACAGCCTGTCCCCAGGTGACCAAGAATACAGAGGTGCCTCTGAGTGGCTTTAGCAGTGAATGAAGGGGCTTACTGTGTCCCTTGGGCTGCACAATGAATCCTTACTCCTAAACTCCTTTCTGCAGCACTGCACCGCCCCAGGTCACCTTCAGAGACGATGCTGTCCCCATGTGCCCCTGACCAGCAAGACCCATCTCCTGAAATCCCACAGGCCGACTCTGCCCCCAGCATCTTCCATCAGTGGCAGGGATGAGCCCAGAGTCACCTACCAACTCGGAGAACGAAGTCGTTGTAGGACTGGTAGTTGATTTCATCCAGGACGTCAAACATATCGATGGCAAAGTCTGCCAGTGTGCTCAGGTGGGAAGAGATGGACTTCTTAGCCTAGGTGTGAAAAGAGAACAGTAGTGTGCGGAGTGCCAAGACAGGAGGGGTCAGGGATTGCCTGGACAGGTCCTGGGACTGGGATTTAATTCCTACAAAGCAGCACTCCTAGAAATAGCAGGTACTCTTGCTATTTGGCTGGGGACACATCGATCCTCTTATTCTACGGGTAGAAAGCTCAGGATATTGCTCAAACTATGGCTTCTGATGGACACAGGCAGAAACCACCCCAAGTCAGACTTGTCCTAATCATACCCCCTGGAGGTATGGGAAACAGCTCCTGGGACCAGGATATCAGGTGCCCAGATGGCTACTTGGGCAGTGCTATCAATACGTATTACAGATAAACTAAACAAAGACCAGAGGCATACGTCGGTCAGGGAGGGGCACCGGTTCCCTTCCTAGAGACCAAAGCTGCATCTGTCATCTGTGTGGATGTCACTGGTGAACAAACTCCCTTCATTTATCAGACAGTGGCGGCCAGGAAGGTTTTTAATCTGTATTTCTCCAGGAGACTTATTGTCCTCGACATCAGGGAACTAACGTTCTTTTTTTGTTTTGTTTTTTATTTTGATTTTTTTTTTTAAATACAGGATTTCTCTGTAGCTTTGGTGCCTGTCGTCTTGGAGCTAGCTCTTTTTTTTTCTTTTCTTTTTTTTCTTTCTTTTTTTTTTTTTATTGATTTGAGACAAGGTTTCTCCGTAGCTTTTGGTTCCTATCCTGGAACTAGCTCTGTAGACCAGGCTGACCTCGAACTCACAGAGATCCACCTGCCTCTGCCTCCCGAGTGCTGGGATTAAAGGCGTGCACCACCACCGCCCGGCGGAACCAATGTTCTTAAAAACAACATTGAACATGCTTTATTCTTCAAAGAACTTTGGTTTATATGTAACTGAGCAGATGACGGAGTCTCCCTGTAGTAATCTCCTCTGCACACAACTGGCTGTTGCTAAATACCTGCATCCCAGCAGCCAGCGGCACCCCTGTTACAGTCAGCGAGACACTACTGGCCTATTCCCAACCGTCTTACCACTACAGTTAATGTCAGAGCTCACCCTTGATACTGTATACTCTGCAGGTTTGGGCAAAGTATAATACCATGCAGCCACCAGTGTCAGCAATAGCTGCCCTCAACTCCCCTGTGCTCTGCTGCGCCGGTCCTCCCTCCACCCCATACCCAGAAGCCACTAGTTCTGTCTCTAGTTATGTCTCTTTCGGGCAGGACCACAAGTACCTAAAGGTCACGCTGTGTCTCTTTGCCACCTGCACACTTCTATTTTATGACAGTAGTATTTAATTTTATGGACATGTCGGAAATCCTTTATCTATTCGCCTAATGAAGGGAATTTTGATGGCTTCCAGGTTTTTAGTGGTTATGGGTAGATCTTCTATTTCTAGTTATGTATAGGTTTCGTGTGGATGTGGGTTTGCATCTCATTTTGGTAAGTACCAAGGACTGCAACTGTCGGGCTGTATGGGCAGTGGTTAACAGTCTAATTGGCTTTGGAAGGAGCTGCCAAACTGTCTCCACAGTGGCTAGAACATTCTGAATTCCCACCAGTAAGGAGCAAGAGTTCCTGTTGTCCGTCATCCTTCCCATCTCTTGGTGGTAGCGGCGTTCTGGATTTTGGCTGTTCCAACAGTCAGTACAGTTCTAGGCCAATGCTTTAATCTCCTCCCTAAGAACTCAGGCTATGGGCATCTTCTCACGTGCCTCCTGTCTCTAACTCAGGCTATGGGCATCTTCTCACGTGCCTCCTGTCTCTAACTCAGACTATGGGCATCTTCTCATGTGCCTCCTGTCTCTAACACAGGCTATGGGCATCTTCTCATGTGCTTCCTGTCTCTAACTCAGGCTATGGGCATCTTCTCATGTGCCTCCTGTCTCTAACTCAGACTATGGGCATCTTCTCACGTGCTTCCTGTCTCTAACTCAGGCTATGTGCCCCTCTAACACAGGCTATGGGCATCTTCTCACGTGCTTCCTGCCTCTGTGGGGCTTCACTGACAAGGCACCTATCCAGACTGCCCACTTTTTAACTAGGTTGGCATTTTTCTTATTTCTTAATCTTACAGTTTTTAATTTATTTTAAATATAAGTCCTTTTATATAAAAAACAAACAGGTGGTTTGCAAATCTTCTCCCAGCCGGCAGAGTAATCATTCTCAACAATCCTGCTTACAGATGAGGGGCTTTTCTAATCTTTTCCTTCAGGGGTCATGCTGTGGGAGCTACATCTAAAAAGAACCGCCTCAAACTCAAGATCGTCTAGATTTTCTCCCATACTACTGTCCAGAAATTATATATATATATAGAAAATCTTTACATTTAGGTTAATCACTTGACTCAAGTTAGTGTTATGATTAGCAGAATATCTTTATCTTAGTTGTATTTTTTTCATATTAATAGGCAATTATTATAGTAAAATCGAGATCAACTGAGCGCAGCTACGTGTGTCTCTTTCTGGGCACTGCCCTGTTCCACTGACCAATCTGAAACATCCCCAGGACACTACATTGCCATGGTTGCTGAAGCTTTCTAGTTCCTTCTCCAGTGCCGTCTGGGCTCTTCTGGATCCTCTGCTTGTCACTATAAATTTAAATTCAGTTTGTCATGTTATAAGCTATCCTAATACAGTTTTGATTGAGACTGGATTAATTTCATTAATCAAATTTATAACCACTGATATCTTGACAGTCATCATCTTTTCTGTGCAGGGACACAGAATAGTTTTCCTTATAAAGATCTTGTATATGCCATGTTATATTTATACCCAGCTTTATATTTTAGCACTAATATTAACAGTCTCATGTTTATAATTTCAAACACCAAGTGTCATTTGCTACTACACAAGACTGACTTTTACATATGAACCCTGTAGTATACTGGTCATCTCCCAACCCACCGACCATTGGTTCTTTCATTTGGTGTGTGTGTGTGTGTGTGTGTGTGTGTGTGTGTGTGTGTGTGTGATGTGATCTGCACACAAAGACAGTTTTCTTTCTTCCCTCAAAGTCCATATGTGCTTTATCTTCTTTTCTTGTCTTATGGCCTTAGGTAGATTTTTCAGAACACTGCTAACTATTAGTGGTGGGAGAGTGGAGAACGGTGATACACATAATCCCAGAAGTCAGGAGCTGGAGGAAGGAACTGGCATTCTTTGCCAACTTGGTCTACATAGTGGTTCAAGTTCCAGCCAGAATAGTGAGCAAAGTCCTTACTTTAATAATTAATGATAACACTAATATCGATGCTGGTGAGAAGGGATGTCCTTGCAATTCTCCTGATCTTGGGTTGGGGAGTTTTTCCACATTAGATATAATATTAAAACTGCAGGGCTTTTATGTATGGTGTTTGTCCAGTTAGAAGTTTCCTTTTTTCTGAGTTTAATAATTTTTATTCAGGAACAGGTGTTGAAGCAAATGGACTTTGCTGCATCAATTTTTTAGGATCCTATGTTGATAGGGCAAATTTCAGAAATTCATTTTGGAACGTTAAACCAGTCTTATATACCTGGAATAAATCCACGGCCCTCGTGTAGAAATCGTTTGACTTATTATTTCATTCCGTTTGCTAATTTTGATGAGGAATTTATGCATTTACATTTGTGAGAAATAATCACTGATCTGTGGTCTTCCTTTCTTGTGGTGTCGTTGTCTAGCTTTGGTATGAGGGGGTCACCTGGGAGGGGTCAGGAAGCCTTCCCTAAGAGGCTACTGGCAACGAGCTTCCTTCATGCCTTAGCTGTGGGGTGACTCCTGCTCTGGGGGACTGTTAATTATGAACCAATCTCCTCGGCAGCTGCAGAACCACTTCATTTTCACAGTTCCACTGTGGGGGTTACAGTTTTCAGCCTTCTACGGGTAGGAGCACAGGGAGGCAGTGAGGAAGGGGTCTCAAGGCTGAAGACTTTCCTAAGGTTGGGTATCTAGAGGGAACCAGGCAATGGTAAGATAGCCTAGGATCTTCTCCCCTAACCTAGCACAGGGAAACCAAGCCCAGTATGAGGACCTGTCCAGTGTTCCAGAAACATCTACAACGAACTAGGCCCAGGCCAGAGCAAGTGGCAAGGGAATTACTTACTCTGGTTCCAGCTGTGGGCGCCAGCCCCACGGCGGCCATATAGGTGCTCCCAATGGTCTTGATCTTCTCCAGGTCCTTGTAAAAGTCCTTGTCCATGAGCTTTGTTTAAAAAAAGAAACCAGTTAAACATCACAAAACACTGGAGAGGTGTCATACAGCCATCATCCACTAGGGGGCAACAGAGGAGGTGGCCTTCAAACAGGGCACAGCAGCTAGCTCCTCAGCTTAAGATACATCCATGTCCCTGCCTCCAAACTCACAGTCACTTGGGGAAAAGGATCTCCAGTGGAGCTGGCACAGTTCCCAGTCAGGGAAAGGGCTAGAGGTTCCCACCTGCACACCCGGAGTGGACGCTGCCCTGCCCTGGTCCCTATCTTAGAGTCAATAGGCTCTGTCTTAACCATCACAGCTGCCCTGGACCCTCATGGATTCACAGCGGACACAAGAAGGATCTGTGTCCACGAAGAATCACCCTTGATGCCCTGCAAGTCGATGACGTTGCAAGGTCTCACCTCATCAAAGTCGGCAATGATCTCGTTGAGGAGCCGCAGGCACTCGACCCCCATGTTGTTGCCGTCCAGCTCGATGTAGAAGTCATTGAAGTTGGGGATGGAGGCGAACATGACGCCCACCTGGGAGTAGGACTGGTAATAGAGGTCCTGCGGAGACAGAGGGGTCAGTCCTGCACTGCTATGCCACGTATTGTCAGCCCTGCACTGCTATGCCACGTATGGTCAGCCCTGCACTGCTATGCCACATATGGTCAGCCCTGCAATGCTATGCCACATATGGTCAGCCCTGCAATGCTATGCCACGTATGGTCAGCCAGCAGGGAGAGCACTTGAGAGGGGGACGAGCCGGGCCATAAGGAGAAGCACTGGGGGCTCCAGGTTGTGCGTGTACCGCACGGGCAAATCCTGAGTGGCCGGCTTTGGACTTGAGCCTAACGAGGCGAGAGCATAGCAGGTAAGGGGGAACCATAGCTCTAAAGCTCGCTGACTACAGAGACACCAGCTGCTGGTTCCAGCAGGGCAGATTAAGGCTGAACCTCCAGCCTGCTCCTATCCTTAGAACCTTTTAAAATCCAGCCCCGATTTCTCGATTTCTTTCCTTTTTTTTTTTTTTTTTTGGTTTTTCGAGACAGGGTTTCTATGTAGCTTTGGAGCCTGTCCTGGAACTAGCTCTTGTAGACCAGGCTGGCCTCGAACTCACAGAGATCCGCCTGCCTCTGCCTCCCAAGTGCTGGGATTAAAGGCGTGCGCCACCACCGCCCGGCATCTCCTTTGGGCTGTCCAGGTGGCTGCAGTCACTACAGCAGGCAAGGCTGTGAGGAGCTCTGACCAAACAGTTCACGCAGAGGAGGGCAAGAAACTCTCACCCAGCAGGCCCCGCGAGGCCCTCCCACTTACCATATTCCGGGGATTGGACATGAGGAAGTGCTGCGCCACGTGGGCCGGCAGGAGGTTGAAGAGGATCCTCTTGTTGTCCAGCTTCACTCTCTCCATGTCATCGCGCTCCTCTTCCGCCTGGAGGTCACGGGTCATGAATGCCAGCCATGCACGCTGCCCTCACCCTCCCACCATGACACCTCCACACCGGAAAGATGATGCGATGGAGGAATAGTAAGTTACACAAAGTGGACTTCACCTGAAGGAGTGTTGCCGCTAGTTTCCCAGAAGATAAACAGCACGCTGAACAGGCTTGTTAGGGACCGGAAGGGATTATGTGTACGTCTAACATAACTGAACTTCATGCTTGCTGGGAATATGTGCCTGCTAAGATTTGTTCAACAGGATTGCCGCTAATTAGACCCTATGTCCATACCAGAGAACCATGCCTAGATCTTGGTTAGATCTAGCATAATTCTGCCAGACAGGATGACCCAGGTAACAACCACTGGGAAAGAACAATGCTGGTCTACATTAGAAGAAACCGTGACAACATCATTGTGTAAAATGTCCAACGTGTCCTAATTGTCCAGACTTGAAGCTTTCTCTCTGTGTAGTTGATCAAAGTGTATCTGTGGAGTGTTGAAGCCTACGGTCTATATAAACGTTATGTGAAGAGTTTCTGTTCGTGGCTGGTTTCTCTGTGCACTAGGCAGAGCAGGATGCGTGCTATTAAAGGGCTTTCCCCTTGTTCCCTGAGTGGCTGGAGGGGTAGACTGGTGCTCCAGCCTCCCTGATCACCCATGCAGGAATCTAGATGCACACGTGGTCCACATGACCACTCTTCATCTTTCACACCAGACACAGCACCAGAGCCTTACTGCAGGGTTGAAGGATTCTCCACCCGGCACTGTAACTTTCAGTGGTGGATAATGGCGCTCCCGTTGTCAGGGCCTGTTCCCCAGATCCCATTCCTGTCTCTCGAGCAACTCTTGGGAGCCTACGTGCCCACTCCAGATCGCACCAGCCCCAGGCAGGTCTCTAGTCTGCCTTCACCAGAAGACTCAGCACCAAGTGGCTGGCATCTCTCCAGGACGCCATATGACCCTCGCCCAGAACTTGTGCTGCCTCCACGAGAGTTCACATCCTGCTGGCACTATGACAAAAACGCTGTGAGATCTGATCTGCCGAGGATCCAGCTCATCCCAGTGAGTGCACAGTCTCTGAACCAGAAGCAGGGGATGAGGCACTAAGGACTGCCAGCCAGTCGGAGCCTGCTTACCGTGAGCTATGGCTCCATAGTGCTAAGAAAAAGTGTCAGGGATGATCCCATGCATGGGCCACCATGAGGCTCAAGCGGGCTACCAGTGCGGGCCAATCTATGGTATGCCACAGTTCTCAGAGACAGAAGTTGTATATCTCTGCTATAAAACTTGGCCCTCCGCAGGATTTGGCTTGAGAAATAGTCATATTTAAATATGTGTGTTACTCCATTCATGAACATCAAACGCCTGGTACGGTAGAAATGCCACCATGGTGCCTTGACGGTCGGGGCCTGCCATGGAAGCCATCCATGGGCCAATCCCATGTGGTAGTCAGTGATATACAGGGCAGGACAGGCAGATCTCCATGCAACAGCACCTTTTCATCCACCTTTAAACCACGGTTCCTAGGGCTGCATTTGCCAAAGGCATTGGGGAGGGCTACTCGACTCTCCCTAGAGATGACTTTACCAGCTACATGCTGCTAGGTCTCCTGTCGAGATCTAGATTACCAGTCAAGCCAGGAACTAATGATTTCAAGGAGTAAGGAGAGGAAGGTTTGAGTCAAGGAATTGTAATGGGGACACAGAGACCACAGGGTGAAAGGCCAAGCCTAGTGCAGGGGGAGGGAGGCTAAGTTACATGTATTGGTTTTGTTTTTTGTTTTTACACAAGATCAATGAGTTACCATAACCCAATAGAGAGGGGCAGACTGCAATGCATGGAAACACAAGAAAGACAGCCCTGGGCCCCAGACTCCAGGTCAAACCAGAGGTGACACTGGCCACCGCCACCCAGACAGGCTGGAGCCCACTCTGCAAACAGAGGGACATAGTAACTGGCGATTCTGAAGGGGGCTCAGAGTCCATGACCTCTGCTGGAAAGAAAAACAACATGAGGGGATTGGTCATGCTTTTGTCCTGACCCACTGTTGGGGGGGGTGGCTCTGTGGCAGCGAGTGTCCCATGAGTGACTCTGTGACTTATTCTGGGTTTCTCTCAAAGGTCAGTGGCCTCTGACTTCCGGCCTCCGTCTTTTCATCCCCCGTTCCTGTCAACAGAACATTGCAAACACCCTCTTCTCCATAGGAAATGTATTACTAATTATATTTAACTTGCTGCACACCAGTGGACCCCAAACAAAAGCCTTTAAAGGGTAGAATTAAGATGGAAAAATATATTTGAAAAATAATAGCTTGGTTGTATTAATGGCACAACATGTTTATCTTCTCTAAAATAATTATTGTTACTAGCAGTAATACTTTCATTAAAAAAATAATTGACTATTCTTTGCTTGAAAATAATGTGCTGTAATAATCCCTGACTTCTGGAGCATATGCCTTAAGGGAGAGGGGACAATAAAAGACAGATAAAATCAAAACAGAGAGGAGCTGGAAAGAGTCAAGCATGTAGGTGGGGAAGAGATGGGGAAATGAAATGTTGGCAGAGGTGTAGCCAAAAGAAATGGTGAGGGAAGAGTTACACAGAAACCTACAGGCCGGCAACCGAGGGGAAAGTTCAATTAGACGTGACCGCAGAACATGATAGGAGATGGGGAAACGGTAAAAATTTAAGTGTGGATAGGAAATGGGAAAGAAGACATGTATTAGCTGTTTTGTTTGTGAGACAGAGTCTCTCTTATATGATCCTGACTGACCTGAAGCTCACAATGTAGACCAGGATGGCCTTGAACTCAGAGAGATCCTCCTGCCACTGCCTCCCAAGTGCTGGAATTAAAGGTGTACGCCTCTACACCCAGACCCACACAAAAGTGTTATATATGTTCTTAAAAGGAAGTCTAAATTTCCTTTTATGGTTATGATTAATATATTTTATGCATGTATATGAAACTTCCAAAGACTAAAAACAGGATTTAAAAAAAAAAAAAGCACTAAAATGAAAACTATCCCTGGCTCAGCACACTGTGCTGAAAGGTTTTATTCTGGGCTCTGCTTATAGCAGCATTTGGATTTAGGGACCACTAGGGTCTTTGTTCTTCCTATGTTCGCATGTGTCTTCCTCTGTGCACAGGTCAAAAGGTCCCTGTTGTTGAATTCTGACAAATGTCCATCCTACCCAGAGCAGTTATTTTTAGAAATCAAACAGAATTGTTATATTTTTAATGAGATGAAAATCCACTGAAATTCTCTTAAGATTTTCTAAATAGTCAGAAGACTCAGATTTTTTTTTTTTTTTTAAGGAATAGCTTACTGGATGACACACATTATTCTTGTCAGCAAGGTCGCATGAGAAACACACTGAACTGTTTCTAAAATGTGCTCTCAGCACTTCTTCAAAAGGCTTCCCCTTTCTCATGTGTGCTACATTTTAGAACTGATTGGCCTGGCACATCTACCAACCATGACGAAGCATTTCCAAGGTCAGAGCTGGTGTGCTTGTAATTTTAGATAAAGTACAAAGCGAGACAACTAATGTCCTGACCTGGCAGCTCCCTGGTACGTTGACGTGTGTACGGGTGACTCTCACCCATCACCCTGAAAGAACATTCTCAGTCAGAGAACACCAGCAACCCCCAGCTTAGTGCCAGAAATAAACAGTGTGTTCCTCACAACCAAAAGCCTGCACGATTGCCCCACCCTCCCCTGTGATTCCTGCCAGGGACAAAGACACCCATCTGGAGCATGGCCACCACTTCATACTTTTTTGTTTGTTTATTTGTTTGGTTGTTTGTTTGTTTCAAGACAGAGTTTCTCTGTAACTTTGGAGCCTGTCCTAGAAACTAGCTCTTGTAGACCAGGCTGGCCTTGAACTCACAGAGATCTGCCTAGCTCTGCCTCCCGAGTGCTAGGATCAAAGGCGTGCGCCACCACCACCCGGCTCACTTCATTCTTTCATATCAGGACAGCACATTACTTGGTTTTCATATCGTCGCTGCAAAGGCGCTTCCGGATGTCCTCTTTCTTGAATCATCTAGTCTGTTTCTTTCGAGACACCCCTAGCTCTAGGAGCCACCTCTTCTGGAGCAAGCCCAGAGAGGGAAATGAACTATCCATGTACAGTGTGCAGGCTAGTTTTATATAAACTTGATACAAACTAGAGTCATCTGAAAGGAGGGAGCCTCAGTTAGAAAACACCTCCGTAAGATTCAGCTATAGGGCATTTTCTTAATTGGTGATGGATGGGAAACGCCCAGCATATGGTGGGTGGTACCACTCCCGGACCTCATCTAAAAGATCATAGGAACAATCCTTTGTTTGGTAACTGCCACATAAACTAGGGCACACCGTAAAACACACACCTTCTGCACACATAAAGACCACGGTGTAATGATGATCAGACAGGGCCTCCAACACTCCATGGTGTCTCTGCCTCTTAGATCAGGGTGGCTCAGGCCAAGCAGACTGGGCTGGAATTGTGGACCCTATAAATCTCCTGTTTATCTAATAGCAAAGGAGTCTGGAAGCAATGCGAGCCCTCCTGCCCACAACAGACTCCAAGAGTCTCCATCCTCTCTGAACATTCTGAGGTAGACGTTCTTAATATTTTCCACTGACTTCCAGTTGCCAGTGGCAGGTGGACGTGCCTCCCTTAAAGAAGGGAGATGAAGGTGCACTCTCGGCTGGTGCGTCCAGCCTGTTGTCTGGAGGACCGTGATAGTGTAACCTACAGCTAACCTGCATAAACGTGTGTATCAGGAAGAAGAATGAAGCTCGGCTAGTCAGTGCTACTGTCACGCTGGGCATGGTAGCTACTGCAGCACAATCTGCCCTGACTAGCCAAATACTGGGTTCAAAGAACTTGATCAGTAATGACCATGATCATATTCTTTCTAGCTATTCTATATAAACCGGAGGGTTTCTGTTTTGTTTTACTTTTTTTCTGAGAATAGGGTTCTAAAATGTAGGATTAGATCATGTTCTGATGAACTCTCATTTCTGTTCTGAAGCTGTTTCCATGAAAAGCCTTACAAAACATCATTGAACAGCTACAGGAAATACGTGTTCTATAGGAACACACAGACCATGGGCTGTGTAGCAAACCTCAACGAAGTTAACGGGCTTCAAGCATGAGAGTCCTCCGACTACAGGAAAATTAATTTTGAAGTTACTAACTACAAGATCTTTGTAGAATCGTCCAGATCAAAGTACACACTCCTCCTCTTTGGGTGGAGAAATGAAGAGGAAAATCCGAGAATACTCTGGAGCAAACGATGATGAAGTCACCCCACACGCCAGCACTCTCAGAACCATTAAAACCACGCTCGGGGTCTACAACACCGAGCAAGCAGAGCGCTTACTCCAGAAAGGACAAGCCCCTCTCAAGTCACCGCCAAATGGCACTAAGACAACAATAAATTCAGTTGTGACCAATCACAAGAAATTAAATAACACAATCAGGCTCCACAAATATGAAAGGAACAGCAAGGGCCGCTGTGGCCAATTCTAAGTCAACAAAGAGCAGATGTCAGGGAAGGACTGAATTCCCAAAGCCACTGCAGCAAGCAATGGAAATGGAGGCCTAGGGGGCCTCGTGGTTTGGGGGAACTTGAATTTTACTTTAACATCTCATTCGGCAGCAGATAAACCATCCAGTTCAGAGGCTTCACTTCATTCCCCCGAACATTTATGGAAGAAACAACTCTAATTCTACCGAAGTCTCCCAGAAAACTACGACAAATGGAAGACGTCCCCACTCATGTGGTTTGTGTGTTTATGTGTGTATTGAGGGGGCACACTACTCAGTCCTCAGTGTAGTGTTATGTGTGTATTTGGGGGGCACACAACTCAGTCCTCAGTGTGGTGTTATGTGTGTATTTGGGGGGCACACTACTCAGTCCTCAGTGTGGTGTTAGGTGTGTATTGGGGGGCACACTACTCAGTCCTCAGTGTGGTGGTATGTGTGTATTTGGGGGGCACACTACTCAGTCCTCAGTAGTGTTGAGAGGTGGTAGGACTAATCAGGAATGAGAGATGGACCTGGTGGGATGGTTCGGCAGGAAGGTGCTTGCTGTCGATGGCTGGCAGAAGAGCCAGCGAAAAGATGGAAGGAGAGAATCAACTCCCCGAAGCTGTCCTCAGGCCTCCATATATGTGCTGTGGCACGCTCACTGCCCCCAAACACATACATCATTTACGGCACAGTAATACAGGTGAGAAAGTTTGAAGAGGTGGGGCCGAGTGTGAGATAATTGGGAATCGTCTGGCTCCATGTGCCCACTCACAGTGCCAACCAGAGGAGAAGGAAGATATGACCTACAGCATTTCAGAGGCCCAGGAAAAGGACCCTAAGTTCCATACATGTAAAGTCCCTGCTACTGCCATATATGCGCAGAAAAGAAAGCAAGGTCAAGAACCTGTGGGGTAAAGAAAGAAAGGCAACAGGGTCTGATCTAGTTCTACTGATGGGTGCAGTCCACAGGCAACCCTCCTCAGAGTTGGTGATGGCTTCAACAGGATGGGTATTCACCCAAGATTTAACCATTTACTGGTAAGCAAGCTAAAAGCATCCATACAAATGAACATAAAAATTAGAATTATGTTTGCCATAAGGATTATGTCTACTAATTCAATGAAAATAATATTAGTTGCTGGGCATGATGAAGCACAACTTTAATCCCACCACTCAGGAGGCAGAGGCAGGCGGGTCTGTGAGTTCGAGGCCAGTCTGGTCTACAGAGCGAGTTCCAAGGACAGCCAGGGCTACACAGAGAAACCCTGTCTCAAAAAATCAAAGAAGAAAATAATGTTGAAATGGAGTAATGACAATAGTTAAAGGTGAAGAGCCAAAGAATTTCCTCAAGGGCAAAGTGAAACCTGTTTATTTATGTAGGGTTGTATGGCCAACGTGGTATCCAAAAATAATTAACCCAGCTAGTGTTTGTCCGGACAATGAGGCAAGAGTTTGAGGTCCTCTCACGTCTCTACAACCTGACTAAATATCCAGAGGGCAAACAGACAAAGTCCCGAAAGTTCCATGTTTTGCTGGGGTTACGGGAAAGCAAAAGGATGTTTCTTGTTACCTGTCTACGGAAAAAAAAAAATGTGTCGGTATGTTCCATTTAGCAACCTTGCCATCATGACATGCACGCATGAGGAACACATTCAAGGGAACACATCTGTGCCCTACACTTCCTGAAAACCTATACGGATTGGGTGGGGTGGAGAGTGTGACTAGATAGAGAACCACATGATTTAATAACATTTAAATACTACATTTAATAACAAATATGGTGGCTTAATAATGAAAGCCAAGAAAAGGCCATGTCAATCCACACAAGAAACAAAAATGTCTACCTAAGGGGTGATGTGATCGCCCCCTGAGAAGGAATTCACAGCCAGGCCCCATTTCCCCTTGCTTAGACTGCAGAACAACTGGATGTCCTCCCTAGTAAACAGCCTTCTAGACCCCCACCTCGTTGTGCCAAGCGTCCTGGCCTTCCAATCTCATCCCGTGTGCATTTTTCTCTAGTAAATATTCACTATGAGATCTGAAACCCAAGTATCTGGCTGATGGCAGGCAGGGTCAGTGGACCAGAGCAGGCCAGAGCGGGCAGCCAGCTGGGTTACGCCGGACAGACAGTTGAGTTCAACAGAGACCACGATCGATACCAGCTGCCATAGAGGCTCTTCCCATTACCTGGTGTGACTCGGGCAAAATGCAACTGGCCAGGGTTCCTTGCCAGGAGCTTGCGAATTCCGTCATCAGGGGCAACCCCCCCCCCCCCCCCCCCCCCCCCCCCCCCCCCCCCCCCCCCGCCTGGACGCTATAAGCCAATAGGCTCCTTAGTTCCTGCTTCTGCATGAGGCGAGTCAATGGTAACGGCCGCAAGAACTGGCCACCCAACAGGATCCATGACCCGCAGCCCAGGGACAGAGCCATCTGTACAACCAAGCTAAGAGAACACGGCAGGCTTCATCATGCCAGACCTGGGGACAGGGTGCCAAGAAGGGGAACGGCACTCCATTTTATGGGCGCTCACCCCGCCTTACTGCTGGTAGGAGGAGAATCTGACCAGTGTTGGCACTACATGAAGCTGTTGGAATCTGCAACTGGGACTTCTTGATGCCACACCCAGCCCTTGTCATTCCTGCTGCCACTGCCCGTCTCTGTCCTTCCACCGTCCAGGCTGCTGCTCAACTCAGCCCCCCCAACAAAGGCTCAAATTAACAGGATTTCCCATTCTACCAAGTGTGTCAGAGCTGGTCTCACAACCACAGACACCTGTCCTTCCTCAAGACTCCTGTGTCCACAGGGGCCCTCCATACCACCGTCACTGGCTCCTCCCAACTCTCCTCGACTATCTGGCATCTGAGCCCCAGCTCCGAGCTGGGACCCTGCTGTCCCGGCTGCACAGTCGAGGCCCTGGGCTGAAGACATTCCTGCTTGGCCTTACGCATTGCCCACAAGGGCTCGGAGCCTGACCAGATTATCATACAGACCAGCGATAGCCTGGCTCCGCTGCTTACTCCAGCTTGGCCACTGTCCGACACCCGCAGGTCCCTCTGTGGACCCTGTTTGCTCACGTGCCACTTTATTTCCTGGGCAGGGCTGCTCTTATAACTAAGGAAACTCAACCACTCTAACGGCAAGGGCTGTCCCGCGTGCATCCGAATCAGAAGAGAAGTTGTTGCCAAGGCTCGGGTTCACTAGCCTTCCCCCTCTTTTTCAGGTAAGGAAGGCTCAGGAGGCAATTTGCTGCTGGGGAGACCACTGTAAGTCCTGCAGATGGGAGCCAAGCCTGGGCAAGCTGATCAACTTCCCCAATTCTCGAGTGCCTGGGGAATGCACGCACCCTAGCACCAGGCAGCCCCACTCTGCCCAGCCATGGACACTGGTAAACCTCACCATGCCCCAGAGTGGTTTTGTGAACCCGGGTTCGAATAAGCACCCTCAGCTAACACTTTTCTCACACTTGGATGGAAAGCTCAGTACAGGCAACATGGCAGGCTGCCTGGCGCCCAGATAGTCAGGGCCGGAGACCAGCTCACACAGCTACTCGCTGATGCCTCCACAAAAGAGGCCCTCCTGCTTCTCCCATTAGAAACACCCTGAAAATTACTAAGTCCAGGGTGAGTGGAGCAAGGTTTGGCATGTTTATTTTTCAAAGGGACCCTGATGGGGTCCTGGCCATAGCCAGGTCCTAAGATAACAGTCACTCTGACTTCTGTCCCCAGCCCAGGCATCCTACAGCCATCTCTACAGTCATCCCATAGGCGCCGATCCTAGAGCTCAAGCCTCGAGGACAGACCTGAGTAAGTCCCTGAACAGATCTTCTGCACTACCAAGCGAGATCTCTGCTACTTTCCCCATGGCCAGCTCATGCCCCAGGAGACAGAGGGCTCCACTTACCTGTGCTGCCCAGAGGTAGTCCAGCCGCAGCCTGACATCCACCTGCCTGGCGTGCAGGGCCAGTGTGCATGAGAATAGCAAGATAGCCATGATGGGCTCATAGCTACGCCCGGAGAGAGCACCACCCCTGGGAAGGTGGAGAAGAAACCCCATTAGTGTCGGTTTCCAGGCAGTATATGGCCATCCAAGCCTAGGTCTGGGCAGAGAGCCACCTATGGATAGCGAGGCCTAAGGCTCGTGGGCCTGACCCTAGGCCTGATTCTCATCTCAGCCAAAAGTTAGAGGCTTCGCTAGAGTCTAGACTAAAGAAGAGAAATAGAAAAGCCACTAACCTAAAAAAAAAAAAAAAGCTGTATATATTTGGTTCACATTGGCTTGCTAATTGGTGCACATGCACAAGCATGTGTGTGTGTGTGTGTGTGTGTGTGTGTGTGTGTGTGTTAGAGAGGGAGAGAGTACTATGACTATAGAGTTAGTAATTGAGGCGATGATTAAGAATAATAGTGATTCATGCAAATTATTATCAGAGGAGAATGATAACTAACATCACGCTGTCTAGAGTTTTCCCTCGGGAGGCCATACTCACCCAACCTTGGTGTATCCACTAAGCTCCAGAACAAGGATGTAGGATGTTGTCAGCCCAGACAGCAGGATCATCTTTGGCAAGGAGGACACCCGCAGGAATATGGCTAGTGGGAGGGTGCCCACCAGGCAGCAGAGCAGGGCGTGGTGCGCAGACTCACAGGGCGGGGCAGGCAGCACAGTACGCCGGCCGCCAGCGGCAAGGACCACTAGGGAGCTGTTGGACTGGGAGCTCCAGGCCCAGGGCAGGCAGCCCACCTGGGGAGCAAGGGCGAAAAGGCTTAGGAAGGCCCAGTATCTGGCCTCACCGACCCCCCCACCAGCCTTCTACAGTAGCCTCTCCCCAACTTCTGCTTCCACAGCCAGGCCTCAAACTGCCTCCGCTGCTGCAGCCTTCCAGTGTCTATAGAAAAGGCTGGAGGTGAGCAAGGTGGACCAGGTAGTACCAGCCCCTGCTGGGTCTCCAAGCCAAACAACTCTATCCTGTGTTGCAGCTCCCTCTACTCCTACCGCCCCCGCTATGACTCCTAGGTCCCGGCTCAGCTTCTCCAACCTGTTGCTCCTGCCCCTGAGCACGCCAAAGTTAGTGACACTCACCACGCATCCTAGGGCTACTGAGTAGATTAAGACCACTATGAATACACACAAAACGGTGCGGATCTGGATCGTCAGGCACCCTGGAAAACACTGGAGAAGAAAACCTCATTTTAGGGTTAGGGATGCGGCAGCTCAGTGGTAGAGTGTTGCCTCCCATGTGGAAGACTCTGGGGGGGAGGTAATCCCAGTGACCCACAAGGGATGGGGGAGAAGGAAAGGGGGAGAACTTTAAAAGTATGCTGTGAGTGTTAAGGTACTTGGTGTTCACAGTGAGTTCTCCGAAGGAGGCCGGGTGTGGAGCCCTTTGCCGGCTCCAGGGGCTTACTAGACCTCCATCTGCTACGCAATGGTCTTGGTTACTTTTATCTATTTATTATCTCCCATGTGAAGAACTTGCCAAAAACAATTCATAACACAGACACACACTGACACATATGCCTACAGCACTTAAAGGAGAAACAGCCATCTCCCTCTCCCAGGCACCCTGACTGGCACCAAAGTTAACTGAGTAGAAGCACTGGGTGTTTTCATTATAATGCACTCTCCTACCTCAGGAGTTCCATACACCCCTCCCTCCCTCTCTCTACTATCTATTTCTCTCTCTTGTCATCTCTGTCTCTCAGTCTGTCTGTCTCTCTCATATTCTCAAAGTTTATCATCACAGACAGGTTTAATATAATTCTTCACTTACTAGAATTTTTATTTTTAATCTATTTATTTACTTTGAATACGGTGTGGAATAATTAACAGATGCTATCAAGGATGAAGCAGGAGGTTCTTTATTCTCACAGTCCTAAAAACAAGAGTATAGATTACAATGGCGCCCACTACCCCTTATGGAAAGTAACATATGCGGCAGAGCCTGGGTCTGCGGGACTCCATGGCAACACACATAGCTGTTTCTGTCATCCTTCCCACGAGGCTGGGAGTGTGACTTTTCTTGTTTAAAAACCGGGAGGCAACGGCCACCAATAAAACAAGCCCAGGACCATAGATTCTGGGGTCAGGACAGGGTGGTATGGGTAGCATATGTAGCTGGCAGATCTTTGGTTCGGGTTTCCAAGTCCAGACCCTACAGTGTTTCATAAGAACCCTGGTCGGTCTAGCTGACCTCAGACACCATTTGGTATGAAGCCTAAGGGCTCTTCTGATGTTGCCTCTCTCTCTATTTCCCTCTTGATCTGATCTCTGCCACTGGGGAAGGCACAGCTGCAAGTCCCTAATCATCAGAGAATGTCCCCAGCTCTTATCACAGCTTAGCTTGGTATGGTTGGGAATTCATGCAGTGGGAAAGACAGATCTCAGTCTGCGGCCCACACGGTCCCAGGAGCAAGGCCTTGGCATGCTCTACAGGTAATGACTCCTAAGAAGAGCTCTTTGCCTGCTGCTGTGAAGGCAGGCCAGCAGAGGAGAGATTTTAGTATCTTGCATGTATAAGGCAAACTATGTCCTTCAGTAAGCTTCCCGGCATGCACACGATAAAAATCAGATGTATTGTAGGAAGGGATATTCTCAGTAGAAAAAGTAGATATATGAGCTAATCTATCAATCAAAACAGAGAACTGCCCACTTTACATCCTTAGTAACCAAGTCTCTCCTCTCAAACCCCATGTAAGGAAGCACTGAGAACTCACTCATGTGGCCCACCGGAGAGTGTATCCCTTTTTAATTTAAACTATGGACTTGCTCCAATAAAATTATCTTGGTTCCTTTGAAAACCTGTGCAATCTCTTACTTTCAATTCTTTGGGTAAGCCTAGAACCTGAAAACATCTGCTCCAGCCCCTGGCAATGGTATCACTGGGACTTGGTAGAAATGGAATTGTCTGGTTACCACAAGCCCTGAGCTGCCTATCATGAACTGGGTGTTTTCTGGCAGAAGTGGCTGCACACGACAGCACCTCGTCACCAAATGGACATGGTGTACTCAACAACACTGAATTCAAGACTCAGCAACACAGACTTCCATTCACCAGGGCCAGCCTGGCTCCAGCCTCTGCACAGCCTAGGAATAACAATGGGCACCATTCATGAGTCTTACAGGAGCTTCAGAATGCAGCAGGCTCCACGGAACAGTTTAACAACCTTCTGGAAACTAGCTCACAGTGCCAGGGAGGCGACAGTATCTTGTAAGCAGGGGTCCAGGTTTTCCAGAACTCTCTAAATACTCAAAACTAGCAACTCATACAAATAGTGTATCTGGCCATGCTAGTCCAGAGCCAGAAGGATGGCCACATACACAGAAATCACACAGAGTAACTTCAGAAATTAGCAGGCAAGACTAGGAGTCTCCCATAACCCTCAGAAATGTTTCTTAGACTGTCAAAACTTCTATTCAGGTTACGAACTACAAAAAAATAAAAATCTAACTAAATGGGCATTTGTTTTGCATACTTGCTATAGACAATGGTTCTTAACAGCCCTTGAGGTTTCTCACTCCTGTTCTTGTACCAAAGACTATGAGTGCCTATGGCTGGAATCACATGACATTACAACCCTGCAGAAGGTTTGTAACAAGTCATTCAGATGGGAGTAACTCATGCATCTAATCTGATCACATGACTTTTTTTTGCTGCTCCAAAGCTCTTTAGCTGGCGGCAACCCCATTGCCCTTTCTCCCCAGCCCCATGCTTCTGGAGCTACATCCAAAGAAACAAGCTGGGCCAATGCCACAGAGCTTTGGCATCTATGATAATTAATAAATAACTCACAGATTGGGAAACATTATTTGTCAAACATACAAGTGATGAGGGGATAAATATTCAAAATAGATATGGAATACAGGCAATTCAATAGCAAGCAAATGAAAATCCATTTTTTAAGCAGCTAAAGGATTTAATATATACTTCGCAAGTCAATACAGAAAAGTCCAATACTGATCCCTGGGCAACATTCGTCACAAACCATTGGAGACATGCAAACTAAAACCAAAAAGAGATGCCCATGGCCCGGCTGGAGTGACTTATCAAACAACTGATAATTGTAGGGGACGGATGTACATTAGCACAACCATTATGGAAAACAGAATGAAGGTCTTTCGTCAAACTAAGAACAGAATTTCCATGTGATCCAGTAATCCTCCTATACATCCAAAAGAAAGAAATCAATATGAAGAAGAGAAGATGGGCCATGTAGCTAGGAGGGTGTTTGCCTAGGAGACACAAACTCCCGAGTTCCGCCTTGGGAACTACACATGACAAGGTGTGGGGCATGCTCCCGTAACCCCAGCACTCAGGAGGGTAGAAGGAGGAGGTTCAGAATTTCCCTGACTACATAGCGAGTCTGAGATCTCTCTGGGATACGGAAGATCATCTCTCAGAAATGAGGTGAAGAGACAGCTGTGCCCCCCTGTCCCATGGTCACTTCAGCACTGCTCACAGTAGCCAAGATGGGGCCAGCCTAACCGAAGGTACCCTGCTGACCAACGAACAGACAAAGAGCGGAGTGCTACTCAGCCCCAGAAAAGAAGTAAACCTTTCAGTCTGTACCAAACCTTGATAACCCTGGAGGGAGTTACGTTAAATAAAGTAAATCCGGTGCAGAAATACACCGTATGGTCTCACTGAGGTGTGGAATCTAAGACTCAAGTTCACACAAGGGGAGTGAAGAACGGTAGATGCCGGAAGATCCGGTAAGGAGCTCATGGGAAAATGCTGCAAAATTTCAGTGAGCTGGGAAGAGCGAGCTTGTGAGAAAGACTGCACAGTGGAGGGCTACAGTGAACGGCAACACAGTGCATGCTTCAGAACTGCTAGGAGTTGACTTTAAATGATCTTGCTACAAAAACAAGCCACAGTGTGTGATGCGACAATCAGTTTGCAACATAATGTATAACATCATATTGTATCCAATACATACATTTGATTAGCATTTTTTAATTAAAAATAAAAACGTAATGGGAAAAAAGAAAAGCAGAGCTTTTTGCCGGAACATTTTTTTTCCTAGACAGTGGAAAGAGGGGAAAATGAAGGGGAGTGAAAGTGAGGTTCCCTGTGCCACTGAGAGTCTGGAGCAGCAATCTGCAAGGAAATAGTGAGTCTCACAATTGCCCAGAACTGAATTCTACCAACCATAATGGACCAGGAATCAGTCATTCCCCATGGCCTTTTGAGAAGCCATGAGTTGATATCTTAGATATCAAAAGACATGCATGGACTACACTCTCTAGAGCCAGGAGCTCACAAACAGATGAGATTTTGTGTGTCTGATGGCTGTGGCTATGTCAGGAAGCAACAGGAAACTCAGATGGTTTTGACCTGCTGTTCCCCAATCAGGGACGTTTGGCTATAGTCAATGGTGTGTCAGCAAACACTGGAGTCCCGCTGCGTCTTCATGCTGATTCCCTTTCTTTGGAAAGGACTTCAGCAGGAGGAACAAGCAGGCCAAAAGAGATGTCCTTGCTTTCTCTCTCCTGGGTCTGCAAACTTTAAATTCCAGAGGCTGACAGCAGCTCCATCACAGTCAGGTTCCTACAAAGAAACTCCCTTGCTGACGGATATCCATGCCTCCCATGTTCCGCCCCTCCGAATGCACCCAGTCGAGGCTGACACCCTAAGCAGGAGGCGAATGGATCTTTTGAATGACGTGGAGGGCAGAGTCCCCTGTTCTAGATGCATGCTCATATCTAGTAGAGAAAAAGATGAAACTGCTGTCATATTGTGGTCACCCCAAGGGAGGCCAGCATTGGACCAATACTAGCACTAAGTGGCAGAGAGACCATGCAAAATGAAATAGTCGCCTGGCTTGAAGCATCCCTGAGTTCTCCCTCCAGTCCTTTCTGGTTCATGCTCAGTGTTAATTCTCTCAACGTTCTTGATGAAATAAGGAAGGAAGGGAGTCGTCTTTAGGAACGGGGACCAATGCAACTGTCCCCATGGACCGCGGAGGAAAGCATAGCTACACTATCAACGCCATAGTCTCCTTGGAGATACATCCTGGCAACTGTCCATAGTCCCACCTGTGTGGCTGGCCATGCTGGATTCGCTCCTGCTTGGCTTGACTTCCTGTCTGCTGACCTGCCCACTGTTCCACCCCCAAGCTCCTACTCCACCATCTATTCCCACAGCCTCCACCAAACCTAATCAGCCCCAAACTGAAGCCTGGTGGATACCAGTCACCATGTGCTGCCTTAGTTCATCAACCCTGACCTGGGGCACCCTCCTGGGAGCTGAGTCCCATCGGCCTCTTTTCCAGCGGAGTGCAGATTCCTCTGCTTCCCAGGTGTTGGCCCGCATGAATCTGGGCACCAGAGAAGCCCCTGAAACAATGGGAGCTGCTACTTCAAAAACACCAGTTTAGGAAATCTTCCATGCTGCTCTTCGGTGAGGCTGGGGGTGAGCAGCGGGGGCCAGCTGACCTGGCTGTTAACATCCAGGAGTTATTCTGTCCTGAGTTGCCACCCAGGAGGGCAGCTGTGTTTTCATAGGGGGTGGTTTGGGGGAAGCCGTCACAATTTGATCTCACAGAACATGCGTTTTACACAGCCAGGTGGTATTTGGACTTGAATATTAGTTTTATGGGTAAGATGCTAGGTCAGTAACTCTACCGAGGGGAACTAGGGTCCCCTGATGAAATGCTAGGTCATGAAGAATTGTGTGACTCTGCCTAGGGGTCCTGGAGTCCCCCAATGAGATGCTAGGTCATGAAGAATGGTGTGGCTCTTCCCCAGGGAACTGGAGTCCCCTGATTAGATGCTGGGTGGGGCTCCAGGGTCTCTGTGTTCCTCAGCTACACTGTGAGCTACTATGTCCAACCCCCAACACACACACACACACACACACACACATCTTCACACTTTTTGCATGTATTGTGCTGTTTGCACGTATTGTGCTATTTGCACACCACCAGGTTGACACACTGGCTCCCATCAATGCAGACAAAATGACAGCTTTAAAAATTACCATCCCGATGTCATGCTTTCATTGAAACTCTACGACAAAGGCAATATTATCTGAAGCCGGAAATTTTAAACTAAACGTCACTAAACCTATGGAAGCCAACAAGATGTAAATGTGGTCTTAATATAGAGTATCTTTTAAATCAGAAAAATAAAAGCCAAGAGGTACCTGGGAATAATGATGGAGTTAAGTGAGTGAAATCAGACTAAATTCTCTCAAGGGGTTGCAATCTTCTACAATTATACAAAAGTAAGCCCAGATCTAACATCTCCAATAGGGGTGTGTGGGAGATGGGGCACTGGGAAATAGGCTGAGCCTATGAGAAAAGAGCACAGGGCCAAGAGAAACAGACCTCTAAGGGGAAGTGAGGAGGCTCAGCCTTTGTTCCAAAAGTCCAAATTACCCTTGAGCATCAGAGTCACGACAGCACAGATAGCCCACCTGGACCATGCCCACCTTAGCCCAGTTGCATGGATATATAAGAAACGAACTGCCCTGGGTACTCCAACCAAGTTGCAAAGGGAATATATACTTCAAGGTCCTTTTTCATCAGTATTTACTACCCACTGACTGGGCCAAGGCAGTCCCCAAAACATGACACAAGGCGCAGTACACTGGACTCAACCAGCACCTGCCTGCCATATAGACAGATGTCTTCTACTTGCCACCGAGAATGAAGGATAGGACCGCTCTGCCATGAGACTATACACAGAATACTCAGGTACATGGTCTTGGACATAGGCTCACATACCTGGACACCTGTAGAAGACACACAAACATACCTGGACCCGCGTGATGTGCAGGTACAGGATACAGGCCACCAAAAAGCAGATAGAAAACACCAGCAGCAGCAGGACAACCACACTCCTGGAGATAGAGAACACAGGTCACTGGTTGGTGGGAGCTAGGTACAATGTATATCAGATAGATACCTCAGAACCGGGCCAGGTACAATGTATCAGATAGATACCTCAGAACTGGGCCAGTTACAATGTATCAGATAGATACCTCAGAACCGGGCCAGGTACAATGTATCAGATAAATGCCTCAGAACTGGGCCTCTCTTCCTGGCCTCCAATGCCCAGAATCTCAGGAGGAAGCATTTCCATTATCCATTTGACACATGTCCTTGGGGACTGACTTCACCTGGTTCTCTCCTAGTGAAGACACTTGGGGCTTCTGAATGAGGGTCCCAAGACCATCATCATCCTTACTACCTCACCCCAAAGTTAATGCTTGGCTTCAGGTCACATGACTTTCTGGAAGACCTTTCTTCCTACTGGAGGAAGTACTTGACTTCGGGGAGCTGTACTATTGATACTTGTCTGGGAAAGATGTTTCTAGAAAAAAACATAACCCCTAGCAAAACCATCCGGGAGACTGCCAAGTTCACAGTTTTCTGTGAAGGCCACAGCTGAAGTGTCCTGTCCTTCACAGGTATAGAGAACTGCTGTGTGCTTTCTGGAAACTCTTAGGAGACATTATGCCCTCAAGGTAGGTCCTCCTGGGAAACAAGTGCCTGAAGAAACAGACAACCAGAAACTTCCTGGTGTCTTCCTCCAAACAAAAGCTCCAAGCTTACACTGACTCACAGGACGGTTTAATGTCATTTAAATGGCTCTGTTTTCTTCCTTATCACAGTCTACTTCTTAGTTTAATGTCTTTTAAAGTGATGTGGATCCAGGAGGCAGAAAGGCCATGTGTTCTCTTCGGAAGGCTCTCTGAGGACAACGGTGCATGCCATTTCAATGAGGAAGCAACACACACACACACACACACACACACACACACACACGCACGCGCACACACACACACATACACACACACACAAAGTCTTGGCGTTTAGTAATTTCAAAACTAAAAATGGTAAGGATGTTGTATGCCAACAGGCTTGTCAAAGTACCAACCTGAGTGCATAAAGAAGAAAGGCAGGTGGCCAATGCCCTCCTCAAATGCCAGGCACAACAGAAGAGTAACTGGGAAGTGCATCTGGAGCACATAAAGACCCCCAGGTCCAACCCCAGTGTTTGGTTTCAGAGTGAAATGGGTTTGAACACTTAGTCCCTAGACAGTGTCACTATTTGGGTAGGTTGTCAAACCTTTAGGACGCGGTGCATGATGGGAAGAAGGGAGTCACGGAGCATGAGCCCCAGGCCACACACACTCCACTTCGAGATCCATCCTCACGTGAGCGAATGGCCTCATGCCCCTACCACCCAAGCTGAAGGTCTCCCCTGATGTCACGTGAGCCCAAATCAGCCCTTCTTCCCTTCAATTGCTTCTCCTCAGCTATTCAGGCACACAAACAAGAAACACAACCAGTACCCACAGAGACCCGGAACTCTTGGTCACCTTCCCACACCACTGATAAGCACGGGAGCAACACTTACTGTGGAATTATCAGAAGGTAGACAAGCCCAAATAAGGCGGCCAGGATGAGGGCGAGGACAACGGCGCTGGTGAAGTACTCATCCTGAAGCTGGTGGTACTGTGGGGGAGGGGGAGGGAGATGGGAGAAGGAGCATGGGTCAAGGAGGGAGGGAGGGAGAGCGAGAGAGTGATCAAGCCAGCTGGAAGACACAAACTCCTCAGGGACAGGGACGCAGGAAGCGCCAAGTCACTCACTTTTTGCTCTCGTTCAGCGTGTTTGTACTTCAGGGTGAAGAAGTTCAGATCTGCCATCTCCAGCTCTGTCTGGCGGGCTTCAAGAAGACGGCTAATGTACCTGTTGACACGTGTGCCTGGAGTGGTGTAGACCACGTTGGTAGAGAAAGATGAACGGTTTCTGAGCTTCTCCGAGGCTGTCCTCAACGCCCTCCGCTGCATTCGCCACGAAAATAGAGAAAAAGGTATCAGATGTTCCACCCGTTGAACAAAAGCACCCATGTGCACTTGGTTGTCAGCCATCCTTATCTGCTGCAGTCTGGGTAGGTTCAGAACTGTGAGATGCTGTTGTAGTGCTGCCCCCTGCTGGCTAGAGTTGGAAAGGGTGGTGCCCTAACACCCAGTATTCAAGTTCCCAGGTCCCTACTGCAAATCACAGAATGTCTGTTTGATATCAGTGAGGAGAGGGCCATGGATTCAACGACAAAAATTCAGGACAAGCAGCCACCTGCACCCACTAGCTCACAGACACAGGAATGAGACTTGGATGGGATAACCACCTTCACTCACAAGTCCACATACGTAGGAAGGGATGCCTAGAAGTTTGCTACAAAGGCAGCTAGCCTTTGTCTTTGAGGGAGGAATGGTGAGAAGTGACAGGTAGCCTGGGCTGAAAGGACCAGGGCGTGATCCTCTACTGTACATCACATGACAGGTGTGGGAAGGGCCCGGGCTGTGGAAAGGAAAACAGTGTCATCTGAAGGCACCTGTTGTGGTCTCACAGCCAAGGACTCATAGCAGGGACTCTGATGCTTCCCATGCCCCAGCAGAGGATAGACTATTAGAATACACTATAGCACAGCCGCAGAAAGGACGGAATAAAGAGACCCTCTCTGTGTTCCAACAAAACACAGACAATAAACACAGGCGTTATGGGAGGTGGAAAAGGAGAGCAGGCTTTCAGAACTCTGGGACTCAAAGAGGAACTGTGTGTGACAAGGATCTTCATTAAGAGTCAGAATGAGAAAGAATGCCCACCCTTATTGCTATTATCTAATTTAATTATTACATGGGAAAGAAGAATAAGAGCCCTGTTTAAAGTCGATATTATTACTGACCAAGAAAACTCAAGATGATTTTAAAAAGTCACTACAATTGGTTTCAATTAGCGTGGATCATGCAAGCTGAGTGTTCCCTTCAGTAAATGATAATCATCCCTCATCGTTTTTAAACAAAAGGCTCAGGAGATGTGGAAACTGGCAGAAAACACGCTGTGTCCAGCACACTGGCAATGCTCCAAGCCTTGCTAAGGTGCCATGCTGGAGCGGCTGAAGCCAGGGTTTGCACACAGCATGGATAGAATAAGATGCTAGAGAGAGCCCAGGTTGGCAGCAGCCGTCCAAGATTAGAAGAGTCTTCCAATAGCCCAGGAGTCTCCCCCAAGCCCAGGCTATCAGGCACTGCTCACTAAGATGTTCATGGAATCAGATGTGCCTAGCATCCAGGAATGCGATACAGAGAAATGAAGTCCCTGTTGACCAATGAGCCCCTAGGGGAGTCAGGCCTGTGCCTATACTTGGAGGCCATTCAGCCACAAAGAAAAGGCTGAGATATGTGTGGGCCTCCAAATGCTCGAGGTGTTTCTGGGGTGGAAAAGGCTCAGTTCACCCCGTTACCACCCACTTCATACACAAGCTGATTTCCAGAAGGGAACAGAGAAACAGGAGCAATCCAGAGCACTTGACTCCTGTGTTGCCCACACAAGTGGCTTTCATGTTGCTTTAAATTGATACGCTTAGATTTAAAACTGTATACACGGGGGGGGGGGAGGTGAAGAAGGGGTAGCGAGGGAGGGAGGGGGGGAGGGAGGAAGGGAGGGAGGGGAAGAAGGAGGGAAGAAGGGAGGGAAGGAGAGAGAGAATGAATAAATGTAGAATGGGGAGGTTTCTGAGTGTAGAACAGAGGAACAAATACATTTCAAAAAATCAGAAAACAATAATAAAGAAGGCCCTTATCCTATGCTGGCTGTGCCCCTCAGTGTCACTGCTGGTGACTCCATACTGGCTGTACCCCTCAGTGTCACTGCTGGTGACTCCATGCTGTCTGTGCCCCTCAACAGTCACTGCTGGTGATGGCGCCATAATCTCTCATCAGTGGCACACACAGAGCCCATACTTGCCAGGCACAGTTTACAGAATGCCCAGGGATGAAACTGTACTTCCACAAATAAAAGTACCATGACCTGCCTTCGTTAGTAAAAACAGAAAAGTCCCAAATATCAATGCCACATAAACCATCTCTCCTTGGGTTTAAAACCTAAGCCAAAGACTGAAAACTCAGACTGAGGGGCAGCTAATGATGTAAAGACAACTGTATGATACACCCAGACAAGAGAAGGAGAAACAAGCAGCCGAACTGCCTCTATGATATAATGAAGACCCTTAAAGGAACTCCAGGGCCCATAGTTAGGACACTGATGGAGCCAGAGTGCCAGGTCTCATCTGGGGGTGGTGGATGACAAACGTTTTTCATTTGCCTTTATTGTGCATTTTTGTATTTGGAGATGTCATTCATAATAAATTCCTTCATGGGCAGGAAAGGGTCCACAGGACAAATGGAACGGGTGAAAATGTGTTTTGGGGCTGGGGTACGCTATCAGGATCTGTCCCTGGTGTGCTAACAACAACAGCAGCAAGGGAGAGAAACCATAAGCATGGTGGAAGAGACACCACACCAGGGCTCGGTGTTATTAAAAGGAAATCATTTCAATAATGGGGCAGGCTCTACACAAGACCTTGCAGAAGGTGCAATAATGGTAGCAGGCTCCTGGATTCAACTATGAACAGCAACTGGGGGTGTACAGTCAAGAAGAAAAGAGGCTCTATGGACAGAAAACTACTCAGTAGACATCGGAGGTCAGAGCATGCTGGCTAAAGTGACCAGGATCTCTACTGAAGATGGCTCTGGCTGATCATGTATCTCCAGAACAGGGGATGGATGGGATGAGGAACCTACCAGATGTGTGTGTGTCTGTCTGTCTGCTGTCTGTGTGTCTTCTGTCTGCTGTCTGTGTCATTGGAGCTAAAATTCCTACTGTGACGGAAGCCAAGCATTTAGTATAATGCAAGCTTCCAGTTGCCTGGGCACACATAAAAGCTAATCATCCTCTCTGATGTGATCCACCATGAATGAAGTTTTTAGAATATTCTCAGAAAAAGTTCCAGCACAGAGGAACTCACATACACAAATTCTTGTGGCAAGGAACCACTATAAGCAAGAGTCCCGAAAAGCCTCTAACTGCACCAGGAAGTTTCTTTCTTTAAAAGGTATAAAACCAGTAACAGCAGAGAAAACAACGGTGGGAAAGGCAGCAACAGGGTGGAGCAAACAGAAGCAAGGTAAAGCCAGTGTAATCTCAGAGGGCCGGACAGAGTGGGCAACGCGGTATCAGGCACCTTCAGGCTCAAGCACTCCTGGATACAGTGGTTCTGGTCAAGAGCCATCCACAAGGGGGCACTAGAGCCCTAAAGTGCACCCCATGCTCTTTGGTGAAACAATGTGCGGTCTTCCCCAAATAGGGAATCAGGGTCTCTGGCTCTGTGTGGATGAAGTGAAGCCTGAGATGCCATCATCACGACCAGCACATACCCAGAAGATCTGAAGATCAAGGGCATCCTTAGCTACATAGCAAGTTTCCACCACGTCAGCCTGGGGTCTCTGACATGGAATACAATTTCATTAGTGAATTACTCATAAAATAAAGAGTATCCAGAATTTTTAAGAATTGAAAAGCTCAACAGAAGCATTGGATGATGTACCAGCCGATTTTGTGTGCCAACGCGACACAAGCTAATGTGGGGGAGTCCCTTCCCCTCTGTGCGCTGTGATTACCATTAATGAATAAAGAAACTGCCTTGGCCTGTTGATAGGGCAGAACTTAGGTAGGCAGGGAGGATTGAGTCAGGGAGACGTGGAATCACCACCAGAGATGGATGTGCTGAGACTTTGCTGGCAGCGCTCCGGCCTCGTGGTGATACACAGATTAATAGAAAGGGGTTAAATTAATATGTAAGAGTTAGCCAGTAAGAAACTAGAGCTAATGGGCTAAGCAGTGATTTAATTAATATAGTTTCTGTGTGTTTGTTTCGGATCTAAGCTAGCTGGGCGGCCAGGATCAACAAGCAGGCTCCCTCCCTCCAACAACAAGCTGGAATCATCAGAGAGGAAGGAGCTTCAGCTGAGGAAATGCCTCCATGAGATTCAGCTATAAGGCATTTTCTCAACTAGTGATTGAAGAGGGTGGTGCCATCCCTGGGCTGGTGGTCCTGGGTTCTGTAAGAAAGCAGGCTAAGCAAACCAAGGGAAACAAGCCAGTAAGCAGCTCCCCTCCATGGCCTCTGCATCAGCTCCTGCCTCCAGGATCCTGCTGTTTGAGTTCCTGTCCTGACTTCCTTCAGTGATGAAGTGTAAGCCAAACAAACCCTCTCCTCCCCGACTTGCCTTTTGGTCAGGGTGTTTCATCGCAGCAGCAGAAACCCTAATGAAGACAGATGATAAAGTTGAAAAAATACTTTCCAGAAAATAGAAGGAAAGAGCTCAGGGGAGGGAGGAGTTCAGTCAGTTCAAGAGCTCCAACACCCAAATAATAAACCTTCCAGGAAAAATTACAGAAGAAAGTGAAGGAAAAGAAATGGCAACATAATTCATTTCCAGACAGGTCCTCTGGGGACACTGGGTACCAGTTACAAAGCGACCTAAGAGAAGGTGTGCTGTGTGGCCAGAACACATGATGGGGCACCAAGGATGGACAAGGGCACACAGGTACCGTATCACAGGGAACTGGAAGGGCTCTGAATTAACAGCGGCCCTGGAAGGGAGGACCCAGTGAAGCATGCTGGGAGAGAAAGAAAGCACTGCCAACCGCGATGGCTGAACCCTTATTTCACCCCCTCCCCCCCAAATCCATGTGCTGAAAATCTAACTCCCACAAAGACAATAGAACAGGAGGAGACTTTGGAGGTGTTTCTTTAGAGAGGGTCCTGATGGGATTATGCCCTTATAAGAAGAGGAGGTGACTCCAAAGCCTGTGCCTACTACACAGGACACAGCAAGAAGACAGTTCCTGCAAACCAAGGAGAGACTAGGCCTGCAGGTACATCAGGCTGCCAGTGAGTGAGTGCTTGGGGTTAACACCTCTCAGACTGGGCGCTTTTGTGGTGGCAGCCTGGGCTGGCTAACATACGGAGCTAGAAATCAAGGCTGCATCCTGCCAGCTGAACCTTTTACACATGCAAATCTGTCCCCCCCCATCACTTCCTGTATCCTTTTCACATTCCCCATGTAATGTGAGAGTTAGGTGCATGGGACCACAGAAGCCCATGGCGACAGGATGAGAAAGGCTCAGGAAGAGCAAGCTGAAGATTAGCAGACCTGAAGGACTAACCAGAGCTCCTCGGACAGCACGTGGGGAATGCGAGCTTAGACTTGGATACATACAAAATATGAATTAACATACAGGCTTGTGTTGGGTCACCTGATCAGACAGGTATCACCGGTGAGGAGCTGCACCAGGCGGGAGGAGAGAGAGCAGGGCCCCAGGACCCTCGGCCACCCCTACCTTGTCATCATCCTCGCAGGTCATGACGTTGGAGAAGGGGATCTCCGCTTTGAACATTTTCCGGCAATGCATGAGCTGCACCAGCAGGTAGCAGACAGTCTTGAACTTCATCCTCTTGGCTGGTTTTATATCGGAGAGAATCAAGCCTGGAAATATCTATCCAAACACAAGGGGAGGGGAAACATTGTCAATGAAGCGGATCTCGACTCCCGGGCTGGAAACGTGACCTTAACAGTGATAGGAACTAGCGGGCCCTGAGATTAGGTTGCCGGATACCTCCTGCACGCCAGGTATCCAGGAAACTACACACTCGCTGTCACACGTGCCTGCACCCTCAACTAAACCCATAGCTTCATGTGAACAGGCACATTTTCCTAACCCATCACCTAAACCGGACCCTTCATCTTCAAGAGAACCATCGTCCACCTAAATCGTCATGTGAGGACCTAACTACATCTGCACCACACCCTCACCTGAGTTCACACCCTCACCTGAGCTCACACCCTCACCTCAGCCCACACCCTCACCTCAGCCCATACCCTCACCTCAGCCCGCACCCTCACCTGAACCCACATCCTCACCTGAACCCACACCCTCACATGAACCCACACCCTCACCTCAGCCCGCACCCTCACCTGAACCCACATCCTCACCCTCACCTGAACCCACACTCTCACCTGAGTTCACACCCTCAGCGACACACCATCCTCACTGAACCAGCACCCCTACCTCAACAAGTACAGTCACCTGAACCACTTCTCTCATCTGAGTTCACACCCTCCTCTGAGCCCACCCCTCATCTGAGTCAGAACGGTAATCTCAGTCCACGCCATCCAAACAACTTGAACGGTCACCTCAGCCCTGGAAGCATCTCTGCCACCCTCAATCCTAACCACATCATCTTTCTCCTGGCAGTGTGACCTGAAGCATCCAGCACAGGATGGTCAGAGTTCCCTCTAGCACAGCGTCTGTAAGTTCACAAAGATTTGTACCCCAGCCTCTTGCAGGAAGTTCAAGGCCACTATACAAAGGTCTAAGGGGCCAAAGACAGGGAAAAGAACCCAAAGTGGCACAGTCAGGCATCCCCAGATGTCTGACTCCAGACTCCAACTACTCCTTTCTCTTCTCCCCTCCTATATACATGAGCCAAAGCCCTGCAGCCAGTATCTCTGTGCCCACATCCGGAGGAGCAGCTGGGAGAGCAGCAGCTGAGAACAAGTGTTTATGTAAATCTCCGCTCTGTAAAGCCAGGCTGTCTATGACTGGATGAGGGGACTGGCTGCCCACCTTTCTCCGATGGGACGGCACAATAAAGAAGGTCTCGATGTTGTGGGTTCTCAGGAAGGTGTTCCTCTCGTGGCCATGTCCTGGCTCTACCTCGTAGTCCCCATTCAGGCATGCGAGGGTCGTCTTTGTGATGTGAACCTTCCTGTGGGAGAAGAAAACACAGCTGAGCGTGAACTCACACGTGTGGCTGTGCAGGGACCTGGGTGAGGCACTCGCTGGGGTCACAGCAGAGGTTATTCTTGCTTGGAGCAAGACTCCTGAGGTATCCACACTCATGGTCCAGTGCATGGGAAACCTGGAAAGCAAGGGTGGGGAGGCCCACGCAAGCCAAGAGATGGGGCACACGCCCAGGAAGGCAGAATAGGGTTGGTGAAGGATCAGGAAGAGACCCAAAGGAGAGAAGGAAATAGAAGATTCTAATACAGAAGATGAGAACCAAACAGGTAGAGTCAAAAAAGAAAGGGGAGCCCTCCTTCACCAGCGCAGTGAGGAGCTGCAGGTCCCGGATGCTGGTAGCCAGGAGAGAGGGCAGTGGGAAATGATATGGGAACCCCCACCTGCCTTGCTTCTCTGCCTCACAGCATTCCAGCCACCTTTCCAGACCAGCTCTTTCCAGACTTTGTGAATCCCCTGTAGGAGAAAGCCTTGAGTTCATGGTCAAACTCTGCAGCTGACTGAAAGATGGGCAAGTGGGCAGAGCAAGACTGACAGCCACGAGGGAGCCTTTAAAGTCACGGCGTTGTCCACGCACAGGTGTGAGAAAATAAAACACAGAAGCAATAATAAGACATGAGAATACCCCATGTGCCAGGATAAAGTTCCCATGCACATCTGGTCTGATCCACACTGGTTTCCTGCAGATGTGTACTGGATCTTAGCTGGGTCCTCCGGAGGGTCAAAGCAGAACTTACCCAAGTCCCCTCAGGATCAGAGCCCAAGATGAGGACTCTAACAAAGGTACTCAGCCACCTTCCACCCCAACTAAAACTTACCCAGGTAAGCCAGCAGCCTCCATGACATTGGCCAGGGTCACGTCATTGGACCACACATCGTACTGCCACTTGCGTAGGCCCAGGACACCACAGAGCACCCTGCCGGTGTGCAGCCCCACACGCATGTTCAGGTCTACTTCAGTAGCCTCAGCCACAGATCTGGAACACAGGGACAGAGGGCACAGGGCTGAAGGCTGCCGGGCAGCTACCCCAGTGGGCTGTCGCGGCTGCACTACGGAGGCCATGAGCACTGGGGAACAGGCTGCGTGCGTCTGGAGTGTGACAGGTGTGTGGAGGTGTGATCGGAGGACAGCAGCAGATCTCTGCCCGCTTGTGAGGTAAAGGCCAGCCACATCAATGTACAACGAGTCCTTCGAGCTCCCAACAGAGCATCCTCCTGCCCCTCCCCACCCAGGGAAGTCCTCAGAAGGAAACGAGCCAAGAACTTCGATGTGGATCTTCTCTCCAAGGAAACAGCTCTGGAGAGGTGGATAAAGGCAGATCATGTGCCAAGGGAATTAAAAACGGGGGAACCAGTCGATGTGACCAACTGAGGACACACTGCTCTTGGTCACGGAGACGCAAGTGTCCTGGCGTGTGAGTCCGGCTCTGCCAGCATTAGCTCTGCCAATCTCTGGACTTCTGCTTCAGAGCTGTCCTGGTGGACCTCACTGCGGGAGACGTAAGCCACCCCTTGCCAGCTTTTTCTATTCCACTGATAAAGAACACCATGGGCTGCTCCATGAAGGACTCTGGGAAGAACAGAGTCCCCTCATCACTGCAGGCGTATGATCACGTGGCAAACAGTGCAGCCTTCGGTGAGCCTCTGCCTGCTCCACCCTCAGCTCTGCAGGGCCTCCTAGGACAACACTGCAGGTCACGTTTTCAGTAATAAAATAGCGTGCGTGCATTGACCCCACCCTGTGTCTGGCTGACCTTCACCCTGACTTCGGTTTACCATCCTGCTCCCACCTGGAACACCTGCACAGCACATCCCCACACCCTCTGGCCTCCCCTCAAGCCCCACAGGTGCTCCCCTGAGCCATCTTCCAAACAGGACAGCTGTCCCCGTCTCTGCGCTTGGGTAGGCAAGACGCCAAAGCCGGCTGCAGCCCAAGGGCCAGGCCCTGAATTCCTAGCGCTCAATCAGTTTCAGCGACCCCAGAAGTGCATGTGGAAGTCGGAGTAACACTAAGTCTTTAAGACCCATTTTGCTTTTTACATTTTGAATGAAACTTTTAAAATTTTAACTTCATTCCCAGTGGTCTGCCAATCTTCAATAGGAGACACTGAGACAAAACCCTAAAGAGAAAGTTGGCATTTCCAAACCCACATAAGCAACGTTCCTTCAGAGAGACAACAGCCCTTCCTTCTGGAACACATTCAGCATTTCCATTTCTGCAGCCACAGAAGGTAAGACAGCCTAGGAGCTGCTGGGACAGGCACTTGCCTGTGTCCACAAATGTCCACAATTCCCTTGAGCCTTCCAAGCCAGCCATTCTGGATCCCTGTGAGCTGGGATCCGCCGACGCGCCCAAGGCCCCGCGTGTCTGGCGCTCAACGCCTGCCAACACTCAGTCGGTCTTTCCTGGCATCTGGCACGTCAAAGCTGGCAGCGCCGAATCCACAGCACCCAGGAGAGTGTTTTCTGAGGAAACGGCACAGCCAGCTGTTCTGCTGGGGCTCCTCTTGGCTCCCTTCTACCCAGGCATGTTTTGCCCAGATCCAACAAAGCTTTCACTTCATTTCCAGGACATCAGCATTTCTAGACCTCGTCTTCTTTATTCACCCTATATTTCTTATTTATGGTCTCAGAGTGACTTATTTTATCACAAGTACTTTCTACGAAGGAAGAATGTGGTCCTGACCCTGTTTGGTGCTGGATCCTAATAGGAGGCAGCCCACCTTGAGGCACAGGCCCCCTCCTCCCTTTCGGGGTACACAGATCCTGGAGCAAAGATAAAAGGACGAATCTGGGTTCTGTTCAATGAGAACTTACTGAGCTCACTGCTCTTGGCCATTCTTCCAGGCACTATGGATACAGCTGTGCACACAACAGACAAAATAAAAGGCTCTCTAAGAGGTGATCTGCTGTCCTCTAGGCAGAATTTCCCAGATGCAGTGATAACACAATTGCCTGAGGCAGCCCCCAGCCTCCATCCTAGCATGCTAGAAGAATACAGCAACCCCTTCCACCCAATGGGATCAAACTTGTGCCATTAACACCTGGGATCCTAAGTTCCCCTCTGGGGCCCCGGCTTTGACATCTATAAAAATGCAATCATTGGTCATAACACACAGACTCAGAATCCCCAGGTCCCCAAAACAATACGACAGAATTTTTGTCATGAGTGGAAATTTGGAAGCATACACAGCATCCTCCACCCCAGAGAAAACTCCTTCTTAAACACACCCACAGGCCAGACTCTAAAAACCAGAACCCAATAATTAGACCAAGCAGTTCTCAAGGTCAGTCTGCACTGAGAAGCCGTGTCGCGTGCTGTGGCTCACAAACAGCCCAAGAAAGAAAGGCCTGGGTATGAGAACTTTAGCCTAGAGACCACAGGCATCCACCAATGATTTATTGATGCCACAAGCTGTCCCCTCACCAGGTCACTGAAGGGGGGGGCACCCACGCATCTCCCAATTCAGCATAGCAGATGAAAGGCACACAGCTCAAGAGCAAGGCCAAGGCTAGATAACATCTATTTAGAAAAAGAGAACATTGTGCACTTGAAAGGCGCAGGGAAGAAGAATTAGGTCACTGTTCCCATCTCACTTGTGCCAGCAGGGGCTTCCCCGTGACGTGGACAGACTAGTACAGGACCACGGGCAGCACGGTGGAGGGAATCCTGGGGAAACCCTGCCGCAGAGGGCCTCCCTCTTCTTGGGTTGGCTCCCTCTGTCTGGGTACTGGTGAGTCATCCCCTGCCGAAATCCTCCCACTCAGCTACTGCGCCTGAGAGGCGCTCACTCCTTACGGGCACCATTTCTCCATTCACCGCCAGAGGAAGAAGCATTCGAGGAAAAGGAAGCATCACCCAGGCTGGGAACCAGGAGCTCACAGTCTCCTCCACATCCTCAACAACAAGAGGTCCTGGGGTCACTCAGGAAAAGTGGAGGTTGGGGCCATTGTGGGAGGGAAGGGGTATAATCAGAACAGGGAGGAGGCACAGACCATGCTGGATGGGGGAAGGAGGGATACTCAGCTAAATCATCACCAGGAGAAGAATTCCAGTGACCTCTGTCCCAAAAGCCAGTTCTCAGGGGCATCTGGGAAGAGAGCTTCGGAGGGGCTATTCTGAGGCCAGAGCAGCACAGAAATCCCACCCAGCGGAGGGTAGGGTGGAGGTAGACTCAGACTTACTCATTGAATCCAGTAGGAGCAGGCTCTGCCAGCCCTGGTACGGCAGCTGAGGAGAGGACCCTAAAGCCCTTTCTTCTTGGGTAGTGCATAGCAGAGACGGAAAGATGAGAGCAAATGCCCTCTCTCTACACTTTAGGCGGCCTTACTGCCCCATTCTGGGATCACTTCAGAGCTGTCTCAGACAAACAATACCCTTGACCTCTGAACCAACCAGTGGCAAGAACACAGGCACGGATAGCCTGAGTTTAAAGGTTACAAAAAAAAAAAAATAATGAAGTGAATGCGTGTGTCTCTTTTCCCCATAGAAATGAAGAGTCTAGGAAGCAAACTAACCACCGGACTGTTACACAGCCGTGAACAAGGGAAGGGCACTGACTCCTCTAGCCTGGGGAGAAACCAGGACCAGCCTAGCAAGAGTCTATCTGCATTCGCACAGGAGCAGTGCCTGCCATGACTGTGGGCCTTCCTCCTCTAGTCCATGCTCCTTCCCCATGTAAGCCCACCCTACATGCCTAAGTGTTGAAATGGATGGCCATGCTCACACCAGCCAGCAGTCCCGGCACAAGTGCTGCCAGCAAAGCCTCCTTTGTACTTAACAGCTGATCATGGAGCCCCAACCCAGCTGGGTCAGGGGATAGTGGCCTCCCTACCCCCCTTCATCATTACACCATGCATCTAAGAGATGTGTGTAATCTTCCAATAACCATGCTGGTCTTTGTTGTTGTTGTTGGGGTTTTTTTTTTGGGGGGGGGGAGGTTTCAAGACAGGGTTTCTCTGTGGCTTTGGAGCCTGTCCTGGAACTGGCTCTTGTAGACCAGCTGGAATCGAGCTCACAGAGATCCACCTGCTTCTGCCTCCCGAGTGCTGGGATTAAAGGTGTGCGCCACCACTGCCCAACGCTGGCCTTTGAGTCTCAGAAAGCTCTCTGTCTAGTCAGAATTCTCAGACCTACAGCAGACATGTGGCCCCTGAAAATGGGCGCTTCTGGCCCACAGGCTCAGCTATTTACTGGTCACTGGGACACACTGTCCATCACTCAGGGATCTTTTGAAAAAGAGGTCATTTCAGAATCAAAGAATCCACACCGCTGAAGCCTGCTAGCTTCCTCTACTGGGAGTTATTGCTGGTTCAGATGGCTCCGGACAGAAGGAAGATACAGGGAAGGGCATAGGCACTGCCCCCACATTGGGGCATGTGGTGCAAGGCCTAGCATGGTACTCTGCACATGCATGAGATCCAGTACTTCCCTGGTCCTCCCAAGTTCTTCTCCAAGAACCACAGTGTTCCCCAAAAGCTCCCAGATGCTCCACTCCAAGGTCAAGGAAAAAAACCACAATAATACCCTGTTTTTCCTAGACTTACTGGTCCTCTTGAGAAACATGCTGTGTCTTGTGTGTTTCACTCCCCTGAAATGGGCACAAGCAGGCTGGTATGGCCAGCAGGGAAGAGGCCAGTTGCCATATGGAATCTTCCTGGGAGATCCAGAGGCCAGCCACTGCCAAGTGCACATGGGCCATCCCTGGCTCTGCAAGTCCCACAGGAAGAAGGGCTGTTAGGAGTCTCTTGGATGAACTCAGCTGCATGTTCCTTCCAGTCCAGAGCCAGAAATTCAGGTCACAGAAAGACTCTAGGCTCAGGGGATCTCGAGGCTGTAGGATTTTCAGATGGAGTGGAAAGCAGTCCAGGAAGACTAAGACAAGACTGCCCAGCCTCGGGCTCTCTAGTCTCTCATGACAGAGCCAGAGAGTCCCAGCTGAAATACTGGAGCAATAGAGAGGAGACCACAAAGCAGAGCACATTGGGCAGGGTGGCAAGATATTGGCTCAGCGAGCAGACGTGGCACTCCACAGAAAAGGCTTAAAATCGAAGCACATGCCAACTTTACAAGAGAGACTAGAAGGAAGGGAAGGCCTGAGCCCCATCTGAGAAACCAGGATCCTGACCACAGAGGGACCAAGTGGGAAATAAAGCTTCCAGAGAGCACAGGCAGGAAGGGCATTCAGCTCACAGGGCAACAAGTCGCTGCAAGACAGCTGGAGCACCCTCCTAACTTTACCTGGGTCTGCGCAGTACACCCTCTGTCTCAGAGCTTCCTCCTACAAAGCCTCATAAGATCCGAATCAGGTCACACATCAGACCTGGTAAAATATGCGCTCTGTCTATAGATGATATATACTGTGAAGGGCGGTGCAGAGCGGTGGACCGTAGCCGGGCTGGGCTTCGGAAGGTAGCAAGGCCCCCTGCTATTCTGAGCCTGTCTCCTACAGTTACAGGGACACCCCCTCTGAGGACAAGGCTCATCAATCACGAGGCCCTAACTAATGGCATGAGATGGAGCCACATGTCAAATCCACGCTCCCCAGCCACCAGGTTTCGCCAGTCACTCCTCCTTTTCCCCTTTGGTCATTAGTGGATATGAGTGTAGAAACAATGGTTCCACTATGACAATTTCACACATGGGTAGATAGAATACTTTAACTCATCAATCGTTTCCTAATTTAAACACTAAAGAGGAGAGGAGCCTGAAGACGAGATGACACTCCCTCGTCTTGGTTTTGCTGACTTTAAGAATACATATTGTTCTTTTCTTGACAATCTGTCCTGGACTCACTGGGCTCGTGGTGAACACCGAATTACCATCCTTGGAGTCAGTAAGAGTATGGTGCCATTGGATATGCGGCATACGTGATACCAGATACGATATACAGTCCAATACACTGAAGTGCACAGGATAAAATATGATACATGGTATTGTGTAAACTATAGTTAGATGGTAGAGGATGTGAAGGTAGAGCAGCTTCTTCCAGCTGCTTTTTCCCAGGGCAGTGGCTCAGCATCTGGGGGTGCACGGTAGACACCAGGGTACTTTTCCACTCACAGTCATAGAGAGGAGCTCAGATCAGTTCCCAAGGGCCTTGGCAGGAGCAGTTCTGGACAGCTAGACCCCGCAGAGCCAAATTCGGTGCTCAGGGCAACCCCAGCGCTGGCTCCTTCCTTACACCTGCCCCAAAGCCCCAACTGTGTGGACGCTCTGTGCATTCCTGCATGCGACAGCCACTTGGCATCTTCCTTGAATAATGTTTATGCCAGTCTCGCCACTCTAAGCATGGCCTTCCCACCAATCCTGAAAACATCTCATGGAGACGACCTGCCACTCAGGCTGGGCTGGCTGGATCTACCTCCATCCATCGGTCCCATACCTGGGACCCATCTCCATCTCTGACAAGGGCAGCTGAGGCTGACCAAGAAAAGGTCGGCTGGGTCTCACAGGAGAACCCATTCCACAGGAACTCACACCCCCAGACTCACACCCCTAGACTCACACCCCCAGACTCACACCCCCAGACTCACACCCCCAGACTCACACCCCCAGACTCAGTCCCCTTCTCCCCACAGAGCACCAGAGGCAACTGACTGCTCAGAAGAACGCTGGCTGACTTTGAATGGGCTTCTGCCCTCAGCCTTCCTCAGTGCCTCACCAAGCTCAGTTACAAAGGTCCCTTCGGGGCACACTAGACATGCAAAGGGTTTCTGTGGGCAGAGAAATGCATCATAGACTGAGAGGATGGTTCACCAATGCATCACCTCCCAATGCATCATCCCCAATGCATCATCCCAATGCATCACACCCCAATGCATCACACCCCAATGCGTCACCTCCCAATACATCACACCCCAATGCGTCACCCCCAGTGTATCACCTCCAATGCAGGTGGGGCACTTTGACCCAGCGCCCTCCTACTGCTGCCTCAGCTCTGCAGCCTGAGACAGACATGCTACCAGCGCAACACTTACGTGATGGTATCGATCATGTCAAGTCCCATCTCCACACAGCAATGGGCATGGTCAGTCTTGGGCTGGGTGAGGCCTGACACACAGTAGTAGCAGTCCCCTAGGATCTTGATGCGGCGACAGTGGTTTTCCTTGGGGCAAAGCACAGCATAAGATCATTGACAGAGTTGGTGCTTGTGAGTGTGTGTGTGTGTGTGTGTGTGGCCTTCAGTGGCCAGGGTCAGGTTCACAAGGGTGCTCCCCTCACAACTCCCAGTATCCCCACCTCTTTTTACTGAGATCATTTATCTTCTCCGTTTAGCCACCTGTTAGATACATACCCCCATCCACTTAACTTACACAGCAACCTCCACCCCAGTCATGATGCATCCCTCCTGGAAGCCATGCAGTCCAGAAGGAAGTCCAAGCCATACTCATAGAGATGTCCCTGCAGCTCTGAACCTCCCACCCTGGAGCACACTTTCTCCTTTATATTAAGACATGAAGAACACATGCTGAGTCTCCCGCATCTGAAACGCTAAAAGCCAGAGGCACAGAAGCACTTCAGATCCTATTCTCTATTGTCGGCTTTAGAAAGACTGGCATAGCCCTTGCCGGCCGAGCATGCCCCATCTGTAAGCATCACATCCCTAGTTTTTGAGTGTCACATGATGCCCAACGTCTTAGCTTTAGAAGCATTTCACAGTTTGGATATTCAGGTTAAGACTGCTCACACTGTGACGGCCCCTCTGAGGGAAATCATTCACAGTGTCCCTTGAACATCCATGCAGGTGGCCTGGACAGCCCCTTAGGAAGATAAGAGACACCGCCACCCAGGAAGCATGGGTGGGTTTCAGTAAGGATCAAGTCAGTCAGTCACACACTATTCTGAAACCTGACACATGCTGACAGATCCATATATCATTGTGACTGTCTTTTTTATCTCAAGGAAATCATTAGACTCTGCAATTCTAGAGCCAGGGAAGGAAATGACTCAGTGGGTAAAGGCACTTGCCACCAAACCTGACCACTTGAGCTTGGACACTGGGACTCAGGGTGTAAGGAGAAAATTGAATCCTGTAAGTGGCTTCGAACCACACACACACACACACACACACACACGCACACGCACACACACACACACACACCATGGCACCTTTCCCATACACATGCAAAACAAAAGTTCAAAAACTAATTCAATTACGCCGGGTAGTGGTGGTGCACACCTTTAATCCCAGCACTCGGGAGGCAGAGGCAGGTGGATCTCTGTGAGTTTGAGGCCAGCCTGGTCTACAAGAGCTAGTTCCAGTACAGGCTCCAAAGCTACAGAGAAACCATGTATACAAGAGTCATGTCCCATCCAGATTAACTAATAGCAGCTACTGTCAAGATCAAGCTGGTCCAAATCCCAGCGTGATGGGCCAGGGCCCCAAAGGATGTGCCCCTAGTGGAAGAGATATAGGCAGTTAATGGGTGTTGAGAGAGAGACTCCCTCTCCTTTGGGAAATGGCTGCTGATAGGTTGGCCATACTGCTGTGGATGGCCTCACACTCCGGCACATATGGGCAGCACTAATTAGATTTGGAGATATTAATAGCAATGAGAAAGAGGACATGAAATTGGGATGGAAATGGATTGGGGATCTAGAGGGAGCTGGAGGGAGGTAGTGGTGGGTGGACATGATCAATATCCATCGTATAAATAACATTTTCAAAAAAAATTTTTTTAAACTTTTGAAAACACTTCAGTTCTCAAACAGATCCATTTCAGGTCCCCTTAACATCTGTAAATAATCAAAGCCATCTCAAAAACCCTTTGCACATGTTGGTTACAGCTGTTGACATTTGCTCAGAAGCACTCACACTGAGAAATTCAGAACAAATGTCTTTTAAGATAATAGTTGCAAAATAAACCATCTGCAATGCGAGCTAAACTCAAGTGAGAATCTTGCCTCTGGTGACCACTTCTGGGGCATCTCTGATACCAATTTTCAGAGCAGACAGAAGACTTGGTCCATGTCGTCATCATGCTAGGACATCCAGGAAGACAATGGCCTCGCCTCCTGCAGGCCACTCAAATGAGGACGGACTTCACAGGCCATAAGACACTTTCACTGTGTCCCACAGCTCCGTAGTGTCCACTCTGAAAACACTCCACCATTTAGACCCAATTTTATGCTTGAATTTACCAACCGTTTCCTGCAACTTCCTCAACTACTGTAAATCAACAAACGTCAGGCCAAGCAGGCGACCAGCATTGCACCCAGATAGTGAGGGGTCCCGATGCCTCTCCATTGAAAGATAGCACCAGAGCTAAAGGGACAGCTAACTCCCGCTGCTGCTCAAAGCTGCCAGGCCCTGAGCTGCAAAGCCTTCAAGAGGTCTCTCTAGCCACCAATGACGATCTGAAAAGAGAGTGCCACCCATCACGCAAGTGGTTCCACACCTGCTCCTTCCGTCTCTGGGCCTCCCTCCACCTGTGAGGCTTCAAAAGAAATGGGACATCTCCAAGAGGACAGGCTAGTACGGAATCTGCTCTCAGCCAATGCAAGTGTTATATGGAGAAGACCAAACATCCCACACTGTGCAGAACAAAGGGACAAGACAGGGATGCTGAATGTGACCGTCACCTCATGGTGCCACCAAGATACACACGGTGAGACTGCCTCAGGGACCGACGCCAGAGTCCTTGAGTACTGAGCACCACAGACATGCACACATCCCCATCATGTGAGCACCACAGACATGCACGCATCCCCATCATGTGAGCACCACAGACATGCACGCATCCACATCATGTGAGCACCACAGACATGCACGCATCCACCCATCATGTGAGCACCACAGACATGCATGCATCCCCATCATGTGAGCACCACAGACATGCACGCATCCACATCATGTGAGCACCACAGACATGCACGCATCCACACATCACGTGAGCACCACAGACACGCAAGCATCCACACGTCGTGCATGAGAGCCTTGTGTTCTCTGGGGAAACTGGCAGAATATTCATTTTAGAACGGCCGGTGCCACCTGGAACCTGATGAACATACACAGGTCAGTGTATGATCCCAGTTCATCCAGTATCGCTCTGGAGCGTTTCTCCCTCCCGCCTCCCCCGCTCTTCCCTGTCCCTTCCCACCTGGTTCCCACCACGCTGGCAGACACAGCCTATAGTGGATACCCACTCGCTGGGTACAGTGCTGTATTTTTAACATCAAAAGTCCTAGGCCTTGCCAGCCATCTTAAGGGCTCAAAAAGATATTTTAGTTGTTATCCATGATTTAGATCTCTAGAAGCTTCTCTATAAATATGGAAAGTCTCTGTATGGAATCATTGCAAGAAACCCCAAGCGGGGAGCATCTATGATACCCCTCAGGCTCTGCAATCTGACTGGGAAAAAGGAGGAGCAAAGCGAGGTGGTAGGAGGAGAGAATGGGAGGGACTTGAACAGGGACACGTGATATCGCCTCCTTCCCAAACTGGGAAGGCACAAGCCTGCCAGGAGGAATAAGAAGCCTCATGCATGACTTTCCAAGGCCTGGAGGGCTCCAGACAGTTTTAACCAACTATGGCCTTGCCTGGGTGGATAGCATAAGACTGAATCTACGATGTCAGCCCCCCGCCCATAGCCTTGACAGTGGCTCTGATCCCACAAGGCCCCATCAAAGCATAGGGGAAGTCTTGAGATCACAGCAAAGCTATGGTTCCATGCAGAAACTACCAAATTAAGCCCAACCAATTTGCAGGTCCAGGAAGAAGCCAGGAGTTGGGAAGCAGATGCTGCTGCTGAGTTCAGAGCCCTGAGGGGCCCAACCTCCGCTAGAGCAGATCTTAAAAACAAAAAGTGGCCCAACTACCAAAGAGTTGCAACTCAGAGAGACAGTGCCACCAACTCCTGGCGTGGGGAAGGCAAGACAGATTTAATCGAGTTCTTTTAACCCAAACTGTTGCATTTCAAGTCCAAAATGGGGGCTGGAAAGATGACTCAGCAATTAAGAGTCACGAGTTGTGGGGGACAAGTGCACGTGCCCACTCAGGAGGAGCGAGAGCAAGCCAAGAACAGCACTTAACCCTTTCTGTAGGAGGAGGGGGCAGTAACCTCTTGCAACGCATCTGAAGGGTTTTCACTGTGGAGCTGGACTTTGCAAGTATTTTGTATATATACAAAAAATGGGACAATGAACTAGAGATGTCTAAAAATCCAAACCACAATGAAATAATCTGTTACTACATGAGAAGGATGGCCGCCCAGGAACAAATCATTTCAAAGCACGTGAAAATACTACTTCACTATCTAGCTGGTAACCTTGGCCAAAAAACAAAAGTAAGCACTAGGAAGCGCTAAGGGGAACTCAGCGGTCTTAGTCTTGACAATTGACAATGATGTTCTGAACCTGCTACACAGAGAAGAAAGAAACAAACAGAATTACTGCCTCTCTTCGTTCAGTTCATGCTGTTACAGTGGCACACTGAAGACTGAGTAGCTTATAAAGAACTGAATTTTATTTCTTACAGGTCTTCAACCAGCTGAGAGACCCATGTTCCACCAGGGTCTGCAGGCTCCCAGGGTGGACAGCAGGACAAAGGAGTACATGAGACAAAGAGGGAAAGAGGGGACTAAATTTGCTTTGTAATAACCTGTTCCTGTGAGAACCAGCACAAAACAGCACTAAGCCCTTGTGGTCTCATCACATAAAGGCCCCAGCTTCCTCTTTTGATGAATAAGACATTGAGTCCCCAACATATGAACCTTGGGGATATGTTCAAATCAAGGCACGTCATTAGAATCTGCACAAATATATAAATGAAGAGAAGAGGATGAAATGAATTAGAAATATTAATATAGCTCCCCATGGCGCTGCAGAGAACAGCACACTGTCTCTTTATCTTGGGGGCTGTGAGTCACCCTTCAATGGCACTAGCTTCCATGCGTTTGCACTCAGTCACTCTTAAGTTAAAATCCAGGAGGACAATCAAGATCTGTGTCCACCTCGCTGACATGCTGATTTGAACAAACACCCAGACGCGGTGCTGGGAACAACGTGGCCGTCACCAGTCTGGCTGGGTTAGATAATGGAATGATGTTGGCACTGTTTGGACAGGCTCAAATGCAAAACTGAGCATCGTCTGCGAAGCTGGGTAAC